AGACTGATGTCAAGTTTCCATTCAAATTTAGTGCAAAAAAAAATTACTGTCGGTTTCAATCGGCTACACTACAGGTGGTGGCGCTAATTCTCCAGTCAAGTGTCATTACATTGTTGCAAAAGAAGAGGGCGCAAACAGGTGACATAATTAAGTACCATTCAAACAACAATGTAGAGTCTCCTTATCAACTTTTTTTTTTAATTCCAGCCTTTCCGCTGCATTATCTTTATGCGCAAATGGAAATTGTACATAAAAACAGGTGAATGGAAATTAACTTAATGTGAGGTGACAACTGGAGCACTTCTACGGCTCCAATGGGAATAAATCATTTTTAAAAAACTAGTGCATTAGAAAAACGTTTTTGCAGGAGCCAAATATGATAAGAAATCTGACAATACAATCTGCAATCTAAATGCAAAACAAACTCAATATACTTTTGGATTCTGCCTAAAGTTTTGATTTGATCCTAATTGCAACAACTAAGCTTTCTGATTCAAGTGTCTGGCTGGCTTTCTTTTCATAGCAACGGTGGCCAAGGCTCATGGTTGTAGTATTTATAGCCGTCCACCCTACCATACTGAGACAGACCAAACACACGCTCATGCACCCTCACAATGAAAGGATTATGTGACAAGGGCGCACACTGTGACACATTTTCACATATTTGTTCCTTGAAAAGTTGGTGAATAGAACAGATAGAGCAGTTAAAGCAGGTAGATTAGTTTGGTTTGAACATTTGGTCAAGGTTCAATAAGGAACACCATTTGAAGCTTGTTTCTAGTTGAACATATCTCCCCCATTTTTGCATTTTAAAACATCATGTTCGTAATGAAACCGCTTCGTGAGCCCAGACTGCAAATCTCCAAGGACGTGATTACGCACACATACACGCACTCACCTCTTCTTCTCAGCCTTCAGGCATCTTTGTCAGCTTGTAGTGTAGAGTAGAGCAGTGCAGGTTTTTGGCTGTATATTAGCTGTGGGTCCTCAGGTCGTTCATCAGCATTAAGTCAGAGGCAGTTGTCTCTGCCATATGCACCAGAGCTGGCACTCTGCACCTGCATCTTGTCCAGGGTCCACTGAGGACGTCAAGCACCAACTTTACTAGATGTTGGTTAGACATGGTGACGACAGAGGAGGGTAACACTCAGCTGAGATATTTAATTAAAGGAATAAACTGGCATTTAGAGTGGAGCATCTAAAGCAAATGTTCTGAGTGGTATTAAACATCAGTAAACAGCTGCCTTGTTATTAATGTCTGCTAAGCGTCAATATCAACATACACCTTTCTCGTGGTTGTTCCTTTCTTGTTTTGACAACTTGATGCGCTTAAGAAGCCCATTTTACCTATTACACCCCAAAAATCACAAATGTATTACATTACTGCTAGCCATTCTCCAAAACAAATAGTTGGTTTTCTTTAATGTGTTGGTAGGAAGTTATTTTTGAACTTTGGAATAAGCCAGGCTAGCTGGTTCCCTCTACTTTCAGTCTTTTTGTTAAGCTAAGCTAATCTTTTTCTGGCTCCATCTCCATACTTAACGTACAGACATACAGTAAGATTAGTGTTGATCATCTCATCTGACTCTTGATAAGAAAGTGAATAAGCATATTTCTCAAACGGTGTAACTATTTCTATAAAGGCGCTTGCATGGAAATGCAGTTGCCAGCAGGGACACTTTTGAATATTCTGCCCAGTTAGAGAGCTCTAACAACTAACAGTCTAACGGTTGCTAGTCATAGTCTGATCTGGAAAACATCTGGTCAATCTTCACTTTGATGAATAAAATAATAAACTCAATGAGCCTCAGTTGTTCTTTCTTGAATATATAATTTATTACAACACAAATCTGCCTACGTTGAAGATCTTGGTACAGCTTGTATGCATGGACAAAAACAACGTCACAAAGGACAGTATATAGTCTTAAACCTTCTGGGAGGATAAGGAGAACAGTTATGGTAACTGTTCGTTAATGTCAAAGTGTGTGTCAGTTTGTTATTATCAAGCGACTCTGGAAACTCTCCAAGGTCGATTTTATCTGTAACTCTGGACATGCTGGCAACTTCTAACATAAAACATACCTAATCTGAAGGGCACTAAGGCATCTCAGGAAGACAACAACACGTTAAGCTAAACATTAGAAATTCTTCTTACCCATACATTTCTTCCACATAGTCACAGAAAGTCAAAAACCTGCAATACTGTAAGTAAACATATAGTTTGTTAAAAGGATAATTTCTAGGGTTTCTTTTCCCTAACGGACTTGATGATGGAATCACTGAAGGTTGATTTTCATAATGTTCTGTAATGAAAGGAACAAATAGCTGCTGGGATGGGATCATCAAAAATTATGGCATGTTTCAATAAATGTTCAGTTAAAATGGAAAGAATATGTGATTTGTTTTAAACCTCTGGTGTTTTTGTTGTAGTAAACCAATCAAGGTTTTCCTGACAGTCCAAAGGCAATCTGACTAAAGCATGGCTACACGGACGCCTGTATGAGCAATTTATCATTTTGAGTGACTAATTCACCTAGGGATTGATTAACAGTGTTATTGATTCCATGTGTCATCATGCGATAGCAGCTTCTCATTTATCTGTGTAATATAATAATTTCATCATCAGTTGGTATACAGAAAGAGGTGTCTCTCCGATAGGAAACACACAGTGTGCAGACAGTGGTATTGATAACATGCTGAATACATCTAGGAATGAATTCATATGTAAAAACATGTCCATCTTATCAACTTCAATGAAAGAAATGGACAAAAAAACCCTACAGAACGCTGAAAGTATATGTGCTCATTTATGTGTTGTGATCACACTATGTCCACGTGTGTGAACATAGTTAAAGCTAGAATACAATAATCATCTGATGGCATTACAGATCCAATACCTGTCCAACTAAATTGTTGAGGACCGTCTGATCTTCTTTGGCATAAATGCTGCTATTGGAATGTAAATTTGAATGTGCCATGAGAAGGACTGCAGGCTGTGTTGCCACCATCAAAGAAACATAATATGTGCCTTTGATGTTTTACATGTAGCTTGCGAAGATAAATTGCAATTCAATTTCATATCATGGACTGATTTCACCCAAGGTTGTATTCAACCCCAACTTGAAATTACTTAAAACTGACCGCACAGACGGTCACGCTTATTTCAGTCACACTCCTGCCATGGCTTGTGGCTTTACCTGCCTCTACATCACTCTCCTTTTTTTTTTTTTTAAAACGTCAACATGAATCGTGTCCACAGATGGGAAAAGCAGTTATTACAGTAAGTCTGAAAGCAGAATAGCTAGGTTAAAGATAGGGGTGGACAATAGAACGTTACATGGACAATCTGTAAATAAAAACAGACCACATTGCTTTTACAAAAGACATACATATACAAAAACACAAAGACATACAAATGCGCACTACTTTTGACATTTAATTCTTGACATTGCAGTGGACATAACAATCTCAACTTAAGGTTCACTTACTCGCTAGTGCCGGAGATTTGGACCATAAGTGTATGTTGAAAAGTTATTTAAATATAAGTGAACAGGGTGCATTTTATACCAGTCGCCAGTCAGGAGGAGCTGTGGTTGCACACACACAAACCAACTTCACTTCCACTTGCAAATCTGCTCTGTGTGCTGTCTGTCTGTATGACAGTGAAGAGCTATTAGAGAAGGAGCCAGTATCAGATGCAGATGTGGACTGGATATTAGGAACCATCAGTCCTCCTCTGCTGTAACTCACACGCTGGGGACGCACAATTCTTACACACATGTACACACGCCTCCCTTTTCATATTCCTTGTGGATCCCATGGAAAATGAATGGCGGCATCAATCACACAGGAGAGCCAGTGGAGGGAAAAAGACAAAGTGATGGTGAGGGAGTCCAGAGACAAAGAAGGGAAAGAGTGAACTCAAGCAGAGACAGAGATATGGGAGATGGAGAAGGGATGTGAGGAAGAAAGCAAAGAAATAGCATAAAAGATTAAAAAGAAAGTAAGACAGAGAGAGGTCTGGAAAGAAGAAAGGAACAAGGCTGGAACATATTCTGTACACAGAAAACAAGATCTCATAAATCTGTAGAGATGAGAAGACAGTAAATATCAAAAAGACAGATGGCATCTTTAAAAAAAAAAGATGGTTGAGAGAGAACAGCAGGCTGGGGCTGCTAGCCAGTGCATATGTTGCCTGGAAGCTGCCTTATGAATTTTAATTTGTGTTTGCTCATTAACCAAGTTACCATATGACTTACAAGGGACTGAGCTGTTACCTTGCGGGCAGCAGGGGAGCAGTATTTTGGGTCAGTCAGGCGATGCGGAGGGCTCTGATTGGCCAAAATCAAGACTGATGTAAGTGTGTTATGGATATTTCACCTCTGAGTGTATCAGCGTTATCAAAGCTCCAAACTTCCCCTTTGATCCTGATGGGAGCTTCAGGATTACTGTCAATTCTAGAAGCATCACACCCCACAACTGCAAATTTTTATTGTTGATAAATTCGGGCTATATAGCTGATTGGTTGCTGATTGGTTACTATTAACACTGAACCTCAAGTTGGAGGCAAACATTCAAAGTTGCTTCAGGTAAATGTAAGTTAAAAAAATCAATGGGAAAACACGCCACTGTACTTCACAACAATGAACACTTTGAGCCAACAATGCTGCAAAGTAAATAACTGGACTACAACAGATTCAGTACTAGTGTATCAAATGCACACAGCCTGCATCACTGTGTCAACTGCTTGTTCAGCTTGTGTTACTGTGAGAAGTTGGCTTTCAATCCAATCAGACAGTAGATGAATCAGCTGAATTGCACAGTAATATAATAAAACTTGGCGAACCTTGCAGGTTCACTTTTGCTGCAGATGTGTGCTTTGCCTGAGCTAACATTTTATTAATTGCACATAGCTGATTTGTGTGTGTGTGTGTGTGTGTGTGTGTGTGTGTGTGTGTGTGTGTGTGTGTGTGTGTGTGTGTGTTGCTTTGTCTCCACAGGTTCATCCTGGTCTTTGGATGTCTTGTTCTTTCTGTGTTTTCCACCATTCCTGCTCACCAAGAATTCTCCACACACTGTCTGCTCATCCTGGTAGGTCATGCACAAACACACACACATTCACACAACTAAGTGTGTTCAATCAGGATTTGTCTCCCAGGGAGAGCTTAATGCATTGTTTCTGCTGTTTTTTTTTCTTTCTTGTAATTTGGGTGAACCAAGCTCAAGCCTTTTAAATGAATCATTTGACATTTTGGGAAATACAAAAATGTCAGGCTCGAGATGGCATGGTCAGGTTGGAGTTGGTTGTGGTGGTTAGTAATAGATGAAAAGGAAACAGGCGGAGGCATGGGAGTCCTGGAACACAGGAAAAAAACAATATGAAAAAAACATTAGGCAAGAGAGAATCACAAACACTGGCTTTAGGAAAATTCTGAAGACTGGCATGGCAGGGAGGTACTGTACTACAGGACGTTAGGAACAATCTGGCAACAAGTCACAGGAAACCAGGAGTATTTGACCAGGGAGGTGATGAGTTGATTAGCAACAGGTGTGTAGTTTTGTCATTGTGAAGCCATGCCCACAACACATACACACTTACACACAGATATAGACAAACAAAGGGAGAGGGGAAACACTGAAACCCCAGAGCTCTGGCACGGTACTTCTCAAATCAGAGGCTGTAGATTTATCAACATATCTGTCGTGCTGCCTTTAGATGGCTGCAGGGATTTAAAGAACTGAAGGAGAAGTTTTTCATAAAATATAAAGCAGCTTTGGACAACAGATGCTGTAAGAATAAATCATCTTCATTTATAGATAAAGGCAGCCTGATTTACAGGTGTTCCTGCTTTATGCCTGTCGCTGTAGGACAGACAGTGCTAAAGTGTATTTCCCTAAAAATGTCAAATGATTCCTGTAAAGGAAAGTTATATTATTTTATAACAAATTGACACTGGTCACACCTAAATGGAAAACAGCCATTATTAATGTTATTAATTACTCCTACTTCCTGTCAGGACATGTCAACATAGAAAAGTCTTGTTAATAATTTAAAAAACAGATGTACTAAAATACAGTAAAGATAATGCTGAGAATTCATTTCACATTTACATCATATTGACCTTTGAAATAGTTACTGAAAGACTGCAACAAATTGCTCTGTTCAAGTATGCTGTTATGTTTGTGTGTGGGAGGGTAAATGTGTTTTCTTTCGCAGAAGTGTCAGTAGTAGAGTTACATTGAAGACAAGCTTAACAACAAACCATAACTTCCGACCCTCGGCTGCAAATGTCTTTATTGCTTGTGTCTCTGCGTTTGTAGCATTTAAAGGTTTCACTATGTGGGGTTTTGTGTGTATGTGTGTTTGTGTGTGTGTTTGTGTGTGTGTGCCCTGCAGGAGTTTGTGATGATTGTAGTGTTTGGTCTGGAGTATATCATCAGGATATGGAGTGCTGGCTGCTGCTGCCGCTACCGAGGCTGGCAGGGACGCCTCCGCTTCGCCAGGAAACCGTTCTGTGTCATTGGTAGGTCTGTGTGTGTCTCACACTCTCAGGCAAGGCAAAACAACTTTATTTGTATAGCACATTTCATACACCAAGGCAATTCAATGTGCTTTACAGGGTACCAAAAATATATACGTATGTGTATACTGTATATAGAAAACAGTAAAACATGTTTAAGTAAACTAGTGCATTTTAAATTAAGTGATAAAGGAAAGATAAAGGAACATAGCAAATACCCCTACATTTACATAGAAGTACAATTCAAAATAACCTAAAAACAAATCTCAAAAGAACAATCTAATCCACTAAAGAGTAAGGCTATTTAAACCTGGTATCTTTAAAGTCTCTTTATGTCAACCATGCATCATGACATCAAGCTTTTTGCCTGGATGTAATTGGCTGGGTTAAGTAAATGTAATAAAAATGAAGTAAAACACATGCTATTGTTACATTTAACTGTATAGTTTATTAATGACGCCATTCACAACTCCAAACATGTTTCTTGTATTTGTTCGTTCTTATATTAAGCTTAATATTTCCCAGGTGATGTAATTTGACACAAAAGGTTTGATTAAAAATCAAGAAAACTACAGATTTATTTGCAACAATATTGACCGAAGCGTTTATTTTCCCTTTCATATTCACACATTCATCTCTCAAATTGTTCAGTAAACTGTACTTGAGTAAACAGTTGTACTACATCTTAGAGTCATTTTAAGAGATAATCCTCAGGCAAAGATATTATTTGCCGATGTAGATTAGATTTTTAAATGTCCTCTTTAGTGTCCAATCAATGTAGCTGGAATCAAAAGGGAAAGAAAACATCCGTTTCAACAATAGAGGTTCTCTATTCTCTTTAGGTTGCTCCAGCAGGGAGGAGGACAGTCTGCTGGGAAATAAAAGATAAGGAAAAAATGGGGCATTTTAGGGTTGTAGACAGAATAAGACTAATTGAGATAGAAAATGAAGCAAACAGCTTGTTGTGAATCAATAGTTTTTTAGGTGATGGATGGACAGGTGGATAGATTTAGAAAGTAGGGGGGCCAACCACAGTTTGTGTTGCTAATATTGTGGTACCCATGACCTTTAATTTTCATTATTTTGCTTCCTAGACATCATCGTACTTATCGCCTCAGTTGCTGTGGTTTCAGCCGGTAGCCAGGGTAACATCTTTGCCACCTCTGCGCTGCGTAGCCTTCGTTTCCTTCAGATCCTGCGCATGGTGCGCATGGACCGCAGGGGAGGGACCTGGAAGCTGCTGGGATCTGTAGTTTATGCACATAGTAAGGTAGGACATTTTAAACAGTTTCTGCTCTTCTGATCTTTAATTTTTGTGTTTCAGATGTTGAGAGTGTGACTGATCAGTACTGATGTGTTTCTGCATTTCACCTAATAGCAATCATCTGTCAATTAGACGGTACTGTTCTTTTTCCTCTTTGTTTCTCCAGATTATCACAGTAGCATTTTTGTCTGTTCATTCATGGTGGATATTGCTAACTACCTAGTTCTTCTGTAATGTATTCGGGACTACAGTATGCACAAGCAGATGCACTCATAATAATAACATTAAACTGTAACAGTGATAAATTAATAAATACTGTAAATACTACATTAAATAATTAAGTTAAATGCATATTTCAACACTAACAAGATGTGTATTGTTAATGTTCATCCATCCATCGTCAACCGCATATCCTGCGTACAGGGTCACGGGGATTGTATGTTCACTAGAAAGTAAAACATTTTTTTGAAAAATGTGGTCTTATCCAGTTAAAATTGTCAACATGGTATTTATTTTTTTAACTTTACTATCATTTCAAAATACTATGAATGTCTTGTCATACTGTCAGTGCCAAAGGTACATCAAATGGTCTTGCAGTTGTGTGCCTTTATATATGCCTGTTGCATGTGCTACTAGTATTTTATAACATGGCAATTTGTCATGACTAAATACTGGTATTTAATATGGTTTTTCATGATTTTGAAAGGACTATTCATCTGTGTTTTTCAATAACTAGTTCTGCATGGTGAAAAAAATAACAATTTGCTCCTATAAAAAGGATATATTCCCAAAAGGTGTTTATTAATTTCTGGACCAAGGTTTTCAATACAGGAGATGCCTCTGCTAGTATTTCTGGTAAGAACTGTTAACTTAGTATACTGTATATATATATATATATATATATATATATATATATATTCAATTCACTTCATTTCAATTTTATTTATATAGCACCAAATCACAACAACAGTTATCTCACAGCGCTTTTCATAAAAGAGCAGGTCTAGACCGTACTCTATGATGCTATTTACAGAAGCCCAACAGTTCCCACCAAGAGCAGCACTAGGCGACAGAGGCAAGGAAAAACTTCCTTTTAAGAGGCAGAAACCTCGAGCAGAACCATGGCTCAGGGTGGGCGGCCATCTGCCTCTACCGGTTGGGGTGAAGGAGAGAGGGGGGGGGGGGGGGTGTCGAGCAGGAACGCGGGGGCAGCAGGTGACCCGCAGCCACAGATCCAGACTCCACAGCTCCAGAGCCAGAAACACCTGCAGGAAGTGATAGGAGGAGAGAGGAGAGGGACGAGAAAGCACAAGACTACCGGAAAGGGGAAAAGTTGTGTTAGTAACATGCAATAATGGGATGAGGTTGCATATAGAGGGAGAGAAAGTAGAGGAGAGAGGAGCTCAGTGCATCATAGGAAATACCCCGGCAGTCTAGGCCTATAGCAGCATAACTAAGGGATGGTTCAGGACTCACCTGAGCCAGCCCTAACTATAAGCTTTATCAAAGAGGAAAGTCTTAAGCCTACTCTTAAATGTGGAGATGGTGTCTGCCTCCTGAACCCAAACCTAGTCTACTTTTGGAGACTCTAGGAACCACAAGTAACCCTGCATTCTGGGAGCGCAATGCTCTGGTGGGGTAGTAAGGTACTATGAGCTCTTTAAGATAAGATGGTGCCTGACCATTGAGAGCTTTGTAGGTAAGAATAATGATTTTAAATTCTATTCTGGATTTTACTGGAAGCCAATGCAAAGAAGCTAAAACAGGAGAAATGTGATCTCTTTTCCTGGTTCCTGTCAGAACACGTGCTGCAGCATTCTGGATCAGCTGAAGAGTCTTAATGGACTTTTTCGAGCAGCCTGATAATAAAGAATTGCAGTTATCCAGCCTAGAAGTAACAAATGCATGGACTAGTTTTTCTGCATCATTTTTAGACAGGATGTTCCTGTTTTTCGCAATATTACGTAGGTGAAAAAAGGCGGTCCTTAAAATTTGCTTAATGTGAGACTTAAACGACATGTCCTGATCAAAGATAACTCCAAGATTCCTCACAGTGGTGCTGGAGGCCAGGGCGATGCCATCAAGGGAAACTATATCTTTAGATAATGCGTCTCGGAGGTGCTTAGGCCCCAGAACAATAACTTCAGTTTTATCTGAGTTTAACATTACAGGTCATCCAGATTTTAACATCCTGAAGGCACATTTGAAGTTTAGCTAACTGATGAGTTTCATCTGGTTTGACCGATAGATATAACTGAGTATCATCTGCATAACAATGAAAGCTTATGGAATATTTCCTGATAATATTGCCTAAAGGAAGCATATATAAAGTGAAGAGGATTGGTCCGAGGACAGATCCTTGAGGAACTCCATGACTAACTTTGGCATGCATGGAGGACTCATCGTTAACATGTACAAACTGAAATCGATCTGATAAATAGGACTTAAACCAGCTTAGAGAGGTTCCTTTAATACCAATGAAATGTTCCAGTCTCTGCAATAGGATCTGATGGTCAATGGTATCAAATGCAGCACTAAGATCTAATTAAACCAGTACAGAGACAAGTCCTTTGTCTGATGCAATAAGGAGGTTGTTAGTAATTTTCACCAGTGCTGTCTCTGTGCTATGATGAGCTCTAAATCCTGACTGAAAATCCTCAAATAAACTATTGCTCTGTAGAAAGTCACACAGCTGTTTAGCAACTGCTTTCTCCAGAACCTTAGAGAGAAATGGAAGGTTAGATATAGGTCTATAGTTGGCTAAAACATCCGGATCAAGTTTGGGCCTTTTCAGAAGAGGTTTAATTACAGCTACTTTAAAGTACTGTGGTACATAGCCTGTTGATAAAGATAGATTGATCATATCTAGTACAGAGGTGCTGACTAAGGGTAAAACATCTTTAAGCAACCTAGTCGGGATGGGGTCTAAGAGGCAGGTTGATGGTTTAGATGAAGAAATTATTGAAGTTAGTTGGTAAAGGCTGAGGGAAGCACAGTCTAAACATATATCTGGTTTTGGGAGTTTAGAGATAATTCGGTGGCAGTTGAGGGCAGGTCTTGGTGAATTTTGTCTCTAATAGCTAGAATTTTATCATTAAAGAAGCTCATGAAGTCGAAACTACTGAGAGCTATGGGAATACTTGGCTCAATAGAGCTGTGACTCTCTGTCAGCCTGGCTACAGTGCTGAAAAGAAACCTGGGGTTGTTCCTATTTTCCTCTATTAATGACGATTTTATTAATATATATACGTATATATACTGTATATATATTTGTGTGTGTGTGTGTCTTGTAGGAGCTGGTGACTGCCTGGTATATTGGGTTCCTGGTGTTAATCTTCTCCTCCTTTTTGGTCTATCTGGTGGAGAAAGAAGTCAATCAGGACTTTGCCACCTACGCCGACGCTCTGTGGTGGGGCACGGTGAGCGCACACACATATTACACACAAATGCACTTGAGCATACCAAACCAAACAGTGACTGTATCACACAAAGTCTGAGATTTTTGGGAACTTCAAACACCAGAACTTGTCTAAACTGACTGCCACAAAGAGTTGAAATCATAAAATGTTTTTCCCATACAACATAGTATGATTGCTCCCTTTAATCTAAGGTAAAATAAAAGAAAGGCAACCAAGTGGAGTCATGCTGTTTCTATCTGACAACAGTGATATATTTCCATTTACAGTTTGTGTGTGACCTTAATGACACCTTCAGTACAAAAGCCAACAGGAAAGGCCTTTGAAGTCACACTTGGCTAACTGCAATGCACTGTTTCCTCCTACATCTAAAACCCATTATGCCTTGAAAACGTGGAAACAGACAACACACGAACAAGTTATGGGCCGATCGATAAATTCAATTTTTTCTTGCTGCTAGGTGAACCTGGCCGGTTAGGCTTGTGGGAATGACATTTAGACACACCGTGTTCCCATGTTCTGTAGCCTTGGAGCGTCTTTCTTTCTGGTAGACACTAAAAGCCTTTACATCATTTTTGTGAAAAGGTGAATTGTACACAGTGCACCATTCTCTTGATGTATTTAAACTGTGACCGCTATTTAAGTCTCTAAATGCTTTTGAGACATTTTGAAAAAGCATTAAATCTAAAGCTGACTGATTCACCATGATCATGGCATTCACTAGGTCACCAATTAGGTCACTAATTATCCTGCTTTTTGTTTGGCGAGTGTGAACTTGGAAAAAAATCATTGTTAACAAACTAGCTAGATAATGCATTGTGGCTAAATTGCTTGTGTTAGTAAATAATAAGAAGCATTAGACTTTGTAATGGTAGCTCTTTTCTCTCCTATTACCTTGGTTTTTTTTCTTTTGTCCACTTAAATCAAAAACTTGAATTTGCTAAATGTAGGATCAGGCCATGGACAGCTGTGAGAGATTCAACTAGCTTGTGTACAAGATTTGTTCATAAAAACCTCTGAGGCTTTGCATAAATTTGAATTTAGGAAATAAGTCCAAAGAGGAGCCAGTTTGTGCACAAAAGTACACTTATTATGAGTGTTTCAAGAATATAGAGAAGACGATTTGTTTGTAATTGTTTGCTGTATAACTACTAGTCATGTGATTTAATCTACATACTCATGGGATGTGACTGAAACCACCTTTTTACTATATAGTGCACAGGTGTACTTTCCGTCATTGTATTCCTACACTACAGCTGTCAGTGATGGCGCAAAAAAACCCACAATTTGCTGCTCACCATAGAGTGAACAATTGAGTGTCTATTAAGTAGGGAATAGTGGATGAGTGAGCAAGGGACAGATTACCTGAGTGTTGACCTCTGACTCTTTAGATCACCCTTACAACCATTGGCTACGGTGATAAGACCCCACAGACATGGACCGGGCGGTTATTATCTGCCTGTTTTGCTCTGCTGGGGATCTCCTTCTTCGCCTTGCCAGCTGTGAGTCAAATACAGACATACATCATGACACCGTGACTGATTACAAGTACTGTATTTCCTAAAAGCTCCTTAAAGCTAATGCTAACAGTAGTAGGAGCCATGTTTTCTCTTTTGTTTTGTTTATCTATGTGTGTGTGTGTGTGTGTGTGTGTGTGTGTGTGTGTGTGTGTGTGTGTGTGTGTGTGTTTCTCTGCATGTAGGGGATCCTAGGGTCAGGTTTTGCCCTGAAGGTGCAAGAGCAGCATCGACAGAAGCACTTTGAAAAGAGGAGGAACCCAGCTGCCAGCCTCATCCAGGTATACCCACACATACGCAGGGAACAAACACACATCACCTCTACTGATTTTTTTCTTTTTGCACCAGTAGCTGCAGCTGAGGACCAGCGTGAAGAGAGAGAACTTTCTCTACTCTTAAGTGCAGATTTCTATGTATGTGTGTGCGCTGTCTGTTTTGACCGTTTCTAAAGCCTTCCAATGCGTGTCCCTGGGTCTGAATAAAAGCATGAGTGTGTGTATGTCCACTCTTTACCCTTTAATGAGTGTGATAGGAATATGTTGAAGTGCGTGGATAGGTGGTTTCAACATCTCTCTTCCTATCAGAGTGAAGGTGTTTCATTAAGTACTTAATATGAATGTGTATGTGTGTCTGTGTGCGTGTGTTTTGTCCATCTCTGGGCTGTCAGAGTGTGTAGCTGATGATGACTAACGGTGTGTGAGGCACGCTGTTGTTTCTCAGGTCCAACAGCAACACACACTACTGGGATTTATGAGCCGTGTCCATGGCAACCATTCCCTGGGCAAACGCTCCCCCCGTCACTCATTGTAATAGACAAGACCAGCTGCATTACTTTATAATGAACAATAAATATCTGCTGTGGAGTGTGTGTGTGTGTGTGTGTGTGCGCCCACAATTGTGTGCTTTTCTCCTTGTTTGCACATATGTGTGTCTCTGAGAGTGTCTGCGTTTCTTTATGTGTGTGTGTGTGTGTGTGTGTTCGTCTGTCTACCATCCTATATGAACTTCCTTGACCTACTTTTTAAAATTTTCCATGGTATTTTTTTCAAAGCTCTGAGCAGTATTTTTTTAGATTTAGTAATCATTTATATCAGTTTTGAGTAGGGGTGTAACGATACACCAAATCCACAGTTTGGTTCAGACCTCGATTTTTGAGCCACGGTTTGGTTCATACTCCCCCCAACCCAGAAAGAGGCGAAGCAAGCCGGAGTGTTTTAAGATATACTTTATTTAATCCTGCGAGGGGAAACTCAATGTTTTCACTCACTTATTCTGCAATCATGCGATCCTTGTCAATTTAAATAAGCAAAGAACTGTCACATCGTCATGTAAATATACAGTATCACTTAAACTACATCAACACCCTTAGTATGTTGTTAATGACATGGTCTTACAGTAATTGAAAATTATATTGATATTTGTAAAATTTTACATAATGTGTTCAAGTGAAGCATCACAACTTGTGGTATCATTAAACTTCTTACTTTTTCATCTGTTTGACTGCAACTTCCTGGTTATGAGCTTGGAAATCTTTACATGTTTGACCTACTTTACTTACTTTAGTGATGGACATATATGCATTATAAAAACAGTGGTTTATTATAGAGAACAGTGTGGGTGCTAGTTTAGGTGATAGGGTAAAGTGGGGATTAGTTTAAGACTTTCTGGGTCTCACCATGTGTCGCTGCATTCCCAGATATGTGATATCAGATCAGTGTGAAATTGGCTAAAGCTAAACATTGTCTTGCCTATCCTCCCTGTTATCAATATGATCAGTTGTTATGCTTGACAAAGACCATTTGGAGCCCAATTGATCCTAAATAACCCACAAAGGGAGCAATTAATCCTGTGCGTTGATCTTGTTTCTGTTTTATTTGTGTCAAGCACCTGGTCAGTGTCTGTTGTCTGCCAAGCTCCTAACATTTTCCTCAACAGGTAAAAGGAAACTTGGAAGCAGCTTTGACATGTTCAATGTGTGGATGACATTACTATTCTGTCCATCACTTCACTCCCCTATCCCACACAGCTCTCCCTGCTTTAACCCACTGTGTGTTTGTGTGGGTGTGTGTCTGTCTGCAGGGCAAGAGGATATTATCACTGTTTTCAAGCCTCAGCAGCTGGTCAATTCAAAATTTCATGGGCTACAATAACTATTTTGCCTACCAATTGTATTTTTAGAATAAGATTGAATCTCCAAATTACTTTAAAGTTGTCTCTATAGTAGCCCAACAACCAACAGCCAAAATTAACTAGTATTTGGCAAGTGGCCGTGTTAAATTTCCCACCCTGTCTGTGTAAAGTGTTTATTTAAAGACTTTCCAGTCGTGTCGCAAATCTTGTAACCACAACTGGCACCATTGAGGAGGTTCAGTCAGCTGCAAGTAAATCAAGAAAACAACCTGTAAAAATGATTGAGGTTAATGTAGGTCATTATTGCAAAATGGCCGGTGCATTTCTTTACAGATGAGGGTTACTGTAAACCCAAATTAAACATTCTGCATATGTGTGTCAATGAGGGTTCATGTGATTTGTGTGCAGTCCAAATTGTATGGCCATGTGGACCGTAATCAACAATGAACGTGTGTGAAGGCTTTGGCCAATGCAGACACAAAATAAACATAACTGTGTGCTCAAAGCAAACAAACATGACTAACAGCAAAAACTAACTCCTGATGTCCATAGACGTTCTATTTGCTTAATCTAATCCATCCATTGCAGACATTAACTTGCAAGTAGTCAATGAACATTTGACTAGTTTAACTGGGTATAAAATGGAACAGTGGTCTTTCATGTCCAAATTGCAGACTTGTATGATGAAATGACTCACTCTCCATGGCCATACTGCGGACTATCAATATGGCTGCCAGCTGGTTACATCCCCTGAAGCACCTGTATATGTTACATGTTCACATATATCTCAGTCCCTTTTTCCTCACCATGTTTGTGCCATTGCCCGTCTGCGTCATGTTTGTGCGTGTGTGTACATGTGAATGTGTGCGCGTCCTGTCCATCTGCTCCCTCCCCCACCCAGGCGGCTTGGCGTCTATACTCCACCGACGGCGCTCGCCCCTACCTCAGAGCCACCTGGTACCACTATCAAAGTGCTCTCCCCCCCTTCAGGCATGTATCCCCACCACCTCCAACAACACCACCATCACCGCCCCCACCTCTCTTCGACAGCCCCTGACAACAGTGCATCAACATTACCCAAAAAACTAATCAGCTCTTTCTTTTTATCCCCTCCTCACCTTCCTTCTCTCACTTTCTACCCAACTTATACGTTCCTCCCTCACCCTGTTTTTCCACCCACACTTTACCCTGTTAATTGTTTCATTATCGTTATTTTATTTATCCTGTCGACTCTGCACGTAGTGTGTCTGGCGTAGTTATGCTGCTGATGAGAACTCGGTTTCCATTGCTACCTGGAAGCCTCATTTGAAGGCGTTGCATACCTGCAGCCCCGCCAAGTAGGTAACAACTTACAGACTTTAAAACATGGCCGCTGTTACTCAGCCCTTTGCCTCATCTCCTCAGCTGCTTGTCTCCATTGGTGTAGCTTCAGCTCTTTTTTTCCACTGTATGCCTCACTGCAGCATTCTCATTTTTTTAATAGCGTACCTGCATTAACATTTTGTTTCCCCAATCAGGGATTGTTTGCTTGGCATGCATGATCGTTCAAACCTTTTTCACACTCAGGCAGTCGAATGCCTTGTTGACTGGCACAATGGAAGTTGCTGAGGTATATAATGATAATGAATTCAGAGATTGTGTAAGTTTTATAAATGTTAATTGAAGTTATTCGGCTTGGGTCAAGTTAGAAAAAAAATTCACATTAATTTGGACAATGTCAGTCATGACAAAGTTTTTGTGGGTTCGCTTTTTTGTGTTGTCACAGATTTTTGGAGAGTGAACAGTGAAAGCAGGATCATCATTCCTGCTTTCACACACACACACATAGATGTGTCTTTCCGCTAATGCTTTACCCTTACTGTGCACAGCCATAGCTTGCATGTGCTTGTATATAACTAACCCCATAAAGTTTCTTTCTTATTGTTTCCTTTTGGCCTGATGCCTCCCATATCCATTAGTGGAAACCCATATCCATTAGTGGAAACATCTGTATAATGCTTTGTAAATCTGCTGGAATATTGATTTATCTCCCTTTGTCTCCTCCTCTTTATCCCACTAACCTTTGAAGGAAAGAGCAGGGCGAGACTACTTACAGGTTTGTATGACTCTCAGCTTATTCCTTCAAAGACACGAACACATACAGTCAACCTGTGATGCAATTCTGATTAAACTATATGCCTAACGTTATGTGTTTATTTTTTAAACTGTGTCTTATTTGTGGGCTTGTTTAGTCTATATTTTTTTAGTTTATTGATTGTGTGATTACAGATTCACAGATCCAAGGTCCAATGATGAATTTATTTACTTCTTTGCTGATAGGTAACAGTGAATGGTTAGTGAATCAGTTAAAGACTGCAATTGCCATCAAAGGGTTGGAAGATGTTGATTGTTAATTGTGTTTATGGTTTGTTAGTTGTTTGGTTTAGTGAATGACTGAACACTTATTTACCCTTTAGAACAAGACCACCATTACTGGAGAAAGTGTAGGCAGTTGTTTTGACTTATGTCCATGTTTTTAACCAGTATGACCTGGCAAAGTAATAATGATGTTGTAAAAGTTAAAAGACTAGAGTGCTATGAAATACAAAATAAAGGGATAAGTAGCCTGTGCAATAACGAGGTTGATGTGTCCTGATAAAAGGAAACCAAAGGTGTCAGGTTCATTTGAGTAAAAATGTAAAGAACATCAGCTAAGACGTTCTCTCAAGAGCTCCGCTGAAGTACATTTGTTGATTTGAATTGTGTTGAATTGAGAAAGAGGGGCAAGAAGAGATGCAGTGGTAGAGACAGTTGTGTTTTTACATCAGACGTAGGTAGACCGAAACTATACTGCAAAGAAAGTACTACAAGAGCTACTTTAAAATTGCGTCTCCTTTCTTTATTTTAAATTCCTCCTTTCACTGCTGTTTCCCTCTCTGCACTTGACTTTCAGGCATGAAGGGTGATGGTCTTCTGTCTTTGTTGAGTGTGTGTGGGTGTGTGTGTGTGTATGTATGCATGCATGCACACACGCCATCAAAGACAGGAGTCTGTACCATGTCTGTACCATGACTCATTTTTTCCATTGGGATGGTATTTATATAACTCATCAAACACAAGTCTTGTAGAGACAGAGCGAAGTTGAAGAAGGGGGAGCAGAGGGAGGGAAGATAGGGGATTTCAGAGAGGGGAAGAAGACAGAAAGAGATTTGTGAGTTTAATTGTGCTAGTATAGGTTTTTACAGTCCTTTGGCAACATTTGGGGGCCTTATATTGAGCCAGCATCTTCTTAGGCATTTAAACTTAAGAAAGACACACAAACACAGAAACGCACATATATAAAAACAATAAGTTCATACTCGTAGTCAAACACAAATACACAAGCGTCTCATCTTTAAACAAAAAAACATTTCATTAGGCTTTGTTGCATCCACAACAACATCCATCCCCCAGAAATCCCTCTGTTTAAAGGGCTGTGTTTAATTATGCTTTCCCTTCTTAGAAACTTTTGTTACAGCAAATGCAATTTGCACTTGTGAAATCATAATTACACACCCTTTTATGACCTTCCCTCCACCAAGAGAACACACAACACTCTGTTATTAGTGGTTTTACAGACTGTCGGCTACTCGGCGACGGTAGGTGCCGTGGTAAACGGCTGGTGGTTTTCGTTTAAGCAGACTTGTAAACACCAGCAGTAGTAAACATTAGGCGCACCACAAAGTGCTACAGCAGGCATCATGCTGAGCGCAAGTGTGCTGGATATTGGCAGTGAGAGGCATTATGAAATAAAGGATAATGGGGGTTTAATCTGGAGTTTATGTGTGTAGGCAGGTGTGCCTGTGTGTGGGTGTACCTCTTGGTACAGTGAAATTGAATTTGAACCAAGTGATGTGGTAAAAGAGGGTAAACCTCCAGTCAGTGATGATCAATATGAGCAAAGATAAACAAATGGTTAATACTTTGACTTAATGCCTTTAACCTGGACACTATTTCTCATCATTTAAGCGTGTTTAAACCCATAGTTGACTTGCATTGCTCCCTAATGGGAAAATGAAACAAGGCTTATTCCAAGTAATGCTGCAGTTAGTTATGTTTGCGTTTGTAAGAGTGCTGTTTAGTCCACAACAGGGCTCAAATAACAGCATTCACACCAAACTAAGCAAACTAGACTAAACTGGCAAACACACCAGATTTCATTTAAACACCAATTATATGTGAATACAGCCTGATTTTAATTTTTTTGTGGACCAGACTACTTTACACAACGCTGCAGCCCCACAGGAAGGCACAGTTAGGAAATTTGTTCACCGCATGTCACAGAAGAATTATTGTGTTGAAAAGACATGATTTGAAGCATTCGTACATGATTGCCGAGCCAAACCCAGGCAAGCAAAGTAGTTTCTCACTGAGGCATCTGGTGACAGTTTGGTCAAATCTGTTGGGGAAAATAGGGTCCAGGTTGCACATGTACAGAATAATGCTTTTAAAACTGACTATGGTTTTAGTTTGATGACACTAGTATGATATATAGATTTGTCTTCCCCATATGAGGGAAAACTAAATCAAGGTGGGTATACCTTACAAAACATCCCTGTTCACTCATTGCCATCCATTTCTAAAATATCCCCCCTGCCCTTTGCATTAGTATTGACAGCAGAGAATCTTTCTTCTTCCTCTGCTGAACTCCTCTTTTAATCTCCTCCAACCTTTATCTCTTTCCTCTTTCCCTCCTCCATCTGCCTCTCCCTCCTACGCTGTAGTAAAGGTATAAGTAATGGGAGGCTCTTCAGAAGGTATACTCGGACATATAGGAGGTATCTACAGTACTACCCAGCATCCTCTCTGTCCTGCCCCCCAATAACCTATGGAAATGACTGACTTATAGCATGAAGGACAACAACAAAAAAAAAAAAATTAACTTCCTTCTTAACTCCCTCCCTAATCCCTTTTCTACCACAAAGGATTTTGTCTGAGACGGGTACTGGTGCCTGCTGCCTGCCGAATGCAAACAGGACTTTCTTACCATGTTACAAATTAAAGGGGAATTACACCAAAACTGATCTTTACACCATAAAAGACATTATAGACATTATCCTTTGATTATTTATAATTTAAAGATAATATGAGTCAATTTAGGGAAAATTCTCAGTAAAAGAGCTCGATAAGTTAAAAATCAGAGACAAAAAGTAAAAAATACTAGATCTAAATTCCCCTTTATTTTATATTTATTCCAGCCACATGAATATTTTGTTGTGTTCATATTCTTAATGAACAACCACCAATTTCTAGATTCTTGGGGTCAGAAGTTGGTCTCGGAGGATTTTTTTAGAAGCTATAGACAGTTCAGTTATAAGAATAAAATGGTCCGATGACAATATAGTAAATAAGAAGGAAATTAAAAGAGCAATTCATGGGGCTGGACCCAGTTAACATTAAATTATGCCCCAACAAGTGCCATAGATGCCAATATACAGATTTAAAATGAGCTGTTCCTTGTTTTACTGCATGCTCTGTGCATTACTGCTTTGCTTCACTTCTCTTTTCAGTCATTTTTAGCCATCAGAGATGCAAAGATATTTAGTTCCATTCACTGTATTTAAGAAATAATTTGTTGTTATTTCAGTAATAGCAGAAAGTGTATGAAATGGCTACCACTGTATCGCTCGCTAATAGTATTTAATTCTGCCTTGAACATTGATAATGTATTGCCATGTATTGTAAAGTGTTTAATAATGTTCCTACACAAGTCAGAGAAAGTATGGAAAATATTGCACAGGTCTAGGTTTGGGAAATCATGGCAAATCAGTAAAACTAAAAAAATAACTTCCTCTTTGGAATATGCAAGCAAAACTTCTGTTAAAGTGATTGAAACTGATTAAAATGCTGAAATCCAGGTGAGACACTGAAGTCTGGAAGAAAATGTGAAATTGTGGCATGGTAAAAATTTGTGGGAACCCTGCATCTCTCTTATGTGTCTGCTGCATTGCATGCTGGTCTATTTGCTTTAGCAACATAATAGTTTACTGTAATGAGTCTCATTGATTGAGAACTTTCTGCATCCCCACCAACCCCTTGGAGGTTAGCAAAGATCTGAACTTTATGTGGATTCATTTTTCTTGAATGGTAGGTGTAGCTAATATGTGTTATTTATTTAAATGGACTAAAACCATTATGATAGATAAAGACGCAGATACATACATAGCATTTTTCAATATCAATATGTCATATCATGGCGTTTCTACAGTGAACAGAGATTGTGTTTTGTTAAATTAAAGTCATATTTTCTGATAAATCGTGTTGCTTCAAGTTGGACCTCAGATTATTTGAATTTAATAGGCACTGATTAACATGCTGGAATTAATTTTCCTTCCTAGTCTCTGAAAGATTTAGCTCTTTTTGTTCAGGAAGAACTCACAACATTTCCCAAAACATAATCCAATGATGGCGGTTCGTGGCTTCTCTCTGAATAATGTTTAAGTTGGTCTCAAAATGAATGTGTGGTGGTGATTTATTAACCTTGCCATGCTTTACACACTGCCTTTTAAAAATCTCATTAACTCTGTTTTGAAAAGAGAATACATGGATAGATTATCAGGCGATTAGGTGAGGAGTGCAGCACTTCAGGATCCAACACTGAGGGTTTGTTTCAGTGGCTTGGCGGGCAGTTTGGCTCTGTTCTGGTGTTTTGGGCATGTCAGTTGGATGGATGATGTTTGGGCTGAAGGAAAAGACAGAACGCTGCCCTGTGTCTGCGCTCTGAACTCTTCTCACTCTCTGAGGGGAAATAGGTGTTGACAGCATCCTTTTTTTCTCTCTCCTTGTGTCTGTGTGTGTCTCTCGATCAACCCCGAACTCTGCCACATACACTTTCTCTATCAACTCCCTCATAAACTCACTTTCCCCATCCATCTCCTCATCCATCTATCTTTGGATCATCACTTCTGTCACTCTTGCTCCCTCTGTCTCCCCCATCCCTAATCTTTCACTCTGCTTCTTTCAATGGTCTCTCCTTATTTCCCCACCCCCACCCTCACCCTCCTCTTCTCCCTCTCTTTTTTCCCCCCTCCCTCCCTGCAGTCAGAAGTTGAGTTTTAAGGAGCGGGTCCGGCTGGCGAGTCCTCGTGGTCAGAGCATGAAGAGCAGGCAGACGTCCATCAACGACCGCCAACGCTGTTCCCCTGGCAACGACGTGGTAGGCGGCAGCGAGCTGATGGGTGGGAGCCCGGCCAAAGTGCAGAAGAGCTGGAGCTTCAACGACCGGACCCGGTTTAGGCCGTCACTGAGGTTGAAGAGCCAGACTCGCACTGCTGTCCCAGATGGTGAGCAAGACTTTAAATCAACAGACCAACAAAACATATGTCAAACTACCCTTTTCAACACAGTATGCCATTTTATCGTGTAAATGTAGAGTCACTTTATTTAATCTCTTTAACCTCATTGAACCCCCAGTGGGCCAGCCATACAAACACACGGCTGGCCCACTGGCTAGTGGAGATCCCAAAGATAGATAATCTCAATATGTCGGGCTGAATTTAAAGTCTTAGGGAGAAAAACAGTATGTTGAAGGGTTAATCAGGTTGTCCCATTTAGATTTTTAAGAGAGAACATTTGCACAACCACATAACTAGCGTACAAATTATTGGAGCTATAAAAATTCCTGAGATATTAAAGTTAAAAGCTAGGTTTCAAATCTGTTTTCTGTGTAGCCTTAAAACATCCAGGCTTAAATATGCAACAATCAATTCAGGAAAATAATCCTTATATATTATTTTTTAAGAGTCAAACACTCAGTGAACCTGCTTCATCAGGAAATCCTGTTTGGTGCACAGACGTACACTTCAAACCACTGAGAAGACAAAACAGCAGAAAATAACAAAAAAAAAAGTGAAGTTACCAAAACGATCTTAACTTTGTCAAAAAAGCAGAGGTTCATGTTAGTTTTACGTAAAGGTTTTTTGTTTGTGTATATTTGACATTTCTAACAAGGATTTTCCAAAGCATGCTGTATATTTTTGGGTGACCTGCACCTTCATGTCATAATGTCACATTTACTAAGTACCTTTGGGTTTTTTTATTGGTATATGGTAATGCAGTAGAAAGTTGGTGGGACGCTCCAACATCCAAGAATTAAACAACTTTTTGATGGAAGTCGTTCATATTTGCTTTTTGGATTGTTATAGTTTATTATATTGTGTTTAATAAAAAGTTGGTATTTGTGCTAGGATGAGCTGAAGCCAGGTGCTGTCTGGACTGTTTTTTATCCTACTATATGGTATGCTTTGGAAATTGGAGATTTTTTTTTATTTATGGGATAAAACATCTACCAGTATAGTTCTTAAAATTGTGTTCTCTAAACTTTCAATATATTGTCTAGTCTCTCTACATTCTAGATATGTAGAATGATGAATGTCATGCATTTATGTCTTTATCCAGGTGGATATGTTGCATTTTGGGAAACACTTAACAGAATAAAACATGCACAAAGCCCTTATTTACATTAAATCTCAATTCTTGCTTTTTGTGCTTTGAAAGCAGCATGCGTTTATTATTATGAGCTAAAGTAGTTATTGTATGCATTATGTTGTCCTCACATTTCCCAGAAACTCTGACACTACTGTAATAGATGAAAGTGCTGACTTCTTTAAAAGCATTTCTGTTTCTGTGCACTATATAATTATTCACTCGCTTTCCATCTTTTTCCCTGTGCTTTTCTCTCTTGCTCTTTCTCTTTTTTCTGTGTCTGTCTTTCTGTCTGTGTCTCCCACTCTCGTAATTATTGGCAGTAATCAGGATATACAGTACCCTCTTCTCTCACATTACATAGCTGAGCTGGCAAAACATTCCTAAAGATCCCATCCAAGCAGGGCATAAATTCTGGCCTGTTAAAAGCTAAAATAGTATTAGTTTGAAACATTCTTGGAGACTCCGGTCAAGACCTGCTATGGAGAAATTGCTTTAAGACTGCATTTTTGCATGGGGCTACATTTATTGATGAAACAGCGGTCTGTCTCTCTCAGTGGACACAGGAATGACCACAGAGGAGTCCTTTGATGAGAGAGGCTGCCATTGTGATGTTACAGTGGAGGATTTATCAGCTCCCCTCAAGGCTGTCATCAGAGCTGTCAGGTGAGCTCCTGCTACACTTCACATTTCACATTTCAGGTCTTTTAGCTGGCAAACCACCTTTTAAATCCAGACCACATTTGCAAACTTGCGTGCAAATACTAATATCAGGTGAGAAACTGAAATAAGCTATTGAATGGCTAAAAGATATACTGTAACTTGACAGAAGGGGAAGTCATTTCTAAAGTTTGCTTTAAAAAATAAAAAAATCTTTTAACACATGACTATACGTGTTCTGTCAACCAATATCCAGTCAGGCCTGATTTTCTAAATTTTACTGTTGCCTCCTTCTTAAAAAAATAGTAATGTACTATTGTTTAATACTTTGTTCAGAGTTAGATGAGAAAATTGATACCACTCTCATGTCTGTGGTTAGCTTTGGGTAAAGACTGGAAACAGGGGGAAACAGCTACCAGACTATTTCTTGTTCAAGAGCAATGACTTCCTGGGGTCTCTCAAGGAAACTATAAAAGTAGGGCTCCATGCTGGAATGTGTGATGGTTTGTTCAAATCAAATGGAAGTGTTTCCTGTCGGTCCCTACTGGCATTGAAGTTCTCCTGCTTTTCTGATTGGCCGTATCATTTATTTATGTGTATTTTGTGGTTTGTTGGAACTGATAAACAGGACATCAACCTAAGGGCTGTTTTCATGTTTCCATTTCTTATTATGTAATTGATTCCGTTGTGCTATGCTGTGCTGTAAAATAGTCTTGTTTTTTATTTTCTGCATCACAATGACATGCTCTGTCAAAAAATTACAGTGCGTAAAAGTGTTACTGTGAATCCTGTCCAATCTCTTGCAATGTTTACTGTAACTCTGTACAGTTGAGATTGATCTATGCCATACAGAAAAAGTACAGCCTTGTGCATTTTCAATCATTGTCATCAAAAGTTTAGCCATAGTTTACCAATACAATTAGTTTTGCAAATGTACCAAAGCAACTGAGAAAAAATAGAAGAAACCTGTAACATATTTTCACTTTATTGACTATACTATATTATATGTTACAAGAATGAATCAGAAATACATTCAGTAATTCCTGACATTTCAGTGCTGCAATACACTTTTTTTCAGTTGTGTACATAGTTAACACTGGTACCTGAGACCAAATGACCACAGCCTGTAATTGATGTACCATCCCCTTGAACCAGTTCTGCTAAAATATAAGCACATTTTCTTGCTTTACATTCAGCTTGCAGTTTTACAGTAAAACCACATTCAAAACATTACACACATTTCTCTAAAACATAAAATGGATGTAAATGTTCTGCAAAGATTTTCTATATACTGTAAATCTGTCCAGCTACAGCAAAAATGCAGGAAATTTGCAAACATTTTGTTTTGAATGTGTTTTGAACAGTTTTGGACACAGTGTGTTAGCATTTGAAAAATGTGCTGCAGATATACAGTGTTTTGCCGGTGGTGAAGTATTAATGGGAAAAGAGTTCATGGATTTTGGAGAAAGTGGTGATTGAATGCATTTTGTGTGAAAGCAATGAAAAATTATTCACAGTTTGGTCCACATACTCTTCTGTTTCGCTGACTGTGTGACGAGTTTTGACAATGGGACTTCAGTTTTGACCAATGCAGGTTAGCAATTGAAAAAAACTGTAAAACTCCTCCTTTAGGGCTTTTTTTCTTACATGTTTCCAGCTCACCAAAGAGTTGCCAGTCAAATGGAGATGCCACTGAACTGACTCTTTCTTTCATGATTGGCTGCTGAATGTAAACGTAGTGCAATCCTTTCTGTAGTTGAGCTCTTGTTGAAGTCAGGCCACATTTCATACTGATTGATTGGCCCTCCGTCTTTTTTTGTAGGCTGTTTATGATCTGTTACTATTGATTTCAAAGTTCATGGAGGATTCAGTGTGCAGCCCTTGAATGACTAAATTTCATTGTACGAAAATACCTCCAGCTAACAGAAGAATGCTTTGGTATAGAATAGGCCGTTTATCAAAAATTACAGCTGTTCAACAAGGTTTCTTCCCTCCAATATCCACGTAATTCTGTCTTGGGAAAAACATACATTCACCTATGAGTGCAGGGGGTTCACATGATGCACAAGCTTTTTTGAAATGTATTTCTCTGTATTTTTTCTTCTCTTTTTGCTCCATCGTTCTCTCTTTATCTAAATGACCTGCTGCTGGGATTGAGGGTTTGTCAGCGGGGAGTTTCGAGCAGCCATGCATGAGTTTCTTGTTGGTGTGTGTGTGTGTGTGTGTGTGTGTGTGTGTGTGTGTAAATGAACGTGTGTGTGGGTGTATGTTTTAGCAGACCCTGCTCTCTTACACTGGCACCGGCACCCTGTGAGTGAATGTTTATCCAACTGGCGCCAACTAATTCTCTCACTTCACTGCTTCTTCTCACCCTTTTCATATTTTTCATTGTAAAAATGTCTATTTTCACCACTCATTAGCTGGTTCTCCATTGAGAAATTACAGGTTGGTGAGGAAATTGACTTCTGGTTTAAAAGTTATGTATTGATAGTTTTCTTCATGTTAATAAGAATTCAGATGTTGCGATCCTGATTTTATACATTCTGTATTTTACCCTTCTCATATGGTGGACAGAGATAATATCTGCTTGTTCTTCTTGTCAGGGTGAACAACATAACATTTTTGACCAATTAAGCTGTTTACTATTATCAATCTTTACAGGGTGACAGGACAGTACTGTATGTAAGGGAATATGTGTCCAAAGCTGTAATAATATTCTCAACACGCAGGTACAGATGCTGCCCATATGGACCACAGCATATTTTCAATAAATAAGATGTCCCATCTGCACATCTAGAGGGAATAGCTGTTAAGCTATGCATTTTATCAAAAACACATTGGGTCTTTAAGTATATATATTTCTAACAATCCTCAGTAATGTTATATGCTGTACACAGAACATAACACATTGGTATTTTCATACAACTCCCACTTTTTTTGTATTTGTAGTTTTTATCATTGTAACAGAGATTACAAATTATGTAATAATTTCCTGTGCAATCTTTTTGGAATCCACATTTGACATAAATCAGATCAAGGGAGGATTGTTTGCAATGTTCCCTCTTGAATGGTAGTTTGGTAGTAATATCCAGTCTGTTATTAGTCACTAGTTCTGGAAGTCAAGTCACTTCGTCTAGTGAACTGAAGTCTATCAAACCCTCATCACCAGCGCCGCTGTTCCCTATACTCACATGTGTGCAAAAATACACGCACATATCATCACTACCAAACTAACCCCGGCTAGCCTGCCCACCCAGCAGGCCTCCTCCATGGGCAGCCGGAGCCCAGGGCTTTCCCAGGGTGTCGGGTTGACGGTTGGACACCCCTCCCCTGTCAGGAGTGTTATTACAGAGGGTCATCTGTCGCCATTGTTTCCTTTTAGACAGTGAGAAAAACAGGCAACTGGAGAAAAGCAGAAGCCACCTGGGAATCCAAATGCAGCAAGTGCATAGATCCCCTTACCTGTATCAATATTATTAACCCAGCAGTGGCTCCGTTCACCAAATAGAGGAAGATAGAGAATTACACTCAAGTTACAAAGTAATTTATTTTAGTTGTTATAAATTTGACAAGCAAACGAGGGAACTTTGGTTTCCCGTTAGAGACTCCTTGATGTATTTGACTGTACTTTTTATTGGCTTTACAAAAGGAGACATATCAAACCAATAAAGGACACATCATTCATAAAGAAACAAGGGATAGACAGAGACTGAGCATTATTATCTTGTATATGCGACATAGCATATGTCTTCACATTAAGCTTATGCTTTTATCCAAAGCGACTTACAATTGCAGTAATTGTCAGAGGCTGCACGCCTCTGTAGCAACTATGGGTTGTGTCACAGTGGGGAATTGAACCTGGGCCCCTCACACCAAAGGTATCTGACTAATCCACTGCTCCATCACCACCCCATGTGTGGCATGTCATGTGTTCAACCTAGTACCTCAGGTTGTGCAAGCTACACAGTACCTCAGAATACACATGTCATAAAGAACATCATACCATTGTTGGAGCGGCTGCCACTCCTCAACATCACATTGCCGAAGCGTAGGGGCCCCAGATTTTCATATAGAAACCTTACCTGTCTATTAGTTTGTAAATTTTAGCCATTTCATCCAGCCATTCCTTCAATAATATATCACCTTTAGTTTTCCAATGTTGCAGCACTAGTGTGCATCCAGTGATAAGTGCTGTTCTGCACCATGAGATCTGGTGGGTATATAGACCACTTCCTTCAGGTTTCACGCCTAATAGACAGAGCATTGGTCCCTGTATCAAGGTATAAGTCACTCAGTTGATGAAGAGAGTCATCTCTGACCATAGAAGATGCACCATAGGACAAATGTATTTGAGATGTTTTCTTTTAACAATAAAAAAAAGATCAACAAGTGAAATGTAGTGTGTATTTCCCAAAGCTGTTGCTACCATCTAGTGGTTAGTTGTAGTAATTACATCCTTATTTTTGAAGCCTCTTTTGACTCTCTTTTTCTTCTTGTGTGCTTGTATTTTGTGTGCGTGCGTGTGTGTGTGTGTGTGTGTGTGTGTGTGTTTGCTTGCATGTGTGTGTGTAGGATCATGAAGTTCCACGTGGCAAAAAAGAAGTTTAAGGAAACATTGCGTCCATACGACGTGAAGGATGTCATAGAGCAGTACTCAGCAGGACACCTGGACATGCTCTGTCGCATCAAGAGTCTTCAGACTAGGTCAGCACACACACACACACCCACACTTACATTTAAATCAAAAAAAAATTTTTGTACACTTGGGTATCACCCCGATTAATTTTTACTTGAATTTGCTCTTGTTTACCATATTTACCGTTTGTCCATATCTGTTACTTGTTCTTTATGAAAGTTTTATTCTTGCATAGATATTGCCAATGTTGCTGCAGTTGCTACTAGTTCTAAAGAGGTTATCACTCTATGGGTGATGATTTTAAATTATATGAACCCACTTTTACATTTTACCCAGTGTGTGTATGTACTATACATGTGTATTCCTTTTCTCTCTCAGATTAGACACTGTAGTGGGTCCCTCTCCAAGGCCTTTCAGCAGCCGCTTCAAGACCTTTTCCTCTCCCTCTCTGCATTTATATTACAGCCATTCCCGAAGGAAACAGTCTGTACCGGGGTTAGACCTAACCCGTCCTGATTTGCTCGCCAACTGCTTCCCTCCCTAACATAACCAAACCTTTATTATGTCAAACCTGGGTCGAGCAGCATGCATTTGCATCTATCAGAAAATCCCCTTCATCCCTGCACATCAATAGTCCATAAAGTTTGAAAAGAGTCACAGAAGTTTTTGTCTATTTAGTTTAGATGCAGCGCCAACTTAAACGCAACATGGTGGAAAGAAATGTAGCACTGTGTCCAACTGTCTCACACACCTGGTGAGATATCTGTTTATTCTTGTGAAGCTTTTTCTAGCATAACCCGGCCCTATAAAGCACTTCAGCAAGAAACAGGCAAACTGACAACTTCCATTTCAGGGCACTTGCCTTCCATCTTTTGGAAGAGAACACAGTTCTGTTTAACTGCCAACTTTAAGAGGGCCATGACAAATGTTCACCGTTTGTTTTAGTCTTCTTGGAGATCGGTGGGGTTTTCTGACATAGTACATGCATAAGTTGCTACAGAAACATTTATCAAATTGGCTGGATGACCCAGTTCTGGCAGTAGAGGTCGTCAAGGAGCTCAAGCAATAGATTAGAAACAAAGTTGTCCAAGAAATGCATAAAGAAACACCCATTGGACAATAGCTATTCATTTTTTCTTGCCACATTTTTAAACCAAGGAAGTGGTCCTTTGTCACACCATTTGTATTTGATTAGTGCTAAGTAATATATTTTAAACACGTTACATGTTCATACCATACTAGAAACTATGTGATTACTGATTTGGGCTCCCTGAGGACTTCATCTAACTGGAACAGTATGTCTGCTAACATAGGCTGTAGGTGATATACAAGCTAAGTGCTACTTAGAGAAGTAGTTGATCTATTTTGTCCTTATGTAAAAGCTCCAATCCAGACTCTGACTTGTTCATCATCAGTCACTCATTCAAATTCCAGCTGTTTCAGTTCCTATTTCCTTTTGCAGCCACATATAGAGGCTTTCAGTTCTTTTATCAAAAATCTATAATTACTTAAGATATAAAAAGCAAAGCTGGAGATTGTTTCAGCAGGGGGCACTATAGCGCAGCTGTGGATTGGGACTTTCACATTTACAAACCTGTTTTTTAAGGACTTTGTTTTAGGGCTTGGTATTGACTGTTATCAGGTGTTTTGTTAAGCTAAATGAATGCCAGTGTAGGCATTAGAACTCCTGGGAATGATATAGTTCTTGTTTTCTGTTATGTTATGAGTGTTGGTGTGAAGTGGGTCTATTGGCAAAGGCTGTAGATACACACAGACCACCTGGGTACTACAGTGTGCATTTGCTGTATCTCTTTAACAGTGCTACTAGACTTCCATCATACCAGTCAACTTTATGAATATCATACTTTCACAGGCTTAGTCTCTGAGGATGATGTAGAATGTAAACCTTAATGTGGCCAACATCATGAAATGCAAACAGAAGTGTAAAACTGATGCTTCAATTTTGATTTCATTGAATGAAGGAGGATCTGTGAGCAAGGGATAAGCTACTAGTTACATACACTTACATACATAGATACACTTACTAACTTGAAATGTTTTCAGCAATGTTTTTGAAAAATGAACTCTTAATTTAAAAGCAATAATGAGCAATCATTACTATCCATTAAATGAGGCAGGTAAACATGCTTTAAATCATTGTAAGCCCACCATGACATTTTCCATTAATGTGGTTATCAGTGAAGTGTGTCTATTAGTGACACATTGCGGTTTAAATGTTGTTTTATACGCTTTTCTGCCTTGACATGTATTCAAATATGGGAGAAAGACTAAAGATACATGGTCAAATTTAAAACCATTTATTATGAAAATATTAAAAGATCATACCATAACATGAAACATATAAAAATGTCAGCATCAGTATCAGCCTTTATTTTCAGCCTAAACTCTGTGTTTATCTACATGCCAATGTTATTGATTGCCAATTAGTACAATAGGACTGGATTTGTTCCACATGTGCTTCATGCTTTAGTGTGTGTGTGTGTGTGTGTGTGTGTGTGTGTGTGTGTGTGTGTGTGTGTGTGTGTGTGTGTGAGAGAGAGAGAGAGAGAGAGAAAGATGTATCTGACCCAGTCTTTCTCCTGTCTCCAGACTGGCCAGTGCAGCGGGCTCTGGTCCCAGCCTGAATAGCCGACCCAGGAACATGTCCTCTCCTGCCCTGCACTATTATTACAGCAACAACAGGAAGAAGCTCCCTGACTCAGGGTTACTTTGATTTCACTTAACTTAAGTTTTACCTACAGTAGAATCCCATTAGTCGCCCCTATGGTGAACATTAGTTCCATTGCAGTCCCCAATAACCGTCAGATGTAACATGCAAGTACACATGCTCGCAGGGACGCAAATAATAGTCCTTTGTATTAACTGTCTTGTGTACAAGATGTTTGGTGCTTGCAGTGGACACTGCAATGAGTACTTGAAGGTTTAGACAGTCACACAGAAAGGATTTTGAAAGTGAAAAACATATTAAATGTTTACTTAAATCATGATTATTCTACTGCGTTTAACTCCACCCATTTGGTAAAGTTTTAATTAACCACACACACCAACATTTGCATTTAATGAAAATACTAATGAGTATACACACATGCCCAAACATATCATCCCTGTTGCTACATTAGATCCCATCCATAGTTCCATACTTCATCCTTGTGTGTGGTTGTGAATGGAAGTGTTTTCCAATTAATTCACATGTGTTTTGTGTTAGACAAAAAAATATATCTGTGTGGTATGTAGGCGCTGGTCTCTCCTAGATCAGTGCATGTTAGAGATACAAAAACATTATTACCTAAATTAATTCAACATTATTACAGAGTCAAAGACTGAGAGATTTGATCAGAATTCTGACATTCAGAAAGCTGGCAACAGATTCACTGATAATCTCCATGCAGCACTACATTTAACGTCTCATTTGGGCTTTAAATGTCTTAAAACTTAATAAAAAACAATCTTCTTCTGGATGGAAAGTTAAATAAATAGCTGGTAATGGACTTACACATACCTCAACACTGTTGTGTTACTTGAGTATTGGTAAGTGGAAAGGATAATCCTGTATAAGCTATGAGCATTTTCTGAACACTTGGTCTGATGAATTTATCTAAACTCAAAAATACATAGTAATGCTTGAGATATTTATATATATAGAGAGAGAGATGTTTTCCCCCAACAGCAACAGTATGATCTTTGCTTTGAATGTGCTATGTTTGTAAACCAAATCATGAGATATAGTGCTCATAAATGAGTTGTGCTTTTATTCCATTTACTTGTAAAAATGTGATTTTTGTTTTTTTGTTTTCATTTGTCACATTTACAATTTTTATACTTTAAGTTTAAGAGCCCATGAAACCCATACAAACTACATAATGCGTGAAACAATTTTGGAGATACAGGGTTTTCATATAAGAGCACTGCTATAGCCATTCCTTTTGTGTTGTGTGTTTTACTAACCCTAATCTTAACATCCTACTGCTGCTTTAGGTTTGTTGCCTGACTTGGGATAACCTGAAATGAAGCTCGGGTGACTACTTATATTGCAACATCATTATTTCCTAATATATTGACACCAGTATTGGTGCTTGTGTGTGTGTGTGTGTATCAGGGTGGATCAGATTCTGGGAAAAGGCCATGTTCCTGTGGATAAGAAGATGAGGGACAAACTTCACCCAGATGGAGACACTCTGGAGGGCATGAGCATGCTAGGACGTGTGTGTAAGGTGGAGAGACAGGTGAGTAAAGAAAGAAATGAGAGAAGGGGAAAACTAAATCAGCATTATTCTTTAGAAATACCTGTGTCTCAGGAATTCATTCTGCCAGGAGATTTCTGTCTTTCAAAATTCACTTTCTGGTCTGACATCTGTTTTGGAAACAAGCACCAGAGATCTGTAAAAGTTGCTCTGAAATTCCTTGGTCGAAGATAGAAGTCAGTAAAAGCCCTTTAAGCTTTGCTGTCTTGCTTGCTGTCTCTCTTTCTTTGCCTCCCTCCATGTTCTTACTGTTTTCTCTTCGTCCCAGGTAACTTCCATTGAATCAAAGTTGGATTCTTTGCTGGACGTTTACCGCCATGTTCTACAGAAAGGACCCTCAGCACTCACCCTCTCGTCCCTTCCACTGTTTGAGCTAGACAACCACCAGCACCACAACTCGGACTACCAGCCCTCCATCATCGGTAGGGATCTCCCCTCCCCCCAGGGAGGTGATCCGGTTGGAGGTGGAGGAGATAACAGTGGGGGCTTACGCCGTTCTCTTAGCGCCAACCCGAGAGGCCTGCGGCTCATCCTGCCACCCGCCGATGATGACGGCCCTCCAGACTCAGCACCTCCATCCTACCCCCCGTCCACAGCCTCACTCTCACCATCACCCCTACTGCCTCCCGATAGCCCCTACCCAACCTTGGTCACCCCCAATGGTACCACCAAAAGAGCACACTTCCCTGACCTGCCTCCCCCACCTCCCTCAACAGGGGGTTTCACCCTCCGGCTGCCTCCCATTTTGCACCCCTCCCATCTCCGATGCCCCGTTGACCCCGTCTCAGATGAAATGACAGATGAAATGACAGATGGAATGGCGGCGGATGAAGGGAGCCTGGGCCCCTCTGTTGTTGTGGGATCCAGTGTGGATGCTGAGCAGGAAGGGGACAGTGAGGCTGGCCCTGCCCAGGGAAGGGTGCAGCTGCGGGAGAAGCCTGGCTTGAAATCTGAAGGGGTCTGGAGGAGGCACATGAGCCTGGAGGTTAACCCCCTGCTGTTGCTCTCATCTTGCCCAGATGGGACGCCGTCAGACTGGGAGAGCAGTCTCGGGAAGTCCCTCTCTGTGCACAACCTCAGCCAGTCTTTGACCAACCATGCTCCAGGCCTCTCCTCAGCACTCAACAACAGCAGCAGCAGCAGCAACGGTAGCGTACCTTGCAATGCCCACGGTGACCTTAGCAACTGGGATGGAGCAGAACTCTTCATTAGTGAGTGCAAACTACAGCCAGCGGAAGAACATTTCAACTTCCTGTCCCAGGGACCTGACAGCAACGCCTCAGACCTTTTACAGACTGTGGAGGAGGCTGCACCTCACGCCAAGGGAAATTCAGAGTTTCTCAGTCAGTCCCCACACATACAGCTGGCATAACCACCCACACACACACTGACACATGCTCACATACTGTATGTACACACCATGGTTATAGGAAACCAGTATTTTCTACAGGACACTACTATGTTGCAAATGTCTAATTGATGCCTTGTACATGGAAATACAATGTTTTTATTTTATTTTTTTGATTAACATGATTGTGTCCATATTATGGAGTTAAACAATTCCATAGTACAATGGTGTATAACATATCTATGAAAGTGGGCATATTCACAAAATATGCTTGTGACAAAATACACAAAATATACACAAATCAAAATATCCTTGGTTTAAAAGAAGTTACTTGGATCTTTATCTTAAGATTCAGAAATGATAATTTCATTAACTTTATACAAAAGGTCATGTTTTTCATATACAAGATCATATATTAAAAAAAAGATCAAATGTAATTTAATGTAAAATTTTAAAAAACAAGGAAGGAATGTTGCCTACTAGACATCAGAGTGTATAAGCAAATCAATTAATCAATTAATTTGGTTATAATTTCTTTATTATACCTTTATTTTACCAGCCAAGTTAATTAAGAACAGTTTCTTATTTACAATAACAGCCTGGCAGGAGACAAAGGCCTCTTGTGGGTTACTGGGATTAAATAAAAACAATAATTAATTTGGTTCATCACAAAAAAATTGTTAACTTTGTTTTCAAGGTAATTTCCAGCAGTCCTACATTTTAACTCAGTCTGAACCCAACCTGAAACCAAAGGACCTACTTTGGGCTCATCGCTGAAACAAGCGGGAGTGTAACTTTTTATTGTAAAAATGAAAGGATATGTCATCTTTGACTTTGACAATTAATTGAGTAAAGAAAACTAAAAGGAAATACTGTAAGGTTTTTTAATAACCAAACATAGTTGTAAGTTACAAACGTGTAGTTGAGCCTCAAACAAGGCAGGTCAACCAGTTCTTTCTTAACATGTTGTTCAGCCGATACACACGGGTACATCCACACACATACAATCACTCTTTCACAAACACGGACACTGACATACATAAACACAGAGTACCCTGAGAAGAGCCAACTTGACAAAGAGCTGAGATTGACTAATGACTTATTTTTTCATACAAGTGCTTGTATTCAGAGACTTTATTGGAAGAAGAGTAGAGTCACTCACTCTCCTTATTATTGTCTGTCTTTGGCAATGTAAAATGTCACCTTTTACTTATTTTTTCATACATATCACTGTATGGACTGTTTCTAGAAAACAAATGAATGACTGATGGGTGGGACCTGGTGTGATGGAAATAGCTGAATTATGAAAGAGCTCAAGGTCACACTTGGTTTGGACAGCATCCTGGTGAGTTAGTTGCCAATAGTCTGAATGTTGAATTGCTTTTCAAAGGGGCTTTCCAGCCAAACATGAAATTCTGCATGTCTAAGGTGTTGTGATAATTAAAGTCAAGAGCAGTCACACGCTAGCTGGTGACCTTTAATAAAAAAGTACAAACAAAGTCTGCCTATATGAACAATATTCTAATTTGAACTAATTTGAAAGTAGTGAAAACATGTACCCACATACTACACAATTTTAGGACAACTATACAACTTTTTATGGTCATTTAAGTAATTTTCTTGACAAACCCTGTGTTTTTACTGGGTGCTGGTTGCACCAATAATGTTTAAAGCCCGCTGGACTGACCATATTCCCTCCTCCCAGTCTGGAAAACAACACGAGGTGTAGTGTGGTGTAACAGGGTGCAATGCCCAGACTCCATTTATAATACAGCAGGTTAACAATATGTACATGCACTGTTCCAGGGTGCATGCTGTTATTTGTGTCCATTCTGCTGCTGACATTGTCAAAAATACGATATATTCACATCGAAAAATAAGAGAGAGAGGGAGAGAGAGATGAGAAAAATGGTCCCTGTAATGTCAATATTTCTGGGACTTCAGCATTCAGCAGATGAGCTATGTGCTTAAGGGAACTTTGGCAGGAGACTAACTAGACGACTTCCAACTGAACTGAAAATGTGGCTTATGTGTGGTCTCTTTCACCCCCCCCCCAAAAAAAGGATAATAAACCAGGATTTTGAATGTGCACGTACTTCCTCCTCGCCAAATCAAGAATTATAATTACAACATTTAACCATTTAGGGTTATTGTAATAAGCTTAAAATGGGAAAAGTGGATACATTTATATTTTAGTGCATTCAGATCGAGAAGTTATATGTATTCACTAGCACACTCATGAAAAATGGTGTGTTGCAAGTAGATGCTGTCCTACCGCTATACTTGCATTGTTGACATTGCCATCCTGCTTGTAGATTGGTTAAATCAGAATTATGCACAAAACTATGTCTGCCATCTTAATTTTTGTTAGCCTTTTTGTTTTTGCATGTTTACGTCTTTAGGGGTATGCAGTTACGGCAGTCTTAAAAATCTATTTTAATGTGTTCATGACAACCTTTATTCATCATTGTTTTCCAATTATATTTCCTTTGTTTTGAATGGTGAGTAAATGCATTGCTTAGCAAATAAACATGCTGTTGCAGAATATAAAAAGTATTATAATCTAACAAATGACAATATTGTAAAGACTTGTAGATTAATGTAGAAATATTCTACAGGCAATGCAGGAGTTGTTGTTGTCTGATGAAATATATTATCAACATGAAAGCACAGTTGTTTTTGGTGAGTTTGAGGAGCCTGAAAATGTGACTTGCTAGTTTGATGCTTAATATTAGAATGGATTTGTTATAGTTATTGATTGAATTTTGCTACATATGAAAAGAGGCCAAACAAAACTCAGTTACTTTGGAGCAAGATATCGAACAAATGCTGAAAAACAAGGAAAGCCCAAGGACTCCAGCCAGTTGGGACTTTTGATTGATTTTTGCAATCTGTAAATTGCTTCAGGGTGCCTTTCTTGCATTTGAAAATTCTTCATGATTTCTTTATGGGCCATAAAGGTCATGTTGCCTACAGCCTATAGCATACTGTATAGTTGAAGTCAAACTGCTCATTTTGTGTTGGGCATCCAGTTCACTTAAGTCTTTAGCCACAGACTTTATATGGCTTTGATAGCTAATAATAGCATTTCTCTACTGCTTGAACAGTAATTTATTACACAAATGGCCTTAAAGCTTGATAAAGTTAACATTATTATTTCTTTGAAATTAATTTATTAAAGTGCACATTATGTTCTCTGGATGAGAAATGCAAAAATAATTTTATTATTCATTAATAAAGTACAAATTAACTGAACTTCTTTTGTTTTCTGTGTCTTTCTGTGTCTCAAAGCAAAAGTTAGCATGTTTAGCAAGTCACACAAGTACTACAACTGAGTATTAGGGCCACATTAGGGGGAAAAAAGGGGATGACGATTTTTTATTTAAAGTCAAAATTTGAGGAATAAAGTGGAAAGGATGAGAATAAAGTCGAAATGAGGAGAGTAAAGTTGAACTATCATTTTGAGAATAAAGTGGAAATGAGGAGAATAAAATCGATGGCTAAAATCAGAGCCCTTTAAAGAGACCCTTACTTTACAGGTCTCTGACTAAAATGACTAAATAAAGTCGAAATGACAAGAATAAAGTGGAAATGAAGAGAATAAAGTTGATATACCATTTCAACTTTAATCTCGCCATTTCGACTTTATTGTCATCATGTTGACTCATTCTCAACATTTCGACTTAATTCTTGAAATTTCCACTTTATTGTCGATATGGCAAATAAATAAATAAATCTTCATTCTCAATGTGTTTTTTTTTATATACACAGTCCGTATTTTAAGCATGGTAGATAAAGGGTATGGTATATAATAAATGTTGATTTTTGTTAAAAATGTCTCCACCTTTTTATAACATTTACATTTTAGTTAGTTTTATTCCATATGATTACAAATCTGTCAAAAAGAAGTCGGAAGTATGAGAGGAAGTGATTTCTTGATTGACAGCTTGACGGTTAATTGCAGTTAGCTAGCTGGCAGGTGGGGAGTCAACTTTAAAATGTCTGACTGGGAAGATGAGTACAATGAAGGCGGCGTTGCTTTGCAGAAACCTGCAACAAAACTACCTCCGACTGAATGGAAATTGCCAAGTGATGGCCGTCAAAGGGAATATGAATATTTCGGTGTTAGAAATCGATCCAGGTTTGAAGACTCAAGAGAGGAAAGAGCGGATCGTAACGGCGGGGGATCCGAGTACCAAAGCCGGAGAGGTGGAGGCCGTCCATTTCCTCGGAGTACGGGAGGACGCAGCTTTGGCGATGAAAAGTCCCCGCCAGTGACTCTCACCGTGGAAAATTCTTCAGTTGGGAGAGTAATAGGTAGGTTTGCAATGCAGGAATTTTAATTCAGTTCAGTTTTACACACTTCGTAGTCTTGGCCAACTTTAGCTAACTTAGCTAACGTTACATTTAATTTGACTTTGCTGTGTTAACTTAGCTAATGGTAGTTATGCTAAACCACTTGGAAAAGCTTATAATCCAAGTTCCAAAAGTGGTTTAGGTTAGTGTGTGGCCATGACCTGTACAAAAGGGATGTGTTAATTGTGTTTCCTATGTGGAACTAACCTTAGCGATGTGTATACATTTTGGTCAAACTCTAAATTCATTGTAATCCTGTTAAAGGTCGCGGGGGAGCCAAAATTCGTGAACTTGAAGAGAGCACTGGTGCAAGAATCAAGGTAATGTTAAGTTGACTAATAAACTTGCTGGTGTTGGGAAACAATGATGTACACTTAAAAACGACTGCCTGCATATGTGGACTAACCATGCTTCTAGACAGAATCCTTGTCTGAGGAAGGAACAAGAAAGCAGACTGTACTTTTTTCCTAGTCTGTTAGCTAACGTCAATGTAAACGTAAACTTACCCAGCAAAACTTCAAAATACCACCATGTAAATGTCTGCTTTGACTCCAATTTAACTACACTGCCCATTTTTTCTTGCTACCACATAAATACTAAATCTGCATTTAGCATCTCTTTATTTTTCATGACTGTTGTAATGTTAAAATCCTTTTGTAGTCGAGTAAAGGTCCAATTTTATTACAGTATTTTTGGGATTCGACTGCCTTGCTAAAGCCCTGTGTCATTTTTGGATGAACAGGAATGTATTTAGGACACTGATGTTAGCTCTGCTGTTCTTTTGTATTTTATTATTATTATTCTTTTTTTTTTTTGTAGATTAACAAGGGGGACTATGAAGGTGAGGTGGTCATCTTTGGGTCCGCTGCTGCCCAGCAGAAGGCTAAGGAGATGATTGAAGAACTGGTGGCAGATGTCAACTCACGATTTCACAATGGTACAAAGTATTTTTTTGGATAATGTTGATCTTGATCGTAAAAGGATTCCTGGCACTTGTGCGTCTTTAAGCGAACATAATGTTTGTGATCGACTCTTTAATATGAACTCCTTTTGTATCCATGAAGGGATCTAACTTTCCCACTCAATGTTATAAATTGGCCTAGGTAGAAATTCTCCTGTATGTGAGAGACAGGGCCCTAGTGAATAAAGGGGAAATAGCTATTAACAGTGCCATGCAGACTGGAACTTTAACTGAATGGCACATTCAGATATGGAGAGAAATGTTTTCTGTAGCTTTTTCATATAGTGTCTTGCGATATATATCATCTATGATAATATCTTAGTTGTTGTTTTTATCGATGTGTGAGCAGAATTATCAAGTAGGCAATGTCACACACTTTGCCTCCACTGTGCAGTCACTGCATCATGCATGCATGTGGTTAAATGAGCAAAAGATGCTGGAAAAATTCACAACGAAAGTAAAAAATGAGTGAACAGTGTCAGGAGATAAAACACAGACACACCCAGCCTTGTGGTCTGCTGTCACGTCGTTGGATTTAATTGCTAAATTTGAATCAACCTTGCTTGTATGGAAACAACCACTGCATGGGATATCAAGAATATGAAAAGCTATGTAAAGCAGCTACTATCGATAGAAGTCTATGCTAACTTTGGGGCCAATCCCTTTACTCTTTCTTCAACAGTTGGCAAGCAACACACAGGAGCTCCGCTTTAGTTTTGAGAAGCTGCAGTCTTTATTCATCGGCCACTGTAACTTACACTTCACTTTACCTTACTGCTAAACTAGGCGCTCTGCTCTTCTGCTAATTATGGGCACACCTGTTCATACACACAGTCTCACTCAAATAAGCTATGCTCACACATGACTTACAAACACATTTTTGTAGGATGCCATATATAGACTATTTATTGTCAAAATCCCAGAAAATATCTAGATATAATTTTTTGTTAATTTCGCACCTTACTAGTGTCTTCCAGTACTGTGTTCAGACAGAATATGAGGCAAATTTTAGAGGTGGCATGACTGACAATTAGATGTGAAGACACATAATCACGAGTTGATGAACATGCATGGATCTACAGGACAGTCTAATTTGCTGCAGTAAGAACTAATAAAGGAAGATGAACAAAGCAGATGGCTGGAATAAGAGTGTTTGTGGCCTGTTCATTCCTATCTCAAATCTTTTGTCCCAACAATAAAGGGCTGGACAATTAATTGGAGAAGAAAAGAAAAAAGGAAAATCAGAGCCTCTAACCGAAGTAACATGTTTGTTATTTCAGTTATTTAATCCTGGTAATATTGTGCGTGTTAAGGGGAAAGTACATTGAAACACCGCCAGTATAGTCACGTGACTCTGCCCTGTCCAGTTCTGGTCCAGCTCAGCCTTCAGACCGAGTCTGAAGCACAGGGAGATGCTAGCTATCGCTAACAGTCTTAACTTTCCAGCAGTTGTGGAAACAACCGACAGACTTTTAATAACACACACACCTACACTGTACATTTACTGCCAGACTGACAAGGTAATTTCACAATAAAGATTTTTACACTCGATTGAGGTGGTTTTTGCCTTGGTCGAAAAAGAGTAAATGCGGTAAATGTGTGATAGAAAACTTTTTCCAAATTGACGTAGCGAACTTGTAACTCACGTCTGATCAGCTGTTTCTGCTGTCTGTATCTAGCCCGGTTGTGCATTTCATACACATCGCGGCTGATAACGCTCATTTGTGCTGAGAAAACAGGTGGATGTAAATCTCGGCAGGTAGACTTCATGTGTTCTGCCGAATTATGCCTTCACCTCTTAAAGGTCCTTTTCAGATACATTGCACACTGATCAAACGGGGTTATCACTGCATATTTTGGCTGAATCTCAATGAATGCTACTTCTGAGTGTAATAAAATATTAACGACTCTAAACGTTCATAAAATATATACTTTGAATCATTTATCATGATTGAACCCCACAAAGGATATAGCGTTTACAAGCATTATTTGGAGATGCATGCAATTCTCGGCAGGCATGCAAAACTCTGCATAACACCGGATATTCCCATAACGTGTGGAGATGGCTGACCTGCCGGTTTGAAACACATTTCTGAGGACCTCTATTTATTTTTCTTAAGTTCGATGGCCATCAGGTCCATGCAACTGGTTTTGTTTCTGGTTTGGACCCATACGTCTTGTTTATTACAGTCATGTGTAACGTCAACTACTGACGTAACTACGTTTGCCGTAGCCTGGTTTATTCGCTCCAAACCAGCTGATGGAATCGCACCTATTTCGCAATTTCTTTTTTGCTACATTTCAAAAGTACGTATAAAATTCGCATGAAACTTAGTTGGAAACGTGGCTACTTTCTGCCACTCGCGCTCTCTCATTCGCTCGTCCACTCACTCGCTACGCAAACACATCGCACTGCAGTTAAAAGACCAAACTCCGGTCACATGTCTTTTGATGAATGCGGAGAGGAAGCTAGCAAAGCATGTTTAACCATGCACAGTGTGCGGAAGAAAAATCATTTGTTCTGCATTGATACTAAATAACCGAGTAAACGTTTAGTAGCAGCTGTTTATAATTAAGTAACGGCAACGTGCCAGATATATGGGAACCATATCTGTAATGTGCAGGTCAACATTACCTTATTAATCAAAATGAAGATAATGGATTTGTGAAATCTGTGAATAAATAAACCCAGCAGCCCAGCTTTAATAGTTGAGCATATTTACAGTACAAACCTTGGCAGTGAAATATGAGGGCAAAAAACCAACATTCAAAAACAAAATAATCGTTCAATAATCGTAATCAAGGTGAAATGTTCAATTAATCGTGATTTTGATTTTAGGTGAAATTGTCCAATGAATGAAAATGAATCTCCGGCAGCATACTAATCTGTTTCTCAGGTTTTGGTAGGGGGGGAGGCTGCAGAGGAGGTGGTGGTGGTGATGGAGGAGGCTACAGAGGAAGAGGTGATGGAGGAGTAAAGACAGGCTCTGTCTGGTCTGCAGCAGAATTGCAGGCTGCGGATGCCGTCCCGGCCCGTGTACCTATAGACTGGAACTCCATCCGGGAGAACAAGGACAAGTATGAGCAGCTCAAGTGGAAGGGTAAGGGTAATCTCACTGTTGTACTTACACTGCAGTCCACAAGCATTTGGTAAGTGATATGGTTTTCATTTGCATAATGGATTTGAAATGACATGAAAGTTAAGAGTGATGACTTTCATCATGCCCAAACAAAACTGTCTCATGACCACTACTTTTAATTCCCTTTTTGTATATTAATTAGATTGTCCTTGTGGTGAAACCCCATGGGTTTAAACTGTTTCTGTAATATTTGCTACTTACTTCAGATGTTCCACCCCTGAAGAAGAAGTTTTACACTGAGGCAGAGTGTGTATCCATGCTCACAGCAGAGGAAGTCAGTGAATGGAGGTAAACCTGTTATGTATCCTCTTGTTCCCTGTGGGTGTCAAAAGATTGGAATACCAAGTGTCCACATTATATTATACAATACTAGACACTAGTATTATTAGAAAAACTATTTAGTTCAGGCAGAGTTACATTCCATGATTCTAAGGAGACAGTTTGCAAAACCTCTCCAACCAACACTTTCCCCGAAATGTTTGTTGTCTGCGTTGTTTTCCATTAAGGCCTGGTGGTACCATTTATCCACCTCTTCATGTGTTATCTGAGCAGGTCCGGCTGTAATTCCTAGAGTATACTGCAAAATAAACCCTGGCACAGTTACACTGTCATTCTGTGGGAAACTGCAGTTGATTTTCATGTGGTATTTAGAAAACAGCGTAGTTTGGACCAAATGTGGTCTCTTAAACATAAACTACAGCCGAACACAATGCATATTTGTCTTTCTCTCGTGATTTGGAATGAACAACTTGACCCAGTCAGCCAGTTCCACATTGTTCTTCTATGTGTTATACTTTTCCATAGGAAAGAGAATAACAATATTTTTGTGGACGACCTGAAGGAGGAGGGGGAGAAGCGGCCCATTCCCAACCCCTGCCGCACCTTTCTGGAGGCCTTTGAGCTTTATCCAGAAATCATGGAAAACATTGAGCGAGTTGGCTTCGTCAAACCAACCCCCATCCAGGTATGAGCCTGGCACCTGGGCAAATACATTTTCTAAATTATCACTAATAATACATCTGTTTTACTGCTGAATATATTAAATTCATCATTCTCCAATGATGGACTTAATGTGTTTTGCACAACTGTTACTGATATTTATGTTGGGAGACACTGATATACGTATGTGCCTGACGACAAGATTTTACACCTTGATGGGATCAAATCCGGTTGCTTTAAACAACTTAGTTGGATTTATTACCAAAATTACTGTCTAAAAGTTTATACAACAAGGGAAATACATTGCCGTTATTCCTGTAAAATGAGTAATTACTGTTTCAAAAAATGGACACCTTATTTTGGAACAAAATTTTCCATGTGTGTACCACTTTATGTGGCTGGATGTTACAAAGACAGATGCACCTGTAGTGCCATATTGTGTGTTTTCGTTGGTAATCCCCTTGATTTACAAAAGATCCATATTTGGGAAATACCCCTGTTAACAGCAGCCTTGATGGGAAATATTAAACCTTTTTTTATTAAGTAATCTATGGTTGTAGTCTTGCCAAAAAGCAGAAATGAAACAAAATTAGTTGTATTTTTAGGTAATCCTATAAATGTATGTTGAGAACTGGGCCAAACAAATTATTTAATTCATACTTTTTGTACATAAATTAACTATTTAATTGAGAGGGTCTTTAATATAACATTTGCTTAGAATAATTATTACAGTGTTTCCACTGTATTCAGAGTAATGGGAATAAGCATGGAAGGCCTATAATCACTACTGCCCAAGGAAATAATAGAAATCTCAATGTTTGTAAGCAAAATGACCGATAATGTTGGGGGTGTGTGGCTCTATATTTGGCAAGTGATACTTTGAAAATTATGAACTGAATGTGCTCTTACATGCTGCTGGTTTTTTTGTTTGTTTGTTTTTCTTTGAAACCTAAAGACATGCTTGGGGGGCTTGGTCAGAAATGAATTTTTTCTGAATTTGAATTGACTCTATCAAGTACCATACAATCTAATAATATGTCATATTAGCATCTATTGGATTAAAAGACAGATGGAAAGCAGACACATCATCACATGACACAAGCTTCAGGTCATTCCAGTGGTAGAAATGTACAGGACATCCCCATTAATAGTTACAGATTGTCACTTCTCCCCCATTCAGTCACATATCAACAATGTACTTGTTGTAACTCCAGTGACAAATATGTTTTAGGTTAGTTTCTGGGTGTTTTCTGAGTTTTCTCTCCTCTTAGTCTTGAAATGTTGCTCTCTATGGCTTAGTCAATACAAAATTTAAGATAGAAATATGCTGCAAGGAGAAATGAGAGTACATAATTTCCCTCTTATTTCACTTTCATTTCACAATAAGAGAGATGATGAAATGGAACATAATGCTTCTTCTCTTTGCCCAGCCTGCTCTGTATAATGAAATATGAGTCTGACAAATATGATGTAATCTTGTGTTTCATGTGAGTTCACTGTACTGCCCTACCCTCTACTTTGATCCACCCTGTAATACCTGCTGGTGTGACACTGTCAGATATGTATCTGAGCGAACCAGTTCTGTGATTTAAAACAAAAACCTTCCGTTGTAGGTCTGGATGGCATACTGAGTGAGGTAGGGCCTGATTTTCCTTATGTCGTACAGAGCAAAGAAGCAGGAACGAGAGACCGCAGCGACATGGTCTCAAAAAGGAAAGTTGGTCATCAATCATGACACGCAAGTTTCTCACCACCCTGGAGTGATGGTTAAGGAGTCCATTTGTAGTTGTGTGTAGCTACACACAAGCACACATTACGCACTGTTCCTTAAAAGACTTAACTTACGCTGAATATAGAGAGAACACTGGTCTCTGTTATGCGCTTGCCACAGACTGTCCGGTCACTGCACTTCTTTCGCCTTTTTGCGTTCCATCAACGTTATGTTATCAGTTACCTTTTTGAAAATCTATTTTTGACAGTTGTGAATCTATTCAGAATCATCCACGTCTGCATCTTGATGCATCTAACAATGGATTCCCCCTTTTTTAATAGTTTTTGATAGTTATGTTTTTTTGCATGTCTTTAATTTTGTATTGCTACTTTAATACAGTCTATTTGCACAGTAGTTACTGGGTTAGTTTGACACTTACTTTGTTTGTTTCTTCACCAGTCTCAGGCTTGGCCAGTGTTGCTGAGCGGGGAGGACCTGATAGCCATCGCACAGACAGGAACCGGGAAAACCCTGGCGTATCTGCTACCAGGGTTCATCCACATGGATGGCCAGCCTGTGTAAGTACAGGACCTGTTGCTTACTTTTCGGTGCGTTTGTATCTTTAGGCATCACAACACCTAAAAGTAATGTGCTTTAATAAATTTTTTTTTCAAACAGTGAAAATACTGTTTATTTTCACTTCTTTCAGGGGTGTTAAGCTGTGTTAATCGGGCCTGTTTTTTGTCCTCCCTTCCCTGATAGACCAAGAGCTGAGCGGGGTGGTCCAGGCATGTTGGTGCTGACTCCCACCAGAGAGCTGGCCCTGCAGATTGAAACAGAGTGCAAAAAGTACAGCTATAAGAGCTACAAAAGGTCCGGTACTCACATATTATCACAAGTCATTAAGGATGAGCTTAGAATCAATTATTTGAGACGTAGAGGCGACGTGACCACGACTCTACTCTACATCCTCTCAGTATCTGTATCTATGGCGGAGGGGATAGGCGAGGACAGATCAACCTGGTGAAGGGCGGAGTGGACATAGTGATCGCTACACCAGGCCGACTAAATGATCTTCAGATGAATGAGCTCATCAATCTCCGCTCCATCACCTACCTGGTCAGCTGTTTGTGTCTGCATGTTTGTTTTTGTGTGAGAAGGATTGAATGTTTGGGTTGGTCCCCTGTCCATATCGTAACCTTTTTGTTATAGAGTGGCTTACAGTATTTGTACATTATATTGTACTGCATTCTGTTTTTGTGTTTGGTGTTTGTATTGTTTTTTCCCCCTAAAGGAAATGTGGGAGTACAGATATTTTATTAACTGCTTTAATCACTGGGAAAAGGTGCTGGATGAGGCTGACCGTATGCTAGATATGGGCTTTGAACCCCAGATCATGAAGATTATCCTCGACATTCGCCCAGACCGACAGACTGTCATGACCAGGTAGAAGTCAAGTCACGTGAAGCACTTTAAATGAATGTTTGTTGTCACATAGTTGATGAGCTGGACAGTAGGACACAAGTAAAGATGCAACCCCAAAGAGAAAGCATTTACATGCAGACCTTGGGCATGAAAACCATCCAGTGTTGATCAGTGTTTCTTCTGCTGCTACAATGCATATATTTGTAAACTAAAGGAATATGTTGCGTTATGCTAAAAATAAATATTAATGTCTGAGTTATATAATCTGTATCACAACTGTGTATAAATGATTTTCACGTAGGAAAGGAAGATCTTAAAATAAATCAGTGGGATTTTTTAAAAGCAAATTCGACCCTGGGCCCTGCATTTAGGTACTTTGTTACACTGTTCCTTTCATTTGTCCTTTTTTCAAATGTAAACTCTGCTGTTTCAGTGCCACCTGGCCCACCGGTGTGAGACGATTGTCCAAATCCTACCTCAAGAATCCTATGATGGTTTATGTGGGAACACTGGACTTGGCAGTAAGTGAAATGAATACAGTCACTCATTTATTAGGTGTCTTGACTGTGTACTACAAAACAGCTAAAACAACTGTTCATTTGTCTATTCCCATTTGGGATACATGTTTTCATGCTTCCTGTGTTTCTCTGGGTCTTAGGCGGTGAACACTGTGCAGCAAACAGTGCTAATCGTCCATGAAGATGAGAAAAAGTCCTACGTGTTTGACTTCATCAGAAACATGCTACCCCAGGATAAAGTCCTCATCTTTGTTGGCAAGAAGCTTGTGTGAGTGTGGAGTCAGTCACTAACATATGGCTTGTAAATAGCAGAATAAATTATAGTTTATAGGTACAACCCACAGTTGCTGGAAATAACCACACATTATCAGCGCATACTAACAATTTCCTGTGTTTGTGTCTCTATTTGCATGCAATCTCAGGGCTGATGACCTGTCCAGTGACATGTGTCTGCATGGTCTGGCTGTGCAGTGTCTGCATGGCGGCCATGAGCAATCTGACCGTGAAGAAGCCCTCAAGGACTTTAAAAACAGTATGTAACAGTAAGAAAAATGTGGTTTAAAAAATAGGTTTTCTCTGCCTCTACCAGAGGAAACTGACAATTTTCTGTTAGCTGGTGCTCTTACCTTGAAGCCAATGAGCTACCACGAGTTAAAGGCTGAACAATCAACAATCAAATTGACGTTTTATGTTTTTCCAGGTCGAGTTCGTATCCTGGTTGCCACAGACTTGGCATCTCGAGGGTTGGATGTCCATGACATAACACATGTCTTTAATTTTGACTTTCCGAGGAACATAGAAGAGTATGTTCACCGTGTGGGCCGCACTGGCCGGGCAGGGTAAGGGTCTTCTGTATACTCCTGGGGTCACATAATTGAAAGTCACTGCCAGTGTCTAGCTGTTTTGTGAGCTAGTTTGTGATATTGATGCTTTCATGTTACAGACGTTCAGGTGCTGCTGTTACCTTGGTAACCAGGGAAAACTGGAGGATAGCTGCTGAGCTGATTCTCATCCTGGAGCGAGCAGGACAGGTCAGCAGGACAGGAAGTTCATATAAATTGGAATATAAAACGCACACAGCAGTAGTGTATACCTTCTACTGGTATTCACAGCAGGCTTAACAGTATGATTATTTTATTTTGTGTGTTTACAAATAAACCATAGCGGGATTAATCGGAAAAGAATGCTTTTTGCAACCTGACAGCTGAGATGAATAGTATAGTATCATGGAGGAAGCATGTATGTTCTTATTCAAATGTATAAATGTTTTAAACTAGATTTAATAAAATATCTAGCAAACCATAGTAAAGTGTATGTGATCTTGGTGAATCCTTTCACAGGAGGTCCCAGAGGAGCTGGTGCTAATGGCAGAGAGATATGAGAAGCACAAGAGGGAGAAGGAGATGTGCAATCCAGGGGGAGGACAGGGACGAAGAGGCGGAGGAGGATGGGGGAGGCGAGATGGTGGAGGAAGAGGAGGCAGGGATCGAGGCCAAAACTGGGGATTCTAATGCATGATTGTCGATGTAAGTCCACATATACCACAAGGTTTTCTTCACAGGACTTACAGATGGAAGTATGAATGGATAGATAGGAACTTTAATGTCAACACCTTTTTTTTGATAAATAAGTCCATCAGACAATCTGTTAGCATAAATATACAGTAATGAAGTTAATGTTTTAATCTGGTGTCCTGATTGAATAATCATTTAGGACTAATGTTAATTTTCTTGTGGTTTTTCTTTCTCAACAGGGTGGAACAGGATCTGAAATCGCCACTGTAATTTCTTTTGAATTCATATTTCATTTTTTGTTTTATTTGATTTATTTTCTTTGATTGAAATGTTTTTTTGTTTGATAATTAAGTGAAAAACATTGTCGTTTAGAGGCAGTTACCTCATAATGTTCTCCTGTTTAAAAATGTGTAAAATGACAGTTTTAGAGTCTGTAACTCTCAAACCACAGCAGTGTTTAGTATCAGAAAATATTTTATGTAATTTCTTTATTTGGACAGAAAGAATCTGTATAATAAATGCTCCTTTTTAAAAAGACTTAACACAGAGTGTATATTTTATTGGCTTGGTAACTTTCATATATACTGTTTGATAAATAAATGATTAAATATGCTTTGCACCATTTCCAATAAGTCCACAATCAGGAAAGATTTGCCTGGAAGATGCCAAAGGTAAATGTTTTTTATTGTCATGAAAACTTGGAAAAGGCAAACAAAGTTTGTTCTTTAATAACCATTTTTCCCACAGGAAGTGATCAACTGAAAGAACTTGTCTGCAGTACACGGACATGAAGTACTTTTCTGAACATGCAAGAGTTAGTAAATGATCTCAGCAGGAAACCAAACACAGCTGTAGATTCTCATTAGAATAGTACATTTATACAAGTATCACATCATCATTTTGTTATTCTTGTCAAATTGCTTTTCCTCTGTACTGAGGTAGGGCATGTCAGCTTTTATGTTTTTGATTTTGACAACAATGCAGAAGACCAGAGCAGTTTAAAACATAAAATTTAAGCAGGAAATCAAACAAAGAGGTGTTTTTCAGTTTTGTTAGTTGTACCTGTTTGTCTCTTTTGTCTTTCCTTCCTATAGATCTAGAGCAGGTGGTCCAGGTATGTTGGTGCTAAAACCCACCAGAGACTGGACCTGTAGACTAAATGGCGTGCAAAAAGTACAGCTGTAAGCACTACAAAAGATCCAGCAATCTTATTTATCTCCCATCGTAATTCGGAGCAGGGTGCAGTCATTGTGCAGAGCCTGGGGAGCAATTTGGGATTCAGGGCCTTGCTCAGGCGCAAGTCACCTGAGCTAATGCTGCCTTATTACAATATCACAAGGAATTAAGGATGAGCTTAGAATCAATTATTATTAGAGACATAGAGGCGACGTGACTATGACTGTGCTGGACGAGGCTGACTGTATGCTAGATATGGGCTTTGAACCCCAGATCATGAAGATTATCCTTTACATTCGCCCAGACTAACACACACATGACCAGGTATAAGTCGAGTCACATGAAGCACTTTTTAAAAGAATGTTTGTCGTCACACAGTTATTGAGCAGGACATTAGTCCACGCACAGATGCAACCACAGAGAGAAAGCATTTACATGCAGACCATGGGCATGAAACCCATCCAGTGTTGGACAGTTCTTCCACAGTTTGGAGAGAGAGCTACCACAATGCATATATTAGTAAACTCAGGGAATATGTTATATCATGCTACAAAAAAATATTACTGCTGGCGGAGAAAGGTTATATAATCTGTATCACAACTGTGTATAATTGACCTACCTGTAGAATCCCATGATGGTGGGAACCCTGGATTTAGCAGAGTTTCGTATCACTGAATATTTTATATTATTTCGTAATACCCCATAATCAGGGGTAAATTTGTCTGTAAAATGGCAATAGTTATTTATTATTATCATGAAAACTTGGAAAAGGCAAACAAAGTTTGTTCTTTAATAACAAAAATTTATTTATTCCCATAAGAATTTCACAGTTTTATTTCAAAATTACCACATTCTTGTAAATGCAAATGTTCTAGTCTTTTTCGACCACTCAAAGCGCTTTTACACTACATCGCATTCACCAGTCATACACACTGAGCCTAAGTGCTCAAACGGAAACTAGCATTCACACTCATACGGGTTCAGTATCTTGCCCCACGACACGCAACCAGGGAGAGCCAGGGATTGAACCGCCGACCTTCCGATTAACGGCCAACCCGCTCTACCTCCTAAGCCACAGCCGCCCTTCTATTCTTAGTAAATTCCTTTTCCTGTGTACTGAGGCAGGGCATGTCATCTTTGGTATGTTTGACTTTGACAGCTCAATGCAGAGGGGCGTATGTCTGAATGGCATTGAAAGAATGTGGAGCACTTCTGAGACGGAGTCTTAGAGGAAAACAAAAGTTAGCAAAGGAGGTGGGGTGGTTGTATTTTTGCATTATGAGGGGAGGTGTATTCCTTTTTGGGAAATCATTTGGACTATGCAGGCTTTAGAAGAAATACCTTTTCTGAGGTTGTTGGATTAACCTTGTGGAAATTTAAGCGGACATAACAATTATTGCCATGTGAACTTATTTTGGGGGTGGTTGTCTTAATAAATACTTTCACTATAGTTATAATTCATTTGTTTTTAGGAGGACTTTAAAGGCACCAAAATTCTTTTGAATCTCCCTGTTTATCCAGATCTTAATAAATATCACAGTAGTTCTGATGATGATGTGGTGATTAGGCTTAATACTTAAGCTGATTGTTATGTCTTAACAACTAGACACATTTTGTTGGGTTCATTTTCAGTGTTTTTAGCCCATTTACTACAAATCATTTAAAAAGAATAACATTACTGTTCATTTTTTTCTGAAGCTTTGATTTAGCCTGAATGTGCATTGCGTAGCCTCCAGGCAACCATTGGTTTCCATTAATTTCCACACAATATGAAAATCAGCTCACTCTACTTGGAACTTGCATTGTAAGAAATCTATTACCAGTTTTTTTTACTGCTTTGTTGCATAGCAGGCAAAAGATCAAATGTAATTGAAGTCATGTAGGTTGATTTTTTTGTAACCAAGTCAAAATAAATAGAAGAAGTTTCCACCAGTTAGAGTCTTTTACGTGTTTTCCTTTCTCCACTGAAATGAAGAGATACTACTATAAGCTGGACTGTCATGTTTCTTTTCATATTTCCAAATTAAACAGATTGGGCTGGCGGTCTTCTGTGATGTGAATGGATACCCATTACCTCAGCCTCAGGTAAGATGCCATGCACATATCATACCAAGATGAGTCTTTTGTGTTGACTTGATGAACTGAAGGAAAAAGGGCAGATCTAACAATAGACTTCCTACAATAAAAGGATGGAATATTTTGGCAAAGGAGAAGTGCTCCCTAATGCAGATTTTGACAAGATTTGTGAACAATAATTGAGAGAAAAAGGCCTTTTGTGTACTTAAAATCTTAGATCTTTGAGTTCAGCTCATGATGAATGGGGGCAAAAACAAAAGTGTTTATAGTTTTGTTCAGTGTAATTTGGCATTTGTGATACTACAGGGTAACACTGACTAACTCATGACAATAGATGTTTGGCTGTGGTATTGGTTGTATGTGTAGTAAAGCAAAAGTCGTGAAATTATGCTTCCAAATAAAGGAATCAGGTCAATCAATAATGCATGCTTCATTACATCACTATGTATGACAATGTGTCATACTCTAGCCCATTCCTCCAGTAGAAGGTCCTTTTTTTTTCAGACTTGGACAGAAGTTGAAATGTTGTACATTCTCTACTATAACCTGAGCGCAATTGGATCCATTTAATGCTTTTGAATACATATTATTTAAAGCTGTTGGGGGGGAGTGTCATTTTGTAGTATTTCCTAATGAGTTGAGTGTGGCACAGGAACAATTATAGACCATCAATCCATTATCCAGTAGACCCTGAACAGGTCGCAAGTCCATCACAGGGCTGTTCAGTTATTATGAATAAAGAAATAGAGGCATTTAATGAATTGATTAATTGACTTTATTAGTGTTACATTTAGAATGAGATAAAATGCAAATACATAAATAGAATTTTTAACATGAAGTTATTCATTTATCATTTAAGATTACTAATAAGGTTACTAAATGACATATTCATTGTCTTTTTATTTTTTTCTTTGACTTAAATGTAGCATTTCTCTCTGTGATGTTGCAACGTATTTAAATAAACAATAAATGAGAAGAAATAAGAGAGAATAAATTTAGTACGCACAGGAATGAAAACATTACACATGAATGCCATTGTTATTATACTTTAATTCCTTGAAAGATTACTCTGGCTTTAGTTGCCCAATTTTTACTTAAAGGATGTTTCAAACACCAATAGTCATGACAAACACTTCACACACTGAAAATGGGAAAGCCGTTGTCACCTTCCTCCCTGATACAACGAGCCAGGTTATTGCATCTCGTCTGGCTACAACCGGAGAGCAGGTTCTGAGATGGTATGAAGAAGTTGGGGAGGACACGATCTTTTAGGGAGGCTACAAAGTCCTGCAGGAGCAGCTGAAAACAGTGACTAAGACTTGAGGCCCTCCAATCACTGTCTTTATTTCTAGAGCAGCAGGCATGTAAGAGCGTTGTCTTGGCGTGGTAGGAGCAGAACTTGTCAAATGAAGAGTCTTTTTCCTTCAGCAGACTCAGAAGGTGCTTTAGGAGCTTCAAACAGTCCTTCCTGTATGTAAAGAGAAAGGAACAGACAATAGTTATATTCAGAACATTTTAGTTACATTTCTTTCTATTTTCTGTGTGATGAAAATTAGATGACATTGATAAAAGAAAATCAATACTTTGTTTGGAACACACTTGTTGAAATCTAACCTGCAGCAGCGTTCTCCGCCTCTTTCGCAGCATGTCTTCTCCGATCCATGATTCTTCAGTATGGCCTTCTCAATATGAGAGAATGAAACCCGCCAACTATCTGCGTGTTATAGAAGACACAAACAAAGGACAGGGAATTTGAAGCTTCCCTTTTTTCTAGTAATTCGTGAAACAGCTCATGTGAAAGCCCCCAAAAAGGGTTTATGTAACTTGAAGATGTGAAATTGCTGACACAATAAATGTGGTTTGTACTCCTTGACATGTTTTATTTAGTGTGTAAAACAGCCTGTTGATGATTTCTTTAAATCACAATCTGATTTTGGTTCACCAATTGAGAGAAGGTACTTACTCTTAGCAGGGACCCCATCATTTTCCACTGTTCCTCTGCCTTCATATTTTGGGACAAGATAATATGGCTTTCGCTTGTGTTCCTGCTTTACTTTACGTCCCAGCCAGCCCTCTATTTTAAGGCCGTCTTTGGTGAATGATGGCCAGCTCGATTTAACCACGAGACAGAGAACAACATCCAGTGAAATGGTGACTGATTGTAGTTTTGTGCTCAGGGTCACTGCAGGGCAGCCTTTTTTCTTTTTTTCCACCTCCCATTCTAAAAGAACAAACAAGAAACAGAATCTAAATGTTCTCTATACGTATTGTTTGTACAATATTAATATATCCGTCATTTTCTTTAAGATTTTTGGATGTTTTCATTGAACACTGACATTTTCCCCTTTAAGACAAAAGGGTCAAGTTAGTGTACAGACAGAAAATGACTTTAGAGCATTGCTGTTGCTACTTTGATCACAGGGAAGGGCATTTTGTCCCTGCCAGCTACAGTGACTGGTTTCCAAACTGCATTTGACCAACTCTGCCCATTCCCCAACAATTAAAACGTCCTCATTTTGGCACTCACCTGTAAATGTCTTGACACTTTTCTTCACTTCTTCCCTGAACTCCTTGAGCATCATACTGGCGGACAAAGTGCTGTCCTCTTGAAATTTTTGCAGAGAGCTGCCACGTTTTAATGCCACACTGTAAAAGGCTCCATCATCTCCAAATGGTTGAATGTCCACTCGGTTAACAGGAACGGGCAGCATGACATCAAATTCATCAGGATTAGAAATCTGTATAGACAAAATCATCACTGTGTAATACACCAATTATACAATAACATAACTGTTGAGAGTACTATACCAAATATGACACACAGTACAGTACAGTTCTGCTAATCTGAGTGCCACGCATCATGTATTGACCACTAACTTTGTCCTCAAGAAGTGATGGAACCCTCTACTTGTTTGAAGGAACTCGGAATAAAGTGACTTACCTTCAGATTTTCATAGTAGCTTCCAGTATGTAGCGGCTCTTCTACTTCTTTAAAGCACTGAGTGTTCTGTTTCAAATGCATGACGATATTTGTTATTATTTTGTTGATGACTTCTGCTGCATCTGCTTTTTCATTCTTCTTAATCTTCAATGTTTCAAGAGTTGCATGGAGGAGAGAGTCCACTGCAGCTTTGTCTTTACACATGTCTTGGGGTACACAAGTCTTTGTGGTGTCCTTACATGTTTCTGGATTCAACTTGGTTGTCTCCTCTTTGAAGCAATGTAGAGCTTCTTTGCCAGCCGCTGTGCTAGCTTTGCCAGCACATGCTTTTGCTTTTGTGGTCTTTATAGAAGCCTTTGTGGTGTCCTTCGGTGTCTTTAGCTGCATCTTTGTCATCTCCTCTGAAAATTGTTCTGGCGATTTGGCCTTCCCACCACATGCTTTTGCTTTTGTGGTCTTTATAGAAGCCTTTGTGGTGTCCTTCGGTGTCTTTAGCTGCATCTGTGTCATCTCCTCTGAAAATTGTTCTGCCGATTTGGCCTTCCCACCACATTTTTTTGCTTTTGTGGTCTTTAGAGAATCCTTTGTGGTATCGTTTGGTGTCTGCGTCTTTATCTCCTCTTCTGTGGTTTTGGTCCTGCTAGCACAGGTTTTGGCTTTAGTACCTTCTATTGGAGCTTCTGTGAAATGTTTTGTGGTCTTGTCTTTCCGTGTGCTCTGTACAGATGGTGTCTCTTCAGTGTGGTTTGCTCTTTTCTGCTCATTTGGTTTCTGTTCCTTTGTCATGCCATTCTGCATCTCTTCTTTAAAGTTTTTCCTTGGACATCTGGGCAGAAGTTCTTGTTTAATTTCCTCCGGTCTAGTTTTAGTCTTGCCACATTTAGTGTCAGGACTCTTTGCCTTGCGTTGTCTCCCTCTACCAGTCATGATCGTGCAATAAATGGAATGAAACTGCTCAGCCAGTTATATACTCAAAAGTGTTTCCGGTAATGGTATGAGAACACACCCCTCATCTGCTTGGCAGATTGCCCTTTTAGATGTTTGAACATTTGAGGTAAACTGCTATTCAGACATTGTGTGTGCCATGATAGATTAAAGAACTGAGTTTTCCTGGAAAATATTGTTCCTATGATCTTCTTACAATTAGTTTGAAAATCATTGACAATCAATTCCTGTTTTATTCCTACATAGACAGCTACATCTTGTGGACAGAAGTGTGTATTGTAAGGATGCTCTGATTTTTGTCTGACTTGTCTTATAAGATTGCAAAGTTTAAGGCACATGTTGCCCAGTCTCCTCTTTGTGGCACACTTGAAAATGATTTAACATCACAGCCCAATATTTTGGTTGAAACATGTTTAATGTTGCAAAGAGGCTCATGCCATCTTACAGTAAGGTGCAGTAGCTTATGCCAATTTAAGTTTCTCCAGTGCAAGTGCAAAGTTAGCAAAATGCCAATCAAAGTGCTTTAATAATCAACAGGTGGTCTACTCGGAGTCCCTCAGGAAGGACACATTTGGACCATTTGATCTAAGTGCTTTTTAAAGCTTAAACACAACAAATCACTAAGCTCTACTAATCTACTACTCAGAAGAACATAGTTCTTGCCACAGGCTCCTACAGAGCACCGTGTAGTTGCAAACAAACACTAAAAGCAAGACAACATATACCATGTAAAGTGACCAGTACCTGCACTCCACAGAGGTGATACATTTCAGTACCTCTAATTGCTCAATGTCTCTATCAATATCACAGAAAGGTATTGTCATGAATTAGATCAACTGTGCACATTTAAAACTACCTGCTTCACATAATATTGTACGTAATGGTAATCTAACCACTGAAATGGAGTCAGGAGTCGACTCAAGGACTAAAGATCTGAATGTTGTTCTTTCCTTCGAATGCTTTTGCGATGCATTGTGATGATTAACCAGTCTTTGATTATTAAGTTGAAGCAGCCAATTGTAGGATGAAGTTGGATGACTGATGTCCTGCCCTGGGTGACCTTAGGGTCGGCAGAGTAGCACAACATTCATTTGTTCCTCTGGGCCTTCTGGGCGGACTTGGTAACTTTACCAGTGGTGGAGACCTTCTTCTCCACGCCTTTAATCACGCCGACAGCTACAGTCTGACGCATGTCACGCACCGCAAAACGACCTGCAAAGTGAAGAGGAGTAAAGATAAATATTTTAGGTGATGGTTTCATCTCGTATGACTTACAGTGGAGTCACAAATGTCTTTGATGGGTGGGAAAGTGTGTGGGCGAAGCTATTGAAATTCAGATGATCTTCTACACTTACCAAGTGGAGGGTACTCAGAGAAGCTCTCAACACACATTGGCTTGCCAGGAATCATATCCACAATGGCAGCATCTCCAGACTTGAGGGATTTGGGGTTGTCCTCGAGCTTCTTGCCAGAGCGGCGATCAATCTTTTCCTTGAGCTCTGCAAACTTGCAGGCGATGTGAGCAGTGTGACAGTCCAGCACAGGAGCATAACCAGCACTGATCTGGCCTGGGTGGTTAAGGATGATCACCTACAAAGCAAAAAGACAACATAGATAGCTTATTAATAGAAATGTTATTTATGTCAAAGTTTACTGCAAAGATTTAGTGATTTAGTTCAGTGATCATTGCTGTAGTCCCTCTGTGTCAGTTTGAACCAAACAAATCAACACTCGCTGTGTGTGTCAGGAAATTTGATGATCTTGAAGCGTGACAATCTGTTGGGGCTAAAGTGAGAATCAGAGTTTTTTTTGTGAGAAGCGTGAAAATAGATTTTCTAACAAATATTTCTTAAAACTATAAATAGATTTGACTGTGTTAATGCATGCTTATGTTTCATTTCTATAAATGGATCCCTCGCAATGACTACCTGAGCAGTGAAGTTGGCAGCTTCCTGCGGTGGGTCGTTCTTGCTATCACCAGCCACATTCCCACGGCGAACGTCCTTGACCGACACATTCTTGACGTTAAAGCCCACATTGTCGCCAGGGAGGGCCTCAGTCAGCGCCTCATGGTGCATCTCCACAGACTTCACCTCAGTAGTCACATTGACAGGGGCAAATGTCACCACCATTCCAGGCTTTAGTATGCCCGTTTCCACACGGCCTACAGGCACTGTTCCAATACCTGGGAATTTGTTAATCACAGAGAACATTCAATAAATGACAGTGAAGTGAACATAAAAGTATTTTAGACCTATACTGGCAATAAAATGCAAAAATCTGACTGACCAAGAGGTGTTTCATATGCCATTTTTCAAGAGTCTATTTTACAGTACCACACTACCCCCTATTCCCACAGCATTTATATTTTATTTTTGGCAGCACTACATGCCTCCTATCTTGTAGACATCCTGCAGGGGCAGACGTAGAGGTTTGTCTGTTGGACGGCTGGGGGACTGGATGGCATCTAGAGCCTCCAGAAGTGTGGTCCCTGATGCATTGCCTTCTTTCCTAGTGATCTTCCACCCCTTAAACCATGTCATCTAGAGAGAAGATAATGTCCCACATTATACATCTTTTATAGTTATTGTCAGTTAAGAGTTTTTAAGCCTTACGGTCATAGTAAAACAGAACAACTTGTTGGATTGTTTTTTAGCTGCTGTATGTTTTTAGGTAACTAATGTTGCCTAAATAGCTCCATCAGCTCCATATATTATTTATTAAAATGAGACTGTGATCATTGAAACATATAAGCAAATAAAAGCACTTGTGATACATGTGCTACTGCATTTACATTGTCCTGTAGCTGCCACATGTTGGGCAATAGTTAAATCGAGCTGCTTTGAATAACTTGCACAAGGGCACTCCTATGGTAATTGCTAGGGAAAAGGGCTATTCACAGTCTTTAGCTGCTCTGATTAACTGGTTAACCTGGTTCATGGTGGAACTCCTGGCACAAACATCTTATTAATTCCTATAACATTCGCATTACAAATCTATGTGTTTTACTTACATTGGGGCTGGGCTCAAGCATGTTGTCTCCATTCCAGCCTGAAATGGGTACAAAGGCAACAGTGTCTGGATTGTAGCCAATCTTCTTGATGTAGGTGCTCACTTCCTTCACAATTTCCTCATAACGCTTCTGGCTATAGTTTGGCTCGGTGGAGTCCATCTTGTTGATTCCCACAATGAGCTGCTTTACTCCCAGAGTGTAGGCTAGGAGGGCATGCTCACGGGTCTGTCCGTTCTTGGAAATACCTGCCTCGAACTCTCCCACGCCAGCTGCCACAATCAGCACAGCACAATCTGCCTGAAGACGCAGTAGGTAAAACATTAGTATTGATAGATCTACGGCGGCTTTGACCATTGCACTCATTCATTTAGTAGAAGACGTCATGGTGAGTCAAAAAGCAAATGTAACACTGGTTCTCTCTCTAAAAGCACAGAGGCATACAAATGGACACAGAACGGCTCATGTTACAGACCTGCGAGGTCCCAGTGATCATGTTCTTGATGAAGTCCCTATGACCCGGGGCATCGATGATGGTCACATAGTACTTGCTGGTTTCAAATTTCCACAGTGAAATGTCAATGGTAATGCCGCGCTCCCTTTCTGCCTTCAGCTTGTCCAGCACCCAGGCGTACTTGAACGACCCCTTCCCCATCTGAGAAACAAGTAACAGATATTAATTTGTTCATAGTTGGTATAGTTTTTATCTTATCGTCAGAGATGCGGGGTCCTGATCTTGAGGAAAGACATTACTTGAAGGCGTCTTTTGCTTGCCCGCAACTTCTTACCTCAGCAGCTTCCTTTTCAAACTTCTCGATGGTTCTCTTGTCGATGCCCCCACACTTGTAGATCAGGTGGCCCGTGGTAGTGGACTTCCCGGAGTCCACATGGCCGATCACGACTATGTTGATGTGGAGTTTCTCCTTACCCATGGTGACTGGAGCTGGCTGAAGTCACGGGACAGTCTGTCAAAACCAGCGTTAAATTACAGTTAGTACAGTATACAAATGGTACAGAAACCTTTCATGCACTAGCTTTTGTGATTGATGGATATTAAAAAGGTTTTGTGTGAGCAGTGAAATATTCTTTAAGGATGGAAAAACTATTGATTGCTTGTAACTGCCATAGAGGCCATAGCATTTGGTTACAACATGGTCGGATTAAATGGGCTTTACAAGATCACACAATCAGAGATTCAGCAAATGTATTGCAGCGCAGAGATAAAAACACTAGTAGAGTGCTAATGCCTCCCCAAGTGACTGGCGCAGAAAGAAATTGAAATGCTGCACACAAAGAAAGGGACATGAATCCATTTTCTTTAGTACACCAGCCCATCAAGAAACAGACTGTATTGTCTGTTCGCATCAGGATGTTATACTGAGGTCACAAACAGTTGACACTTGAATAGCAATAGATGTTTTCTTAAACTGTGTATCTCAGATTAGAAATGGTATCACTGGCCACTGAACTGCGCCAAGCACAAAACCCTCTGCCCCTCCCACTCTCTATTCCTCCATCCATCCACACTCCTGCTCTGGCTGCCCCACTCTGCTGTGCACTGACATATCACAACAACAACAAGACTCCTCTTTCCACAGCCACAGACTTACTGCAGCTTCATTCCAAGCCAGAATCCACCATTTTGTCAGGTCCGATCCAGTGATAGTGTAGCAGCCATTTGTCAGACACTGCAGTGCACCGCACACAGGTTATTGCAGAGGAGAGTACACACTGTTGTTAACTCTGCAGGAGCGTTAACCTTGAATATAAAATTCTACACATGCACTACGAAGTAGGCCTGTTCTTTTAAATTATCCAAGTGAGTGAGGATTTGTTTCATCTGTTTTCTACCCACCAGGTAGAAAAGCCCAGTAGCTTTAATCCAACTGTAACATGAATCCCCACATGATCTTGGCCAGACTTGTTCAGGTGAACTCGGTGCCAGGACAGACAACATGCGCGTCTTTAACTCATCTCTCATATATAACGTCATCACAGCTGCCGCAGTGCGCTTTAAAGTGCAAAAGATGATAAAACAGCGGACAACGCTCCCGCGATAACGTTAAATCTAATGTCTGAGGGATTTAATGGAAATGTTAACCCTCCGCCATGTTATATCATCTGCCCGCTTACCGACGCCTGGATGCGTATTAACTACCAGCCGCCTGCCCTCTTTTCTGCATCACAACAATATTCCCAAAACACTGGCCTAGAGACAGAGCCGCAAAAAAGGCGCTCATTCATTTTCCTAATAGAATCCAAAACGAAACCCCCAATGCATAATTTCATGAACTATGTCGTAGCCTACCTGAGAGATGACCGGTGTTAGGCTGGGTGCAGGACCGGAGAGGAGAAACGCTGATCCGGTTATAGCGCGCAGGACAGGAGGGGGTGTTGCGTAATTGCGCGCACCCGCTGCTGTGCAGCATCACAACGAGGGACCAGGAGAAGTTAACGTAAACGAGTTTATCAGAGGACAACATGGGCGAAGCATCCATTATCGGACACGACCCGTCGGGCTCTATTGTCATCCCTCACAAAATAGAGAAGACGAAACCTCCGCATGAGTTCAGTCACTCCGTATAAACTTACCGACGCACATTGCCAAGACTTGTCACACATTTCATAGACTGGCGTGAACTTGCGGTTTGTGTGGAGTTTTATTTTAGCGCCCTTGTGAGCTTCAAGTTAGTTTGTCATTCATTTGTGGCACTATTTTTGTCTAGGTAGGGATGTATGTCTGATAATTTTAAAACTGGAGACGTTTTCCTAAGTTACATACAAAGCCTAAACAAGGAGTGGATGGGCAACATGTAATTACCCTTATGACTCGTGGTTTTGACGTAGGATGTTTTATCTACATTAGTATACGAGGGGAAATAAATCGCTATACAAGCTGCAGAATTATATCCAGTAGTGGAGGTGGGTCACGACAGAGATACCTAGTAGTTTTTGGAATAGAAGTTTTGGTTTCATCTTTGTTTCAGAGATGGTGTTGGTTATGTGAAATAGTGAAGATGGGTGGGGGAAAAATGCAGCGACCAACTCCCTAGTTGTATCCAATTTACCCCAATGCCCTTAACTGACTAATTATCACATAATGCAGGGCTGCTATTAAATAGCAGGGAGGCAGTTATCCAAGTAAAGAAAAGCTATCAAATTATGTTATCATATTTTTTGCCTTTAATAATCCTATGACACATTTTATAGGGATTCTGTATTATGAAAAGTATGAAACTATAGGCTAGCCTACTGCAAATTCTAAAGCAAAGGACTTTCATCCTTTTGTAAGATGAGATTTATTTTTAAGATTTATTTTATAGATCAACCTCATTTACTGAAATAAGTTGTCATTTAATTAATGTTAACTACATTTGTTGTATTCTGTTTCTAAGCTTAAATAGGAACTATATTACATGGTGCACCTTGGCGGAGTGATATGAGGAGGAAGCGATCTGTCACTGTGGTTGTTGAACGTTCCGCGGTCTCGGGATGGTGATGGATTATTAAACAAGTGGACGCAGTTATCCTGAAGAAGTTGTCCCCATGCTCTTATTTTACCCACGTCTACCCAGTACTACAGATTTAGTTAACTATACGAGAAAACAGTGTTACACTTTCATTGTGCAGCTAGGGAGTGAGACTGAACAACTCTTCTTTTTTTTTTAGTAATGCTCTCATCTCTGTTTTGTGGTTTTTGTCACTGGCCTTTTCCTAGTCCTCCACCTTGACAAGCCATATTTTCTAGAGTGAAGAAATTAGGGTTACTTTATTACAGTGCAATATACATAGTTTTACATTTATTATTTATTTAGTATGGTTAGGTCATCAGGGGATCTTACTTCAGTCGTTCATTAAAGTGGAATTTATCCTACAAAGGCTAATGTGTGTGTTTGCCCCCTTTACATAAGTATGAGACTGTATATTTAAGGTATAGTCCAGGTGAATTGAATAGGTTATTAAAATGTTGGTTAATTGTATCTTCTCTTTTTTTCTTCAGACTCAAATAAGTGATTAGAACTGCAATAATGAAAAGCACATTGTTCATACAGTTAGTTCCTTTTAGTTATAGCTACTGTCACAGCTTTCAGATATGAAATAATAACCCAACACAACATCAGATTTGAGCATAGCTGTATATGATGAAGTATTTATAATACATGACAGTGATTTAAGACATTTCTGGAATGTTTCCAGGTTGAAATTTTACAATGGTTACCCTTTCAGTACAGTGTGATATATAGTCCCTTTATATAGACACTAATGTAATAATGAAATAAAAAGCAGTAACAAAAGGAATCCTTTATGAGAAGAATGAATCTAGAGTCCTGAATTGTTTGACCCCCTTTAAGATGATGTAATAAGGCACAAGTGCATTTCATCTTAAATTTGAATGATGATGCTACTTGCTGACAGAAAGAAATGAGAACAAAATCCAACGAAGGTTAAAATGAAGGGCAACTGGACCACTCGTTAGTCGAACCAGCGGTATCGATGACCCGGGATAACGACCCCACTGAGGTTAAATAGCTGAGTTCCCCTGCCAGTCAGTCAGAACTGAAGAAGTCCTTTGGATAAGGGACGAAACGTCTTCCAGTAGCTTCAACCAAGTCCAGTTGCCCTTCATTTTAACCTTCGTTGGATAACTATGACCTGGATGACTGAGAATCTTCATAGACATGAGAACAAAATGTTTTCCTTGTGGCTTAGTTATGATTTACCACGCTATAGTCACGTATAAAGTGACAAGGTATGTATGATATACATGTAACCTGATAGACTGCAACCTTTTAAGGAAAAACAGACTAAATATCAGACTAAATATTACCACCAGCCATGGTGGCTACTGCATATATGCAATTGTTGATCATGCCATTTAAAAGTGGGATCTAATGAAATTGACACTTAAACATTGTGGAGGCATACCTCGCTGTGGTAAAACATCCTTTTCAAACCTTGTGAAACATAAGATACCTGAGAATTAACACAGAAAGTGCAAATCTTGTGAATAACATACCACTGTGTCCACCAGGAACCTCTTTAAAGCACTTTTTTCTTTCCCTTCATTACAAAAGGTACCAGCATCTTAGCATCCTCTTAGTGTTACAGATTGAAAATATTATGACCCATGCTTTCCATATGTATTAGTTGCTACTATAGGCTGCTACTTAAAATAAGAGGTATCTGGTGGACATAACCTGAAAAGACAATACATATTTGCTGTACACATTAAATCCCTTACCTGCAGCATATAACAAGTACATACATAAAATTAATCCATTTGCAGTCACATGAAAGACAAAGAGTTTTCAGATATTTTTAAGGAGGCTTCACTATAAGGCATTTTCCCAAACAAGTGTTTGTGCGCATTGTGCTGTCACAATGTTCTCTGAAAAAAAGACGTTATCAAATGTGTGTGTCTAGTTTGGGATGACATGTTGTTTTGGGGGCAAACCATTAAAACACTTAATGGCACTTAGTTATGCAAAGTAGCACATTTTGTGTTGTCCCAAACTTTACATAGACAAGTAAAAGAAAACGTCCTTCTTAATGGCAATGCAACTCGAGGGTTTACTGTGGAGTTGTAGCATAAAAAAACAAAACAACAAAAGTGCTCGGGAGGCAGAAATAACAATTCAGCCTAGCAAGTTGGCTAGTTGGCAAACCAGAACACCAAAAATGAACTATGTTGGGATAATTTGACTTTCATAGCTTATTTACCATGGTATTCATAATGCTAGACAATCAACAAGGCTTTGATAGCCTGTAACTAACTTAGTTTAGCTGCCCTTTCACATTGAAATTAGCCATACTAGCCTGTAGCTAACTAACTGGCTACATTCTCTTTTTTGAGTTGTTGACAGAGCGCTTGACTTTATAATAACGGCATCCTCTGACACTGCTTGGAGATGAGATGCATACTGTGATTGTTTGCTCTGCTCAATGATTATTTTTGCCTCTAAGGAACATTCTCTTCAATAAAACTTATATTTGTTCATTGTAAAGAACATCCTAGAGGGTAATATGGCTGAGAATCATCAGCACAGCTGGGACATCTCTCGCTGAAGGTACCCGTTAAGTAAGACCATGGTTGAGACGTGACTATCGGACAAATCTGAATCATCAAATGGATGAGGTTCTAGTCTTCTACATCAGTCTCCATGAGAGTAGGACGTGTGGACAGCCCAGGGCTGCACCGTTCCTCTGCCAAAAATAGTGTAGAAAGCCGCTCCACACAGGTTGATGGCAGCAGCGATGTAGAAAACAGTCTGCCATTCTTCTATGGTGTTCTAAAGGACAGTCAGCGCAGTTAATAATTAGTATTTAAATAAGAAAATGGTTTAGCCCTCATTGGACTGGTGTCCTATTAATGATTTAGCTCATTTAACTCACATTTGCACCAGATAAAAATATTTACTAAAATCACTAGTAGTCACACAACTATACAGTACTAACATTAACAAATTTTGTAACCTCCTGGTTTAGCAAAAGAAAACCTGAAGATTTGTTTTGAAACTATGTCTTTTCCAGCAGGATCTACATTTTTTTAAATTACAAAATGGTAACCATGCATATTATTGAGGAAAAACTGTTCGTGTGTCAAAAGCAATTATCACAAATCATAACCCAACCATTGACCTCCCTGAGCAGTTGGACAGGCACAACAGAATTTCTCCTCCTAAGCAATCGTAAATACACAAATTTGAATATAATAGTGAAGATGTTAAAACTGACACAGTAGAGTTTGGAGGTCATGTTACGACATATTCATTAGCGTTTTTCCATATTTCATTTGGTTTACGTAACCAGTTCTAGTAATTTAAAAGATGAAGTGATTGGTTAATTAGGTCATTGACTTTTTTTAATCTTCACCTTGTGCCACTGTTGATATGAAGGCCAAACCCAATAATCTGCACTATTAAAGTGACAATAGCATATTGCAGAACAGTCTTCCCATTGTGTTTTGAGCATCAACATGAAAGTAAACTGTTAATTACATTCAAACTGCATTGCACGCTATAGTGCCACACTATCCTCTTTACAGAGAAATGAATAAGGAAACTAGGTTAATCATCAAGCCAGACAAAAACACTAGGGGGTATGAATGTTGTATTTTAAAAGACTATGGACGCCCCCTGGTGGCCAAATGTTAACACACTAATCCTGTATTGACTAAACCAATTAGACAGGAAATGGAGCATTAAGCCAAAGGACGGATATCATCTGTTTATCCAGGGACACTGGAGGTCAGGACGCTCAGAGTGACTTCTGTTAGTATGCAAGCAGCAGTATACTACATACCAAAAACAGGTTTATTTGCTGCTCATACCTAACCATGGTTGACATGAAACTAGACAAGGTGTTTAAGGGTGTATTAATTGTTAATATGAAATCTAGACTCTCTTGACCTTTTGAAACATGAAACAGCTACTGCTAAGTGACTGTACTGTGCAGACTGGTGAATAAAGTGTGATTGTACATGAGTGTCTTACATATTTGGTGAGTTCTCTTGCTATGACTGGTCCCACCATGCCAGGAATGGTGGCAAAGGTGTTGGTGATTCCCAGGAGAATACCAGCATACCTACAAACATACACACATTGATTGTCAAAAGTCCAGAGTAGTTATTAACTTGCTAAACCCAATACAGGGTTGAGTATAGCTACACCCCAGCACCACAACTTAACACTCACTTTAATTAACTCAGTCTATTTACACTTGGAGGAGATCCTAAACCTCCGTATCAGACAGTAACAAGGTTTTATAAAGGCGGATCACATTTTAAAATAAAGGTGTCTGCATATTTTCATATCTTGATATCCATGCATGGATGTAAAATTAAAGGCCTAAAAAATTAAACAATCTTGGTCACAAGAGGAATATTAAGAGTTTCATTATTACAAGATTAAGAAGTTAGATTACACATTACTTCTGAGACACTATTGCAAACATTGTTAATTTCTGCATTTGTTACATTGTACACCTCAAGATAATAAGAAAAGTGCATTTACTTATTCTAACACCCTTTCTTACCATAAAAAAGATATATTAAGGAGGACGGAATCTTTTGGTGGAATTTTTGTGGAACTTTCAACTTAAAGGCTTGTTTTTCCTGTATTGTGAGCAGGAACTCACGGTTATGTTTACAATAAGTGGTTACTTTGGTGATAGAACTTTGTAATACTTACGAAGGAGCGATGTCAAGGTGGTTGATGTTGAAGCCAGAGGCCGACACTCCGCCCAGAGAGGAGGAGATGGTAAGGAAGGCCACAGCCAAGGTGTAGTTACAGCCTATATATCCGGCTGCTACCAGGAACACTGCTGGTCCGATCATACCTACAGAAACAACACAATAAAATATCTTTAGAAGTGGTAGACCTGAGCCCAGTTGTTCAAAAAGTTTAATCTGGAGGAGAATTATCCGAATTTGGAAATCACATGTTTTGCTATCCAGCAACATTGGACTGGATCACCCTGATCCAGATATAAACTTTTAAGGATTAACAAATCCGGATTTACAGTGCTCTAAATGGGACTACATATCACAACGTAGGCTGTTAATGATAGAAAGACCAACAGGTAGAACAGAAAATGCACAATAAAATAACACAAACATTTCCTTCCATTTTCAATTTCTTTAAACAGCCAGACCCCCCATCTGACCCACAACAAATCCAAGAAAAACAAACAAATATACATTATTCACAGATACACTGTGGATATTTTGAGCATGTTTTGTCCAACTGTTGAAATAAAGATCATTCAGAGAGCAGCTTTTAGGAGGCCGATCTCAGAATGAGGGACTGACTGACCTGCAATAAGGGATGCAATTTTTACAAACTACTTTTGAATAGTTCACCTTTGACGATTGTGCCTTTGTAATTAATGTACAGTAATAAGTGACAGTTGAAATGAAATACATCATTTTTGTTTGATATTGACAGCTGTTTGGGGGATTTTTTTTTTTACTTTACTGTACTAAATGGCTTATAGGTAATGTCTACGTTATCTACTTTATCACTGTAAAGTTTAAACAAATCAAGTGCAAAATATAAATAAATGTGTATATAGGCTACGAGAAATGTTTATTTGTTGTTTATATTTGGAAAATTTTAAAAGCTTTATGACATTTTGTTCTTAAAATCCACCCTGAATCCACTGTTCTGCTGGGATCAGGATAATCCTGATGTTTTGGATCAAAGGGATCCCAATCCTACTAAAAAATTTGAACACAAACTGAAGGTTTGGTCCAGATCAAAACCAGGATTGGATTAGGTCAAATGATCCGATTTCAGAACCCTTTTTTTCCCTTTGGAAAAACTCATTTTCAAGATTTGATCCGATCCGAAAGCCGAAATCCGATCAGATTACTTTGAACAACTGGGCCATGGTGTATTGGATGTCCAAGTCAGGATACGACTCAGCTTTCATATTGCTATTTCCTTACCAACGATGGAGAAGGACTTCCTGACAGTGACGGTGCGGTAGTTGCAGGTTTCCCGCAGGTAATCTGCAAGCTGCCCACTCAGCACAGCCAACACAGCGCAACCCATGTAAGGAAGAGCTGACAGAATACCATTCTACAGTGGACAGAAGGAAACAGCACACAATGTGAATGTTGTTATGATTACATAGTTATTATACGCATATCATCAGTGAGTAGAAATTATTTTTGACTGGTGAGGCAACCGATCTGTGATGTTCAGTGCATTCTGTGATGAGTGTTATCAATTCCCATTTTGGTTTACCCATCATCTCCCATGTCTTTCTCTACTTTAGTTACATACATCACATTGTTATGAATGATGTTTTAAGAAAACAAAAAATAATTTTTGTTAATTATTTTTTTTTGACTTTTTGTTGTTTATACAAAAATGTACAAGATAAAATGTTTTCTAAAAGAGTCTTTGGATTGTATCACATTTTGGCCTCTTATTTGACTCTTCCTATCAGTGTCTGCAGCACTTGTGAGAATGGATGTTTTTAATTGTTAAATGTATTGAGACCATGGTGCTTCTGCACTTTAAATACAATTGATTGATTGATTGATTGATTGAATGCCTGTGTGTGATGTTGTACTCACCTGCTGTATGCTGAATCCCAGGATGTTATTCATGTAGGTTGGCAGCAGGGTGAGGAGGGTGTAGAAGGTCCAGTTGTAGGAGAAGTGAGCCACGACGATGGCCCACAGCGGAGTAGACGTCACTATGGCGCGCCAGGGGATGAAACCTGATGAGGTGGAAAGCTGGAGCACACAGTAAACAGAAAATAGGGAGAACAATATTGATTGGAAAGTTAAGGTGTCTTAACTTCAGTCCCTCTGAATAAATGGCAATAGGCCTAATAGACAGGTGTTTTATTCTGGATCTTGCCAGTCTATCTTCCACCTCTCTATTGCATATGCTGGCGATTGTATTTCTTATGTTAGCTTTCTCTGCCCCTGCTTGCCCATGTTTTCCTACTTAATATGGTGTTCTTGGTTATTTTCTTATTTAAAAACACTACAGTTGACCAAACCAAGCTGTAAAGAACCCCGCAGTTGTACTTCATCAGGGTCCAGAGTCATATTCACATGTCTGACTAACATCTGAAATTGGATACCAAATATTAGGGACAGTTTTTCCTCCATAATCACACACAGAAGTCATTCATGCTGGTGGAACTTAGCCAGAATCTTAGTTTAAAACATTAAAGAAATTAACCAACGTAATCTATTTGTTTGAAGCATGTGGCCAGGAATTACACATTGTACCTTTTTAAGGTTGCTTCAGGTTGCACCAAATCAGGCAAGACAGAGATATAAGGGTTCAATGCTCAGTAGAAATGATGAACCCCCTGTAGTGTTCACAATTACTGAACATATACAGTATTTAGGGAAGCTCTGCGTCTGAATATGATTATAGAGTTCAGAGTCATGGTGAGTTTTGTGACCTAACCACAAGAGATAAGAGAATAAAATGCTGCAATACACTGGAACTATGCAACGTTAGTAGTGTAGTGGACCGGAAACGCCTGCAAGCACTCTGCTGCTTCTGTCTTAGCAACAGAGTTAAGAACAGTACAAAAAGACAGCAAACTACAAAATAAAGTCTAGATCTTTGAAACAAGATGATTAAAAAATAAAATAAAAATAACTTTCAATAAGGTTTCTGCCATTACCTCGTTCTTGAGTGAGGTGGTGATGTAGAGTCTCTCCTGCTCTGATATCCGTGGGTGAGTGTTTGGACTGTCAAAGACGAGAAGGGCCCACAAGACAAACCACACTAAGCCAACAGCACCTGGACACACAAGCAAGAAAACGAGCACTCATTTTACCACAGTGGTTGCCTACAATTTATCCTGCATAAATCCTTCATCACATTAAAGATCACATATAGTCAGCAGATCCATGTCTTTAGATGTATGGATTATCTTGATGTTATTAGAAGACAAGCAACTCATTGTCTCTACTTTACCTGTATCCACTGACAATAACAGGTGTGTTTGTTGACATTAACATCTGTCCAGTGGTTTAGAGACTGAGTTAAATTATTTGTAGTGGCAGTAGTTTAACATGCACGCAAATAAAAAACAAAATGAGGGGGGTCATCTGCAGTGGTTCCTTCAACTTGCTAAATCATCGTTTTTACAGACCAAAGAGGAACAGACACTGGAAGCAGCTGGTCTGATGCTTAAAAAGAGATATGTGGTGGATCTGTGACACATCAATAAAGAGGCCACTTGAGGTCAGAAAAATATTCAAACGCACATAATTATTTTCAGCGGCTTCATTAGACAAGCTATCGTGCACTTTCCCTACTAGACAAGATAAGACCTCATCTGTAATATAAATTCAGCATTGCTATGATGTGAAATTTCCATAACGTAGCTGAGTCCGTAAGGGCTTTGCTGGAAACCGGAGGGTCAATTTGAGGCAAGCTCGGACCAGAGATGCGGTGTGTGCACTGGTAGCCGGAGAGGTGCCAGTTCACCTCCTGTGCACTGCCAAGGTGGCCTTGAGCAAGCCCCTGAACCCCCAACCACTTGGGTCGTGGCATTAAGTGGCAGCCCCTTCACGTGTTGTTGCTACAGGTCCCGTTTGTGCATGTGTGTGTGTTTTAGACCTGTGTGAATAATAATAATAATGAGTGAAAAACATTGAATTTCCCCTTTGCGTTTTTAATTAAGTATGTCTTCTTCTTCTTGAAATCATTCTAATTTTTCTCACTAATGCATTAATTCTTAAATCTATGCAAAAACAGCATAACAGGATACTGTGCTAGGAAGTGAACAGGTGTCAATTCCCAAATTACAGTTAAATCCCACTAATAAAAAGAAATTAAAAAAAAAAGATATATCAGGTTGATTTAGTACAGTCACCTCATAACCAAGGGTGACAAAGTAGCCCCACCCTTCATTAGTGACACCCCAGGTGTATTACCAAACACATAGAAGACGTAGGTCCAGCCCAGGTAGAAGCAGATTTCACCAGACAGAGGAAGAGCTATTACTGTCCCCAGCTGGGCTCCTAGGATGGAAGAGAAAGGACAAACAAAAAAATGGATTCCACGGCTATCTAAATGCACACACTAACTACTGAATGATCAATATACACAGAGTGGCAAGTCGACACTAACGATCATATGACAGGTGATGCTGTGTAAGAGGTACAAAGAAGTCCAGTATACACGGTTAGGATCAGACCGATATCTCAAAGCAATTGAATTGATTTTCAAGTAATGTCTTCAAATTGCTTTGTGTGTCCAGCAGTCCAAAAGCTGCAAGCAGCAAGTATTTTGCATTTTTAAAGGATAAATTGTTACCTGATTAATTGATTAAATGACTAATTGTTCAAATAGCAATGACAACTTCAACTGACTACTCTGTTAAAGAAATATTCTGGCAGGTGATCCAAAAAGATACTGCAGTCAAATGTTTTTTTTGTGTTAACATTGTACCCCTTGTGTGTGTGTGTCTTACCAATGTAGGAAATTGTTAGCAGTCGGCTCCTCTCCAGCGGTGGGGCCCAAGCTGCCCACATGGTGTACATTGCAGGGAATGTAACTCCCTGAAAGCAAACACAAGAAGAACATGAACTGGAGTGCACAAATAACACTCAAGTACAACCAGACATCCATTTATTTATCCATACACACCATCTCTTGTCTGGCTTATTGTAACTTCATTAACATTTTATTATTAAACACTCACTTGAGTATGTGTGCTCAGATAAATTTTAATACAACAACAATTTGGCTGCAGTACAGCTGAGGCTTCTGGTACAGTCTTGCACAAATAATTTAAAATCTACTATCAGTGACACCTTTAACGTCAGAATTAAAAAACCTGATCACCTACCTCTCCTATCCCTTCCAGCACCCTGACAGCGATGAGGTAGCTTGCACCCAGATCAGCAGCCACGGGGGTGAGCAGCGTAAAAACTACAGTTCCCAGGATTCCAAAGCCCATCAGCCACTTGGGTCCACAGCGGCCGGCCAGGTAGCCCCCAGGGATCTGTGTCAGGATGTAGCCATAGAAGAAGGAGCCCAAGATCCAGCCCTGCGTCTGAGAGTCCCAGTTGTACACACTGGCCTGTGAGGGGAGGGGTTGAAAACTAGATCAAATTCTATGAAGACTTACTGAATAAAAAGTGAATATTTGTCTGTACTTTCACTCTGACTTTATGTTCCTCTACATACAGTTCCGCAGTCCACCTCTAACAGGTAGTGTTTAAACATCACCAATGCTGACACTAAAACTGAAGTGCTGTGCTAGCCTTGTTATGTCAAGTCATGTCCGTAGAGAAGTGGTGTGCACAGCTCATTAATAGTAACACATGGTAAGCTAACCCTAACGTTGCGAGAACACTTCTGGATGATTGTAGCAGTGTTTTGTTCAGGAATTAGTGAATGTTATATAATCAGCTATTGATAAATTTGTATGCAAGTCAAAACAGATCATATTCAAACTGACTTTTTCTAAGCATAGTGGTGACATACTGTAATTTACCATTTCTGGTGTTCCAATATTATAATAGACAAAAAACAAAAAGAAACAGCTTCATTTGTACATCAGTCCAGAAAGCTGTTTGTCCCAAATTAATTTTTTCCAAGACTGACAAACTGCTACCAAATGTCAATGCAGTCTCCTGATTCATAATCCTGACATGTGTAGGTTTTTTCCAGCAGACAAGTACGGAAAAACATGGCTGTAGCACTATCCAATGGGACATTTTGAAGCCTGCCAACAAGAGTTTGTCAGTCTGAAATGGGTTGTGGTGTGATGATCGCCCAGACTCTTTCAGCCTTCATCATTTTAACAGAACAAGAATTTAAATATCCACCAAAGAAACACACAATGGGGAGTGAAATCACATACTAAAGCCTAACTATTTGTGATCAGCTGCAATTAAGTTATTCAATGCTTATAGTTGAAGTGGATTTAATTCTAGCTTTAGTCTTTTCAGGCAATAAATGTTGTTATGTAGTACAAATTTAACTGCCAACCGTTCCAGCATGCGTGGAACAGTTCGACCAGTTTTCTCAGCTTCTCACTCACCGTGTGGTTGAGTTGGGGCCGTGCAGGGTTGGCATGAGCAGGACACACTGACCTACTCTGGTTGGCGTTGGACTGTTGGGTGTTGTTAAGCATGTCCACCATGGCCACACTGAGGTTCACCCGCAAGGAGTAGACCACAAAGAAGCCAAAAGAGGAGAGCAACGCCAGGCCATAGCGTGACGAACAGCATGCTGGGGCTACAAGGTGAGGGAGAGAGAGAAAAGACAGCAATGAGGCATCTGTGGCAGATTATGCTGTAGGTGCACTATAGTTAATAGTTGCATTACAAACAGATGAGGTACATTATCAATACAGCATGAGAATAGTTATCTCTTCTGTCACAGTACAGAAATGAACATGGAAACCTTTTGTTAGGCTAGTAATTTTTAACCCCAAACTGGATCTGAAAGTTTTGCTTGTGTACTTTTTTGTTTACTTACGTGATATAGCCCATTTAGGGCTGCTACTATGAATCCACACATCTGCAATTATATCGATCATGTATTTTTTAGAAAACAAAGTGAATGTAAATGCCCATCACAGTAGTATCTATTATGAAAAACAGAACAATTTTACACTAATAAATGTAGTAAACTGTAACTGTTTGATATATTAACTTGATCAAACTAATATGTAAACATTTTACAAAAGTTATAACTGATTAATTTTTCTGTCATTCAGCAGAACAAGTCGTTTCAGTGGTTCATTTAAGAATCTTATTTCCATATCTTGTCCTGTTTATTTACATAACTTAACTTTGGTCTCTAGATTTTGCACAAGGTGCAAACTACTTGCAGGTATGACTATCATTATGTAAACCATTGCTACCACAGTGCTCCTGTTAAAACTGGGCAGCACATTCTTTCTCAGTCTTTATATAAAAGATAATGGCACAACAAACTCCAGCGTCCTTACCTAGCAGGTTGCTAAGCTTACAGAGAACATACATTTAGGCTTATTTCAATAAGTCATGTTTAAACAAGACAACATTACACAGCTGGATCCTCAGTACACTTAAATACACACTGTTTCTCAGTTTCTCACTCTTTCTTCATGTCCAGATTTTTAAACTGCATGACATGTCTCATAATTCAGATAGATCTGTCTTATGATGTCAGGGACATCTGCCCTAAACTCGTGACTCAGACTATTTGTGCGTGTGTCAGCAGGAGTGGAGAGAACGCTAACGTTATTTAACTTGAGTGACAGAACCGTGCACCCTCCAAGAAAAGCTTTCTGTAAAATAGTTCGCTGACAGTGGTGAAGTCTAACTTGTGTAGTGGCGGTAAATGCAAACACTGTCATGATCAGCCTTAGCTGCGGACATCGGCTGATGCACAGCATATGGGCGCAAGACTGTACAGTCTGTGTGAACTGTAAAGTGCAACTTACTGTCATTCAATACAATGGTCCTGAAATAATAACTGTATTGTTACTGACGCTTTTGGCTGATAATATAATGTTGTGTTTATATTCTGAGCGATGTGAATCTATATATTAGGTACGGGCTTTAGCCGTGTCCTATTAGATTACATTATATCTTGCAGGTGTTTTAGTTAACGTTAATATCTGTAAACAAAGAACCGCCAAAAGGCCAAAGCGTTAAATAAAGGAAACATAACTTAACGTTAACTTGGAGAGATATTTATTTCCTGCTTCGTTTCCAATGAAAAGGCAAAATACAGCAACGTTCCCCCGAAATGAACCTCGTTGAGGGGAATGACGGAAGCGTTAACGTTAGCTAGGCCGGCTGGAGATGTTTTTATTCACCTCTCTGGATTTTGTCTTCGTGTCCTCGGTGAAGCAGCGGTGTCTCCTGCTCGTCCCCCTCCGTATCCGACCCGTACCGCTCCATCTTTCAGTCAACGGTTAACTGACAAAGACCTTTTAAACTACTGCATCACAGACTAAACCTAACAAAACAACAACATGAACCACAGCAGAACAAACTTCACTGCAGCCTCCCCAAGCTACAAAGCTAACTGCCGTCACGTGACGAGTGGCACCGCACCGGAAGTATGACGCTAAAGGGAAGCATCTTATCCCAGTTCCTGACCAAAGTCTATGGTCCTGACTGCAGGTGCAAAAACAAACTGAAAGTGTAAGTAAAAACATAATGTGAACAAAAATTGATGGTTAATTGTCAGATTAGTATAATATTGAACAAAGTATGATGAGTGACCAGATAATAACAAAAAAGGTTTTAATTGTTGTCAGACAGTTGATTCGAGAAGTGGCCAACTACCCCAGGGCTCCAGGCCCATAGGGGTCCCCGAAGGTCCGGACTGTCTGGCATCTACAAATTAGTAATTTAATAAATTGAAAATTTGTTTGGTAATTTGCACCACTAAGGGACAATAAAAAAAACAAAATAGAATGGGTCCTCAGGTGGTTGCAGGATTTTATCCAGTTGCAGTGCCCTGGCAACTTTATACAGGGTACAAGGTAGATTTATTTGTCAACAAGTTGTAGAGTGAAAATGAGTTTGTAACTTTCTTCTTCTACGTAGCAGACAATATACATATAAAATCAATAATAAGAATGGTAGACAGAAATAAACTATATTCAATAGAGCAGTGCTGAGGATGAATGATTTATGGTAAATTCTGAGTTTGTGTAAATTGCATTGAATGGAAAGGTAATATTTTTAATATATGCCCATCTTGTTTATAGAGATGCAGAAATGTTACACTAAGGCACTGTCTTCAGCTGTGAAAAAGAAAAGAAAAGAGTTGACCTTTCTACCATCGTGAACCTCATGGTTCCTGTTTTCTATCTAATCATATTAGACTCAGATCAAGAATCCAGGACACAACGGCTTACTTATTATAACTGTCTGACAAAAGTGTTCCTATTTCATGCTGTAACTTCTGTGTTAGGAAAACAGATGTAGTGCATATGGGCAGGTCTACATAAGAAAAGGCCAGAGTTATTGTCGCCTTGCACAACAGACTGGACAGTCTGAGGCATGGTTTCTCCAGGCAAATAAGAAAGAGTAGGATTAACCTTATACAGCTCTTTCCTCCTCTATCTGAAATAAAGAGGCAGCATACTCCATTGAGTTATGGAGTTATGGATATGGTAAAAGACTTGTACAACAACAATAACTGTTTTGAACTCATGGTTTAGTTACATGACACTGAAAACTAATTTATTTTCATAAGAAAATCATCAAAATAACTTTTTCTCTAAATCCCATTTAATTTATGGTGAATAAGACAAGTTTTGTTTTTGTTTTTTGTGCAAAGAGCAATGGATAGTTCATTCTCTTAAGCTCACATTCACATGTAACCACCGAATCAGATGATGTGTGGGAATGATGTAACCTTCAAACACAGGTTTGTTGTTGAAATGAGGAGCCGCTCAGCTGTTTGTCTTGTCTCCGGGCTTTATTGTCTCCACCGAGAAAAAAGAAACATACTGTAGATATGAAAAGAGACAGACAGGCAGGAACAAACAGATAGACTTCCGAAACCGCGCATTACCGACATGGTCAGAGAGAAAAACACAGGCTTCTGTCAGCCATGAGGCAAGAGGATGTGAAATTGATCAGGCTAACACATGCATACACACGAGGGCAACATCTATCTTTCGAACTGTCGAACTGATAAGGATGTTAGTTTTTAAGAAATTCCCTACACAACAGGTCTGAGTGAACAACCATGACCTGCTTTTCTGTCCTAAAACTATATGGACTATATGGTGGCACTATATGGTGTTGGTTGAGGAGAAACTCTTCCTAATGGGATGTCCTTTAGATTCTGCAGTTCTCTTCCCAATCCCTTGTGTCTCTCTGTGTTGTCTGTGTGCCTTTTTGGGCGTGGCTTCCCACTCTGGCCCTGGCTCTCCACCTGCACACCTGATCTGCATTCCACTAATCAAGACTCAGTAGTATATCAGCCCAGTTCTTCACCTCACTCTTAGTCTGACTGACAGCTGAATTTGCAGTCTTCTGTACCAACTTGAGGAGCAACTATAACCATGACTAGTTGTATTTTGGCAAAAGTTTGTATTGAAATGGATTAAGCCGCATGAGTGGTTTACCTTAATGTTCTAAGGGAAAACTCATTGGTCATCATTGGAAACAATTTTAACTGACTTGAATTCAAGCATAGTACAGCTGCTGTTGTCTTTCAAATCTACAAGGGTTGACTAGTATTTAATAGCCTACTAAACAATGGATTTTTGGTGGAGCAGCTTATCATTTAAAGCTGCTCTTATAAATATTTTTTTATTGGCAATGGGCCTGATGATAATTTGTAATCTGAAAGTGGTCACTTGTAGTAATGAACCCACAGGGAATAATCACTCTACTACTGAACTCTACAGAGTTTTATACCATCTTTCACCTCATTGTTTTCATTTTACAGCCCACAACGTCACTATTTTGGTTCACTCTCACGGCTCTCATCAACATCATTTCCTATCATAGCAGGAATCTGTTTTGAAGAAACCTTTCTGATAAACTCTTCCCACTGTACGCTGCCTGCCCAGCACCCACCAGCAGGCAGAAACAGTAGCAACTAGCTGGTGAACACAGTGAAGCATTTAGCAAAAACCCAGATATTTATTCTCAGGAGTTGGTGGAGACCAAAAACAGAGCTAAAAAGAGAGTGAATATTGGACCAAAATGTTTTGTCTCTGTAGACACACCTCCAAATGAATGATAATGTTGGTGACATTGTGCAGCTCTTTGCATCTACACAGACTTGACACTGCAGCAATTATTACGTACTTATACTGACACGTTTTGGACTGGCAGGGGACTACAATCAACTTTTACCCACTGCAATAACTGGCTTTTCCATTGCAAGCTTACACTGATCAGTGGTGCCCTGTTTATCATCATCATTAACAACCAGTCACCCCTCCTTAAATCTAATGAGCTGAGTTAGTTACAGTATTTGGCAGTATGACGACCAAATTTCTCTCTCCTCCTGATCTTGCCTTCTGTCCCTCTAGTCTCTGAAGACAAGGGCCTTTTTGTGCAAATGGAAAATCATAGGACTCACATGCTATGGAGGAGAGAAAGTGAGGGATCACAGCAAAGGATAGGGCTGTTCACAGGAAAAGAACAACGCAGAGGAGCGGACTGAAGTCATCGTGAGCTGGACTACAGCACCAGACGATAGATTGGACCAGACCGGACAGGATACCTAAACATGGAGAATGGTAAACCAGATACACAAGACAAGACGGAGGAAGTGTCAGAAGGTAAAACAGGTGTCAAAAAACTTTGACTCTGTTATTCTGTAACTTTTGAACAGATGCTCTTGGAGATAAGGGTTCAGGTTTGGGAATGGTAATGCTTCCTCATTTTTGTCTTTAAGTTTAAGGTCAGTCTGGTATAGTAAGTTGTAATGTTGATATCTCTCCTCCAGCTTTTTCTGGCCTGTAACAACTGAGGCCAATAGCACAAAGCCAAGCTGTGAGGACATTTGTCATACTGTATATCCTGCGGATAGAAACTCCAGTGTTAGACACTGTATATTCCTTCTTTTGCTCTTTCACAGTCAAGAAGTGTTACATATGTGGTACATGGCATCATGCGGGTTCTTACATGTATTATCATGCATAATTGGCAAGTATGTATTCCAGATGACCCTCAGCAATGTTGGCAGCAGCCTCATCATTTCCACAACAAAGAAACGTATTGTGCTTTTATACAACCAGCAAATTGTCCCAAAATGTGCTGCATTTATAAAAAAAAAAATCCATCAAGAATCTGAATTTCCTTGTGCAGCACTTTCCTCCAGCAGCCAAGTAATTTTGTAAACATAAAAAGAATTCAGTCAAAATGTAGTAACTAGAAATCACTAGAAATAAATATGTCATTCCATTGGAGACACTTTCGGCAGCTGCTCCACTTACAATTATTATGAGACTTGTAGACTTAAAGTTACCACAAGTCACAGGAATGATGACAAATGAGTGAAAAATGAGACAGGAGTGAAAGGAAAGAAAAATGATGCTTGTTCTTGAGTATAGTTACTCTCTTCTGAGAAGGACTGGCACGTGAGCACTGCTCTAATCTTGACTTCTGTGGTATAAAATATTTGTTATGAACCCTGTACTGTTTTCACCTTTTAACAAATTGCACGCAGATACTCACCCTCCTTAGATTTATTCTTCTTCTGTTTTGATGGAAATGTGAACCAACAATGATTACCTCGAAAAACATGAATTCACTCTATAAATATAGATAAAATGGATTTAAACACCTTTTCGTCTTGTGGTTGACAAGATCGTTCAGTGCAGATATTATGATATTAACATCTCACTATAATATTGGTCACTCCATAAAGAATATGTTTAGATTTGTGTCTAATGATTCATATGGTTCAAAGTCATTTTGGTTGTGTTCCTTGAACTGAGAAGGTTTATGGACCAGGAGTCTGGGAAAGGTTTTCCTGTGAGTTTAAAAGCTCTGAGTCCATTGCATCAACAGTGTTAACTAGCCTTTACACTGCATTTTATAACATGAGCCAACAGGTTGGATTTTAGAAATAGATAAATAAGTCATTAAATAGATTACTAAAATTTAATGAATAAGGTCTTTGTGGCGACAACAGTAAGGTTCACAGTCTATAGTATTTTGCTGACATTTAAGCAAACGTCAATGTCAAATTACATAACATTTCTCAATTACATGTCTCTGTCAGTTTTATGTTTGCATAACATATTATTATCCAAGGTATGAATGGCCCACCCTGATGGGCTACCATGTCTGTTTATTAATATAGTAATTATATTGTGTAATCAATCAACATTTTCACTAAAGTGAATACCTAACTAAGTTTATTGTTGTGTTTTGCTTTTTATTTTAGAAAAAGAAGAAAATGTGGAGGAGGCAAACCTAGAAATTGCTCAGGTAATCGAGAACTCTTCTTTTCCACACAACAAAAGTAACCTTATGGTGTAATGGCTCAGTCATTATGTCATTAACCAACTCTGATACAGCTGGTACCGCACACTTTGAACAGAGGAGTCCAGTAATATTTTCTCTCTCTTTTCTTACATTTGAAACATTTTGTGGGGACTGCTTTTGCGAAACTCACTTTGCTCTTGAACTGCTATTCACCTGCTGCTAGCAGGTAGTAGCATTTACCTGCTGGCATTTTCTTTTACAAAGTTGTGACCATATGACATGTGATATCATGATCTCAAGAAAAGATTAGGGTCAAGTCACAGAAAGGTCAAATGTCAATCTCATCATGTGAGATGCTGTCTGGAGTTTAATTCTCTTCTGACATTCTTGGATAGAAGAGTAGAAATGCTACTCTGCAGTTCAACAGCCACTGCTTTGAAGTTTGGACACACATGCTTCTTTACATATGTGATTTATGTTTGACAGGACAAATTAACTTGGATATCTTTCAACACTGACCACCATGAGAAAATTCTACCACAGCAAGAATTGCAAACAAGCAACCTACAGACAAAATAATATCTGTTGCCAACTCAATTCTCTGACAGAGGAGACAGTGATGTGTCTTACCAAAAATGAATATGTGGCATTTTCTCAGACTGACAATTTCTATTAGTGAAAGAAATAGGGTTGAGCTTCCAAGAGTGTCACAAGAGTCACTTTATATAACAAAAAGCTACAAATGGCACTAACTCAGCTTGAGTTAGCAGTGTTACAGAGAAAATGCCCAAAAATGTCCAAGCTCCTCTAATCATAGTGCATGTGGTGTGTATTTCGCTGTGTTTGGTTGCATTTCTGGGTGGCAACCTTTGGGCAGTGTGTGAGATCAGGAAAATGTAGTGACCAGGTTACAGTGCGGTCTCTCTCCTCTGCTCTCTGTCTGTGTTACGGATAAATAAAGAGCTTCAGGTCTGTGTGTCTGTTTGACCGAGCTGCTCTTGCTTGCTCGCTCTTGAGCCAGGGCCAACTTTAAATGACTCATTATGCCTTTATGTTAAGATGGTGTAATGAGTGTTGATAATTGTTTGAGCTTATTTTTGGGGCTTTTAGTTTTAGTTTTGTTATCATATCTCATAACTCACAAAATCTGCCCAAAATTTAATATTATTGTTTTCAAATTAAGTTCTGAATGGGTCACACGAGGCTAGTAAAGTTGACTTATTACTCACTTTGTCTTTATTAAAATCTAAACATTTTAGCATTTAAATTATTTTACTTATTCAAGGGAACCAACCGCAACATTATCTTAACTTGCAATTGAACAATGAAATCCATGAGGAACTCATCCTGTAGAGCATCTTTAGACCCCCACCACCACCACCACCACGTGTAAAGGCGTACAGTAGCACTGACAAGCATTGATAACATCAGAAAGGAAGAAAAGCAGAAGGCACACAGGACAGATGCTCCATTCAGGCTGCTGCCTGATGTTTTTCACATGACTGAGGGAGAGAGAGCAAACAAGAGAGCGATGAAAAGATTGGACAAGTAAGAGTTGCTTCAGCCCATGCTATGTTCCCATGAGCTGATTCAGTTATCCCTGCTGAATAAATTCAATCAGCTATAATGAAAACTAAGACTAACTGCAGAGAAAAGAGGAGGCGGATAAAGAATCCATTACTTACGTGATATTATTAAGAAACGATGAGAAAATGAGATTTATTAAAAAAAAAGCAGGATTCTGTACAGAATGTAAGAATTAAAGATCATGAAGGGTAGAGGAAAGTAAATTCAGGTATAGGCTGTTGAAAGCGAATTCTAAAAGACTCCACAAAAGAAGATGCAACAAAACTGCAATAACTGATGGAAAAGCAAGATTTATAGACCTAAAAGACTGGAAAGAAAAGAGGATGTTAAAGAATAATAAAAACTACTTCCAGTAGAATAATATAATAATGAAATCATAAAGTGCTAAAAGAGAGTAAAGAATTAAATTTCATTTGAAGCAGTCAACTTGCCCAAAACATGCTGCTGAATAGATGAATTCCATTGCTTCTTGTGCCGCAGCTGCAGGGCCTGGTGGCCGAGCTGCGCGAGGGGCTCCATACTGCCCTGACGGAGTTGTGCGAGCTGCGTCAGCGGGATCACGGTCTGGAGGAGAAGCTCCAGGCCCATCAGACTGATGTGGATGATAAGATAATGAGTCTCAAGAACTCACTCAACACTTTCAAGGTGCGGAGAACGCCACACAGTTAAAAACACACACGCACAAACTTACACACAGTCTTTTCTTGGTGTGGTGATGAGACTGCTGTAACGTAATTTCGAACATCTGACTGAAAGTGAAAACTAATGTCATTTAGACAGAAAGGCTACTTTTTCAGACACGTTTTTTTGACTTTCACATGCTGCATCTGCACACACATTTTTAGATATTTCAGGCATGTGGTATATTTTTTATGATGGCTATATATGTGGCATTGAATGGAAGGTTGTTAGAGTTGGACATACATGCACATGCCCGCAGTATAAGAAATGTGTAAGCTGTATAATATTTAGCATGATTACCACACCACAAAAGGTGCATACAACTGGCAAACTATGTGATAGCAGCTGTATTTTGTAGTTTTAGTGACATTTAGAAGCTATTTCCTATAAATCCCACCAATTCTTAATAAATATGTATTTTACTTAAAACGTTTCCCATGTTGGAAGTGATTTTCCTATCTGCTTTAGTAATTTATTCCACCATCTGACATCACAAAACTATAAAAGCATTGGCTCTAGCTGCCCTGGAAGAAAAATGCCCTGTTCTTGATTTGTGCCCTAAAGCTATCCAGCAGATTTCTCTCTAAATCTGACCCGGCGGCTCACACTGTAAAATGCAAACTCTTATCAGTTTACAGCAGTTACACTAATGCAGTTCCTTGGTATAATCTGCTTGCAGGAGGAGCTGAATGTGGTGTTTTTCCACATAAAGGATGTATCCAGCAGACAGAGAGAGGTGCAGAAGAGGATAGAACTGTTGCAGACAGAAAACACCAAAGATATCCTCTCTGTTTCACAAAGGTAGGGCTGAAACATACATAATAAGGATGTACTGTGGTAATAATAATTAGTAATTTAGCTGAAGATTTTATAACTAGGGGTAACTTTACAACTAGGGGTTACATGTCTTGCTCAGGGACACAATGGTCGATGTATCGCCACTGTAGATACACACATTTGTTTCATCCACAAAAATACATTTAAATTATATTTAATGTACACATTTTGCATTCTTCTAACTTATTTGCATTTTTACCTGTTATCTCAGCTCTAGAGCGTCTACTAATGCCATTAAAGTGCAGTTGGGCAAGGCCAAGACTGTAAAATTGCTCCCCAAACAAATACTTATTGGCAGGGATGCAAAAACTGTGTTGTGTGACTTGGCAAATAAGTTGTTTTTATCATCTTTTCCTTCTCCTTCTGCTGCTGATCGGTTCAAATGCAGAGAGAGCTCCAAGGCAGATGTGCTAACGGCATCAGGGGATGAACACATCTGTGTGCCCAGTCAGTCAGACCTTGGTGTTATTCAACACTTCTTTTCTAGTCTGCCACATAGCGGGTCACCACAGAGGAGCACCACATCCACACAGAGTGAGTCAATATGTGTATGTATCATTCATGTCTGCACACTGTGTACGTGTGTGAAGAAGGTGAAGTGCAGAAAAATATATGACAGACCTATAAGAGTCATTTCACATTTGTGTGTCTTGCAGCCTCCACCTCTGATCATGAGGTTCAGCAGCAGCAGAGAGGTTGTCCATCCAAATTTCCAGCATGGGGAGAGAGGAAGAACAGCAGAGATGACACAGAGACACCCAACAGCACGACTGAAAACAGTAAGAAGTATATTTATTAATGCAACTAATAATGATACTGCTGCTGCACTTCTATTATCACTAGAACCACTAGGAGTGCTAACTGCTGCTAATACTTAATAGTTTGCTCACTAAGGCCACAACACACAATACATGCCCATTCATTAAAATAAATAGTTCTACATTTAAGAAATACTCCTTTTCACTGTCTTGCCAAGAGTTAGACGAGAAGAACAATATCCTCCTTATCTGTCCATTAAATGTAAGGCTACAGCAAACCCAGACAGTTAGCCTAACTTAGCATAAAGACTGGAAACGGGGATACAGCTAGACTGGCTCTGTTCAAAGCTAACACTATCCATCTTGTAGTGCCTGTAAAGTTAACTAATTAACACATTATCTTGTTCTTGGAGTTGTGAACTTCCAGAGGAGGCTACAGGAAGTCACAACGCTCTGTCAAGAAATATTACCCCGTAAAACCACAAACTGCCATTTGGTTTTTGTACGGATTAAACACACAAGATATGATTTGTTATTTAGTGAGCTTTAGAGCTGCTGGTAGGTGAACCTATTCTCTTTTGATAGTGCCAGGCTAGCTGTTTCCCCCTGTTTCCAGTCTTTATGCTAAGCAATGCTAACTGTCTCCTTGCTTGAGCTTCAAATTGAACGGACAGATTTTGAATCGATCTTCTCATCTAATTCTCGGCAAGAAAGAGAATAAGTGTATTTCCCAAAATGTCATCATTATTTACATATGGCAAAAAATATAGTTTTGGTCAACACAGATGACGTAGTCGAAAGCCCATATCACAAAACCCCTCATAGACTACTTACTGTATATATAACTCAACATAGTTTAAACATATATTGTGTTTCTGTTTGTGTGTGTGTGTGCAGATAAGAGACAGAGAGTTGCTCTGGAGCTGCTGGAGTCAGAGCGAGTTTATGTGTCCCACTTATCTCTGTTACTGAAAGCTAACATCTCTTTCAATGGATCAGAAGCGCTCACTCCCAAAGACAAACGGTAAGTCTGTGAACACACAAACTGAAATCTTTTATGGACATCATTAAAAGACAATAATGAAATTAAATAATAATGACTAAGGAGGTTGTTTAATAAGGAGAAAAGATTTAAACTTTGTCTCTGTAGAAAGGTCTTATTTAAACACTACATTTAAGAAGTTGCACACACAACCAATGGAAACGCAGAATTATTCAAACATCACCAACCTTATCTCATATTGAAAAGATCTACACAGACTCTCATTGCTCTCTTACTCACACACAGATCTACACTCAGAATTCATTCCAGCCGGGCTACTGACCTAAATTAAGAGTTTATGGTAGGGATGGGTGGGTTGGGGGGGGCAGGAAATAAACTAATCAAATAAAAGCAGGTTATAAACACCAGGGAGACAGAGAGGACACTCTTTTAAAAGACTCTACATAGCTTGCTAATGTAATCAGTGTTTATTTCAGCACACATGTTTCCAGTGACAAACAGCACCAATGAAAAGGTGCAAATTCTGAAGCAGGTCCAATGGGATTTGTAAATTATTGCATTTGTTTTAACCTCATTTGTCTGCTGCCAGATGTCTGTCACGCAAGATGGTACAATAATTACCAGGAAGTTTAGTATATTATATAAAAGTACAAAGATGAAGGTTGTTTACAATAACTTCTGTATATGAGCCGTTTCTGGAAGCTGAAAATGCATCCTTTTTAAGTCGTCTCTTCAACATGACAAAATTTGTCTCCAAAAACACACATGCCTTAAAAATAATTTTCACAAGTCAGTTTTTATGTAATTATTCTGTAAGAGAACTTATTTCATTCAAGTAGTCTCTGCAATTGATTTCTATCCTCTCCTCTTCTCTCTTTCTCGCCGTCTTTAGTCCATTTCCCAGCTCTCTCAGGTTTCTGATCCAGCAGCACCTTGAGCTCCTCCATACTCTCCAGGAACGTGTGCTCAAGAGCCAGTGGCAAGGCATCATGGGGGATGTGTTTATGAGGCTCACCAGCAAAGAGGTAAACAACAAACACAGAATTTGAGTTTGAATGTTAGAATTGTTTGAACAATGTGAGGTCAAAAAGTAGCAATTACTTTTGACCCACAGACAGTAGTCCATAAAGATGTCTGTGAAGGTTCTCAGTCCTCCAGGTCATAGTTATCCAAAGGTTAAAATCAAGGGCAACTGGACTTGGTTGATGATATTAGAAATCCTGAAATACTAACAATGATCTTCAACCAAGTTCAGTTGCTTTGGATAGTCCATAAAGATACTTGTGCTAGCTTGGGTTGCTGCTCTGGTGTCTGCATACAGGCGCCGTATTGGCCTGCAGTAAGGAAAACCGCAAGCTTTAATCACATTAGCAGTTGCATCAGTATCAAACTATACTGGAATAGTTATTCTCTTTTTTTTTTTTTTAAACCTGACATTGGATTCATCAAACAATATTCAGCTGTTCATTTTGGTGTTAAGTCTCCAAACTGTGTGTACATTATTAACACATAATAGGGAAGCATTTCACCAGACGATTGTTTTCTGCTGATATTTATGAAGACATGTCAATATGCACCATCTACTGCTAAACAAAATAAATACCTCTAAAATCTTGACACCTGTGTCACCTGTTGGCAATAAGTGTTACAGATGCATTTCCCCCCCTTTTTAAAAAGCAAAAAGCTTGACTGAAAAATACAGCCCGTGTGTGACCACGCTATCCCTGCATTTGCAACAGATCATTTCACTTCTGTGCCCTTTTTTTGTGTTTGGCCACTGTGGAAAATATGTTAAAGAAATGTTTTTTGTATAATGCTGTTCAATACACCACCACCACCACAAACCACAGCCTCTAAAATGACCACAGAATTGAATCAGCACATTGTTGATGTATCTGGTATTCCTGTGGCGACTTTAACAACTATATTATACAAAGGATCTGGACCTCAAGTTTACTTGCTTCTAAATCAAAAACTTGACATTCACAATGCTCACTGCTGTTCCAGTCTAGTTAATATGGAAGGGTCAAAAGGTTCGGTCTTGTGACTGGCCAATTATAATGACTCTGAATCGCTTTGGCAGCCATGACGGACATGAAATAAAATGTCAAATTCCAGTAGAGCCATGTTGAGAGCTGGAATACAGATATAGTACAAAGACAAGAATGATTCTAGTAATCAGTGTGCAAAATAACTGATGGCAAAATAAGAATACTAGTCCTTATGTGACAAAATTAAAATTCTCAGAAAGACTTGAACCCCTACAGGCATTTTATACTAAATGGTGATTTTTGTATATATAAAACATTTTATTTCTGTGAAAACCTGTGAGTGCACTTCAGGACTTCCTTTCCCCCCTCTTTTCAGGGGACCTCCAGCCAGACAACATTAGGAATTCAATTTGCCACAATAATGTCAGTAGTGTAAAAATCTAAATGCTCCAGGGACATATGGATTTAAAGTATCAAAAATCTTTTACCGAAAGTAAAAAACAAGGTTATATTGTGTTGTAACATATAGAAAGGTGCTAGTGGCATCCAAACATCAGCTGAAAGCCTAAAGCAGACGCAATACACTGCTGGAGTATAATACAATACAAAGCGAATGTATAATTGGCTTTAATAGAATAGACTCATTACAGTGAATGGTGGGAAATGCAGTAATTGGTAGAAACACCTGCCTATTTAGAAAATATATATGCAGATTCACAATGTATTATGAGCCCTCCTGCATTGAGCTTGAGGGAGAAAAATAGCAGAAAAGAAATAAAAAGAATTACAGGAATCATCAAATTACAAGCTTTATATTTTTAAAACATTCTATTATGTCAAAATATGTAATTATACTGTTTTTTGAAATAGTTTTTTTCCTTGATTTTCATTTCATAGGTCTTTTATTTGTTTAGGTTGTTGTATGTGCTTATATTTAATGGGAATTTGAGGGAGCCCTGAAACTTCCAGTGAGGTTTCTGAAAATATCTCACCTCAGCAGAACACAAATATCATAAAACAAATGAGTGAATTGTTTTAAATCAGCAAAATTTTAAATAGTTAACTTGAATGACAGCTGGAAGCTTACATTAAACTGTTTTTCTATCCACACACGGGCATCATGATCTGCTGTCTACAGTCTAATCAGTCTCACCAGACTGACAATGAAGGGAGGAGAAAGTAGAAAGTGTGCGTGGATGGTGCATGAACACGTACATGCAAACACAGACAGGATCTCTCTCTGTCTCCCTGCAGAGTGATTTCTTGGACTTTTATGTGTCCTACCTGAAGGAGCTTCCGGACTGTCTGTCAGTCGTCACCATGCTTTCCTCCAGCTCTGTGAAATCTTCTGCCTTCCAGGAGGTAACACAAAAGGGATGGGGACAGTGCAGGAGACATCAGGACAGGAAGCGACGTGACGTGACAGCCTGTGATATGACATGACATGTGTATAGCATTAGAGATAGTAGCAAGACAGGGCAGGCAGGAAAAGACATAACATGTCAAAGCTTATGGTACAATATGAAACATAAAATATTCTAAGACTTATTGCGACTAATGGCAGAGAACACCAGCATCCCTGCAATTCTAAAAACTAGTCTGATGAGTCTTGTATGTTCTCAGAAATGTTTGACTGGCTGGTAACTTAAATATCTAGTAGCCACAAAAAGTAAATTCCAGCCCTCTTTGAGTATAATATTTACAGACCTTTCATTTGAATAAAATCACATTGCTGTACTAAGTGGTTATTTTCTTCCATCCTGATTGGTCGACCTGTGTTGCCCTTTGGCTCTGATTGGCCGCATTGGGCTTCTATCAGAGTGACATAACGGGTGACGAATCCAAACCCTCCCTCTACACTCTGCTCCTTCAGCCGGTTCAGAGGATCCCTGAATATCTGCTGCTGCTACAGGTGAGATTAACACACACACTTTAAGCAGTGTAGATCATGATTTACATTTAAAGGACCTAACTTTAAAATGCAACACACTGTCAATTCAAACTCAAAGTTAAAATAGCACATTACATACATATAGAGAAAAAGAACAAAATAAAAAGCTAATTTTAAACATTGAGATGATACATAAAGAAAAATACATGATCACACACTGGAAACCGAAAGATATGCTAAATATCTAATTGATGCTCATGACTTTGAAGACAGTATCTGCTTAAAGATGTGTGAAAATATATAAGTTAATATATCTGTGTGTGTGTGTGCAGGGGCTGTTGAGGCAGACAGATGCAGAGCACCCGGACTACTTCCTGCTGCTGGTGTGCATCCAGCAGTTCAGGTCCTTCACAGCTCAGTACCACAGCCTCCTCCAGCACAACCAGGAGCTTTTGCTGCACAACCGCAAGGAGGTGAAGAGGTCAGGATTACCATTCAGCATTACACACATGCTTAAGAGGTACACCAACACATATTCTCACTGTTTGAACCTGACAAATTAAGCTAAAGCAGTGTTCTGCACTGCAGGTCTAACATGAAACAGCTGTTAAAGACAGTGGAAAGTGGGATTCAAGCTAACAATATTGGCTCACCGTACCCTTGCAGCAGTACCATGCTGTGAGTATTTATACATTCTTAACTCTCTCCCTTATATGTTATTTGTTGCTAAGGAGGGAGCATCCAAAGGGTTTATCAGCGCTTTTTCCTGTAAAAAGTTGCTTGCTGCCGCCGGAAATAGGGTTGATGAGCCGTCTATCCCTCACAGAGAACATGCTAACCAGGTGAGGCGGAACAAGCAGCGTCTCCTGGAGCAGATCCAGTCTCATCGTTTCCAGGACTGGGATCGGGACCAGGATCCCGAAACTCATTGTTACGACACAGAGTGGCCCTCCCAGCTCCAGTTCTTCAGCCCGGACCTGGACTCACGGAACCACAAACCAACAGGTCTGTTGTCACAGAAGCTTATTGCCACTTTCTGTGGTTTCTGATTAGACATTAGACCAATGTAACTTTCTGAAACTCACAATCTGACCAGCTCTCCTTTTTCGTTCTTGACACAGCTACTTCCAGCATTTTTATTATGTACAATCGAGTACGAGACTGTCCGAGAGTGTATATTTTTGTCCCTATTTGTAAGATTCATTGCGTTTAGACCCGCAATAGAGTGTAGTTATCTGGAACAGGACCACATTTATTTGAAGATGTGTTCAGATGAAACTTCAAGCATATTGAACCCTTCTGAGTAGCACACCTGGAGCTGGTATTCATGAAGTATCTTGCTCAAGGACACAGCAGGGTGACTGCTTGCCAACACAGGGGTTTAACTCTGCTCAACCACTGGAAAGGAAGGTCTGGCTAGTGTCATGCCAAAGTCTAACCTCTAGGGAAATCAGACATTATTTGGCAAATGTTAAAAACCTGACTTGAATAGTCAATCCCTCAAGTCCAGGACACAGGTCTCACAATATTTTGGGTCAACAAGACTTGGTACACTCCGCATCTTGGCCCCCAGGTATCTATCTGTCTGTAGGCTTTGTAGCCCAGTTTGCAACTATTTGTTGTTTTTTCATGATGTCACTTTGTGTATCCTATGTAGGGATTCGGCAGAAACAGACGTGCAACCCATGTCACTTAAATGCTTTTGGGACAATAGCCCCACCAGTCAACCAGTCAACCAACCTTTGGCTTTCAGGTCTTGGCAGTATCCCAGAGAGTGAGGCATCTGAGAGGACCATGTCGTGCCAGCGTCATCTTCCCTCCAGACCCGCAGACTTCCGTCATGTTCAACCGGGCTCTGCTCTGGCCGATGCTCTTGGAGAGTTTCTTCTCCCTCCGGATCCCCCAGGGATGGAGAGCCTATATGAAGAGGACGGAGGCTCCTTTCATGATGTCCCCATGTTCGACCGCTGCTCCTCTGCCTCTTCAGATTCATCTATCGACATTGCCTTCGTGAAGTGCCCCAAAGCCCCCTCAGCTTCACATCACACAATGGCAGCGAATGTGTCGACAACTCGCGACATCTTTGGCAACAGTGGAAGCCAGGGGAATGGTTACAGCAGACTGCCCAACCGAGGGTGCGTGTCTCCGGATGAAGCTGTAATGATGCGTCACAATCAGCATCGCCCCCTTCAGGCCAGCCAGCGTAAAAGCAAGGTGAGGTTGTTTGTGCTTATATAAATAAAGAGAAAGATACTCAAAAAATGTTCAAAAAAATCAACACGTACTATTACTTCTCTACCGTCTAGTCACTGAACGGCCTGCAGATGGACAACACAGTGAGTGGCCTGGATGGTGGTCCTCTATCAGACCCCCTCACTAGGGCAGGACTAGGCAGTCATGCCAAGCTGGAGCGCCAGGGCAGTAAGGGCAGCAAAGGGTGTCCCACGCCATCCCGGAAGGTCCACAGCCCCCTGGGGAACAGAGTGGATACTGACAAACAGAGTGACGATCATCATGGTCTGCTCAGCATTGTGAGTTTCAGCAAATATGTGAACAAACGAATATGTCTTTACATGAAATCTGTCTGTACCAATCAACATGTTTATCAGTTTCTGACACTCTTTTGACCCCGAGTGGTAGGGATTTAGTATCTTGTTCAAGGACACCTTGGCATACCATAAAACTGCTGATCATCTCAACAAGAAAACAGGCATTACTTAATTAACAGGCAGACAAATCCATTTCTACTTTGTTTAACCGCAACACCAACATTTATAATCAAGCTATGCCCTTGATACCTAATGTAATTAAACCATAACTGAAGTAAATGTAATATTATCAACCCCACCAGGACTCCGGGTTCCCATCGTGGGGTGACGAGTCAAAGTGGAGGGGCGGGGCAGAGGAGAATAACCACACACCCTTCAGTGAGAGGAGTCGGAAGCAGGAAAAGGGAGGATTCAGGAGCTCATTCAAGAAACTCTTCAGGAAGAAGTAAGAAGGACAATGTCACATGGAAACACAACAAATTGCTTGATACTGTTTGCTGCCAAGGGTGTCACTTTGTGTTGAAAAGTGATGGGGACATAAAGGCTCAAATTAGGGGTGTTAAGATACAAGTGTGTCACGAGACTTGACGATGGTTAAAAACAAGATGAGAAGATTTTTAACACAAGAAATATGAATATGAATATGAAATGCTGAAATATATGAGTGGGGGATCTGGAGGTCCTCCCCCAGAACATTTTGAGCATTAAACACTTAATTTCCTGCATTCTGGCGACATTTTCTGCTCCAATTAATGGTGGAAATGTATTTATATAAAGAAGTATTCAGCTGATTCATTAATATAAAAATATTACAGAAAATAATGCAGTAATCAGCAACTTGTCTTTTTTTGGACATTTCACATTTGTTTCTTCTATATTTACATTGCATTGCATGCTTTCTTTTTGTGCAAACCTAAACCGTTCTCTTTGTTAGTTAACGTTTCTTGGTGCAAGGTATTTTTCAAAACATTTTTAGCAAATGCTTCCAAAAAGTGATAGGGACAAAATCAGACTTGAAATGGCTTTCAATGGCCTTGAAATGACTGATTTTGTGGTGGGGACATGTCCCCAGCGTCCCCAGTGTAAATGACACCAGAGATAGTGAGAAGAGGGAAGGATTGAAAGAAAAGCACCTCAGATATGTCAGTAAACAACAGACAAAAGTTTTGCCTTTAAAAGCTTTTTGCATCAAAGTTTAAGGAGAATGATGCAATTTTTTGAAATACCTTTCAAAATATTACCACTCTGACATGGAAGAATCAAATTTACCCTTGCTCTTTCTTTCTCACAGGGGCGGTGATGAGAAGAAAGAGAAGGGAGGTGAGAAAACACCAGAAAACCAAAACAATGGTGAACATGAATCACCGGGGAAAACTCCCAAACTGGTACATCTGGAGATAAACCGTGGCACAGCTGTATGAATACTACTTTATCACACACACAAACACTGTCACAGACTGATCAAGATATAAAGTGTACTACACGCATGTTTAAACGTTCACACAAACTGAAGAAGTGCAACATGTGGTTGCTTTGTTTTTTTTACATTTACAACTTCTATATAAATGCTGTACAGGTATAAGCCATTTAGCAAAGCAACATGTCCTCTGATCATTTCCAAGTGTAAATGTGATTTGTATTTGAAAGATGTTTAGATGAAAAATGTTTGCTCATGTTCACCGTTATTTTGGCAATCCTTTAACTTCATTATTATAAAGATAAGCTCTACATGTTATTAGAAATAAGCCTTAGAGTAGCCTGGTTGAGGGGGTGGAGGAGGTGAAATGCTGCCTTTTATTTGTTTAGAGCATGTGGCCAGGAAGGAATTACAAACTGTACCTTTAAGTAGCAAATTCAACTTTTTTGTCAATGAAAATGTGGTTACAAACCTGACCACTAGATGACATAGTTTGACATTATCGATTCCCCATACTGTAAATAATTCTTCTTGTTCTTCAGTTTATAAAAAAATAAATAAAAAAATAAGATAACTAACTCACATCTTTTCCCTTTTGTCTTTTTAGAAAGGTGTTTCTTTACATCCCAATTTTCTAATCTGTGCAAACATAACATACAGCCTCTTTTTAATTGGCAGGCATTCCTCTCTTTGTCTTTCATTATTGGAATTTATGATTTTTCACCAACCCAGCAGGCTCTGACACTCTTTAAATGGGTTTCACTCTGGTCCAGCTTTCTGTCAGCTTAATGTCTTAAGCGTATAACCAGAAATTATTACATTGTGCATTTACTCAGGAGAGCAAACATTAAACTGTTATTTGTGTAGGTTTATATGTTTAAGCATTTTGTTTAAATCTGTGACAATTATTTCTATGCATTGAACAGAACTGTTTTGTTAAGAGATGAATGTGACAATGTGTCAATCAAGAGACATTAAGAACGTTCAATAAAGCCAATTGTGAACATAAATTTTGCTGCTCCGCTGTTTCCTTTTCCTTTAATCACTGGGTTATCAAAATATGACACGACTTTAAAAAGGGACTATCATTGTTTATATGCTGGATGACTTGGATATACTGTACATGTTGTTATAAATAGGTTCTTATCATTCTGAGCTCATTAAAGTGACATGACACAAACATTTACACTTACTCACTTCAGCAGGCTGCACAGTCTTCACTAGGATGAACTGTTCGGTCCTTGTACAAGATGCCAACTTCTGCCATGTGAAGACAAGAACCGGTTAGCTCAAATTAAAATAAAAAGATGGTTTTATTTTTATGAAATCCTGATAGGTTTCACCTCTTCCTCACTCAAATGAAATAATCTTGAGATAAGAAAAAATGACAAAGGACATTGCTTAATTAAAGGGTCACAAGCCTCAACTAGCCACATAAAAAACGCTCTTAAAGCTTTTCTTGCCTGTAGATGAGGCAGGTTTGACTGGAAAAGTTGCTCTGCAACTGGATGAACTTTACTGGACCTGGATTCAGATTGAGATCAATATTATGTTCTTGTTTTCTATCAAACTTAATCAATGTGTTCAGCCCTCTTTTTAGTGGATTGTTTTATAGTACGAAAAGCACACGTCTGTCTATTCTATTCAAGTGTCCCAGTGCCGGGACAGTGAGTGTGTCTGTGAGCCCATCCGAAATAACCACTACAAGACACCAGATGGTTGAGTTCCTTCTTTTTAATGTGTTAACCTGTCATCTCATAAATCTGTTACACTTCTGAACCAAAATATAGGCAATTATACAGTATGTAAAACAAACCCATTTTTATTTTACAGTATATACATTTCATAATGTGTGCATTGCATTATGAAAACAAAAGACAGAAGCTGATGCAGTAGCGACAGAACAGAGTAGACTTTTTGTGTTTTGTTTTATATTGGGAGGAGACCTGCTACACACAGCTTTTACAAATAACTCATCGGTGTCCCATTTAAAAACATCTACATATCCGGAGCCCACATCATCTTAAAACAATCCCTGTGAATTGTTTCCACACGTGATTTGACCCAGGAGTAGTTGAGGCTATAAAATAGACTTTATCATTTACGCAAAACCTACAACAGAAGGCCAATGTTGGCACCCGCTTTAAGGGATTATCACTTAAATGTGTCTATATGACAGCATAAATTAGGAGTCATTGACACATCATTCAATCCCACAGAAACTAACTTCATTATTTGGCAAAAGGGACACTTTTCTCCCCCAAAATTAAAAGATATGAACCCAATGGGAGTATATGGTATGAGATTTTAGGACTGCTTGTGTTTTTTGTTTCAACTAAATCAATACATACTTTCCACAATTTTAGATGATGAGCAGCTATGATACAGGAAGAGTTTATTCTTGGGTTTGAGATCTGAGAATTAACAAAACTTGATAATTCAAAATAAATTCAAAGAAATTGGGTGTTTTAGGAAACAAAGAAAGCCTTAAAAAAAAACATTGAGTAACCTTTAGAGAAATGTCTCATTCACTTTGTCTTTAGGGTTTTATTAACATCAACTGAGAGGACATAGACATTTTAACGAGGCTCAGAGAACATGTAACACTAACCTTATAAGCTGTTGATGGCTGTCTTTTGAATCAGACATGTTGGTGTGTTTTTCATCTAGGACATACCACGAGGTAGACTATCTATCTAAATTTGGCCATTAAACCTTTTAACAACATATTTTGGCATTACATTAAAAATGTAAAATATATGTTCTTTGACATCAACTGAGCCCTAATTTAAAGGAATGTGTGATACATTTTGTCTCAATGGCTTGTATGTTTGATATTTCTGAAATATGGTTTTTCCCAGTGCAGCACTATGTGGGTATTTTATAGAAGAAAGAAAAACGCGCACAGGCGATAAAAAGAAGACAAATAATTTATATCCTCACAGTGGATTCAAGCGCTCCAACTACACTATACCTGTTATAGCTACTTCCCCACAACAGGGCAGTAAAGCATCAGGAGCTGGAATCCAGAGAGAGGATCAATTTATCAACAAATAAACCCCATGAAAAAACAGTGAAATAGTGTGAATGGACATTGGTGTCACTGAAATTTAGGAGGGACACATGTTGGGTGAAGTAACGAAGGTTTAGATTATGACATATTCACTTTCTGCGCGGTGGAAGGAAATCAAATTTCACTATACAAAGGGGGTAATAAGAGGTCAAGGAGGAACAGAAAGCTGTTCACATTCACTTTCTTAAATTGCCAACACAGCTACATGCCCCCTTTACAACCACCTTGGTAACACTCAGCGACACGTCTATTCCATTTACTTCATATCTAGCCTTTCCTATTGTGTCAATTGGACTTCAGCTTTGTTTTTACACATTGATGATATATCAAATATTTAAATCTTCTGTATTTGTAACGCTCCATTGTAGTGCATTATTGGGTCACTTTAGGTTAGGGATTGGTGTCGAGCGGTGAAAATTTGCCAACAGACGGCAACAGAAACAGCATTTTTGTTAAACGAGAAATTTGGAAGCGCTTGAAAAATGATCCCAAATGTTTCAGCTCTGTAAAATGTGACATTTAGCGATGGTATCTGAGTTAAGTTCAGCTGAACAAGTGTTCTCTGAAGCAGCCATCGAGTGTCATAGCTTGTAAAGACTGGTAGTGTACTGCCACATGTAGACTCGACAGTGCACATTTACATGCATGTAGTGAAAAGTCACATCATTGAAGGCTGAAGTTCTCCAAATATGACTAAAATTAATAAAATATTTGGAAATGTTATTTCCCACCCCACTTTTGGGCCAGCTAACTTCTGTTCTACTAGAAATAATCATTCAATGTGTTTCATTAATTGTTCTTTATATACACATAATTATGTTAACATTGAATGGCACTGTAACCGCGTTTTTCTGTGTAAGACTTGAGAGATGTTAAATGCTAACAACATAATTGTTTTTTTATGTGTCCAGCATAGTAGTACACACCCATTTACCCACAAATCCATTTCGTTTTGGAGGCTAGTAGAATAGAACTCAGCTATGAACAGGAGTTGGGCTCTTCATTTGACTGTAAATACATTTTACCTGGCCAAAATGTGATCGTGTCCTAGCTTTATAGATCAAGCAGTATTTTAAAATGATTCTTAGTGTTTTATCCTCTTTGGAGTACCATATGGGAGGGTTTAACTGCCAATGGTTATACTCCATCCATGTGGAATTCCACATTAGTTAAATTTAATGCCAGAAAAGATGGCTAACGGCTAATATATACCAGGTTTACTGGATAAATATAAACCATTTTTCCTTCTGTGAAAATCCTTTTTTTTCTCTTGTTTTTCTAATATCTGTGTGGCCTCTGGCAGAAACACAGCTGTCACTTGTTAAAGTCCAGATCTGTAAATTATGCACTTGTATGTGAATATTCTATGTCTACGTGCGCGCACACACACACACACACACACACACACACACACACACGCACACACTGTGCATACACACATCATATATTATAATGACATCACATTTGTTTGTCAAATACCTTTTTCTCTGTGCAAATTTTTAACACCAGTGGTTCAATAAAAAATGGCATTAAAAAAAAACAAACAAAGCTTTCTGATAAAAATAGCATTAAAAAAAATAAAAAAAAAACATGAGAAACAAACTTAAATGAACAGAACTTTTAACCTCCGCTGCCCTGATGACTGTTGCTATGGTGCAAACGAGCAGGAAGATTTGATGGTGACGCATGCAAAAGGAAAATGACCAATCAGTGCTGCTTCCCGTGTTTGCTCAGTCCGATCCTGAGCTCCAGACTGTTATTCGAGTAATATGTGATTACTAAAGCTGTCCACCTGAGGAGACGGCAGGGGTCTTTGCTTCCCGACTCTCCTCACATGATCAGGGAACTAGGAAGTGAATTTACCGCCCCCGTCACTCCTCCACGCCTGTCTTTCTCTCCGTTTGTCTCCACAGCTGTACAGGGCAACTATACACACGCCTATCTACATAACCAGTCTTTTTTAGTGTTCGTCTGTCAAAAAAATACTACATTTATATTTACAACAATTAAATAGGTCAATTAAGCACTTGTGTGGTGTGGTGACGGGTATCGGAATTCGATGCTAGCAGAGGTGGCGAAGCTATTTAGTCTTTTTTTTCAATCCTTTTTTAAAAAAAACAACTAATAAAACAGGAAAGCCATCCTGGTTGTTAAAGTTACATCATGCCACAATAAATAAAGGTGTAGTTTAAAAAAAAAAAAAAAAAAAAAAAAAAAAGAGGAAGAGGGAGACAGAGGAAAGGATGGTGAAGGAGAGAAAGGTTTTCTGTGCAAGATGGCTCTTCCGTGAAGCTTTAGCGCAAGTAGCAGTAGTAGTAGTAGTAGTAGTAGTAGTTGTATGTGTAGAACTAGTAGTAGAAGTAGTGTTGAAGTCAGACTTCTGCGCTGGATGCGGTTTTCCCAGTATGCAGTGGGAAGGTGGGATGGTATCAGGAAGGATTCTGCATTGAAGTCGCTCTCGTAAGGTGCAGAGAGGAGATTCCCCAGCTAACTTAACCCATACTGGCCCCAGACCAGCGGTTTTAACCCTGGCCCCGTCAGAAATGGGTCCACACCCTGCTGCCCTACTACATCACGCTTAGCTAATACACATGTAACACTGCGGTGCATTTTGAATGTCTGCAACTGGGAATCCACATCTGCACCCACAAACGGCTTATCTCCCAGTTTCACGGCCGACAGGAGGTTGGGTGGGTTAGCGATAGGGTTTGGCTGAGTGTGTCTCCCGGTTGCTCGCTCTGATGTTTGCATTAGTGGTAGGCTGTTTAGAGAGTGTGTTTATGTGCGCGTGTGTTTGTGTGTGTGTCTCAGTAGCTGTTTTCATGGCCTGCCAGGATGTAGAGGTTGCTGTGGGCTGTAGGGTTGTCTGTGGGCCTGCTCTCCAGCACCACCACCCTGCAAGACAAACACACACACAAACAACATCCAGTTTAGCTTGAAGGGAAAGTAATATAACATTTATCAATCTTTATTTTGTCCATAAATCCAAGACAAAAGAACAGGCCAGCCTGCTTCAGCATGTTGACAAAAATAAATGCAACTCTGAGTAATATAAAGTGTGAAGACACAGTAAAGACCCAGGGTTTATTGTAGCAATGTGTACAGTTAGTCAACAACCCACACAGGACGAGATCCAAGCCTTTAAAAGCCCTGTTATTTGGAAAAAGGCAGCAGCGGGAGATGACTCTGACACTAAGCCCTTCATAAAGTACACTCTGTTTACCCTGAGGAAAACTGTGAGAAAGCTGTTAATACAGTTTTAACAGGGACCCAAAGGCTCATACACTCACACATCATTACTCAAAGGGACTCAATAACAAGACAATAGACACCAGAATTATCCAGTCCATACAGAAGTAGTTCTTGGTAAAAATGTTGTGCAGGTTTTACTAATCCCTGACACAAAACCGACAGGATTTACTGTATTTAACTTAAGAACTTCTTTTTTTTACATTTTGAGATACTGACAACGTCCTACTGTCAGTTAAAAATTGTGCTAGCATGCAGCATCAAACTGGACAAAGATGATGATTTTGGTGTCTATGCTGTCATGACTTCACAAGTTAAATCCCCAAAAATGTTGTTCAGTTTCTCAGACACACTCTCTCTTCCTCTCAGACAGTCTTAAAGCTTCTGATCCCGACAGAAAGAGGCAGTGTTTTCAGCTGGCAGTGGCCCGCGAGCAGTGACTTTACCTGGGTAGAGTGAGGCCTCTGTCCTCGGCCTCTGGATCTCTACAGTGGTCACGTCTTCAGTGATAAGACATCAGAGAAGATGTTAACATAGACCTAAATGTGTGTGTAATGTGTATGAAGGGAGGAGATGTGTATGTGTTGGGGTGTGTATGTTCTCACCTGTCTGATCCCAGTAGTCTGAAGATGCGTGTGCTGTCAGAGATCTCCTGGGTGATCTGATGAATATATAAGGAAGAGAGAAAAATAGACAGAGGGGAACAAAATCAAGGTCAGATCTGACAGGAGAAACCAGTCCAAATAAAGGATGGTACCTAAAGTTTGAAAAGAACATGTGTTGAGGATGATCTTTAAAAATAAGTGAGGAAAATAAGTGAATGTCACTTAAACACTGTGTAGACAGTCTCTGTCTGTTATATGTTCATGTCACACAGACAATAATTGCCAGAAGCCAATTGGATATCAGCCTCCTTGTTGTAACTAAGTTTTTTTCTGACAGCTATGACATCTCTCACTTGGCCAAAAGAAATGTCAACAGACCTGTGGCAAAATGGCTTCAAAGACAACATCACAGGTAGTTACTGATTCAGCTAATTAAAAATATTCATGATATATAATAATTTCTTTGATTAGTTTTTTTCAGTTGGTGTTTGTTACCATCTTGGACAAATATACGAAGGCTTCCACGATGGAATAACCGGAGGTTTTCACATTCTTCCCACTCTACCGACATGGCATGAACGCATTAATGCGTGGACTGAATGGATTTTGCTCCACATTCATTTTAACAAGGTACAGCGCAAGACCTATCCACCTCCAGTCGAATTTTGAAACTTTAAATTGTGAGGCTCTACAATGTCCAGACACATGGGAGAAATAGGATGAGAAAGACCTCTTGTTCCGGATATAAATAAATTTAATAAGCAGGAAAGGGGGGACACTGCTTGTAAGGTTAGATATTATTTTCATTATTAGCTTATACATATTTTCACAGTGTGAAGCTGGTGCAACATAAGATATAAAAGACCTAAGAGTGGGGCTGCATTTCAGTAAATGACCAGTGTGATGTTGTCTCCTGGTTGGTCGACAAAAATCGCATTAAAGTGGTGATCAGTGTACACCCTAAAAATCCTGACTGGAGCATCCCATATCAAAATGTTGCCCTATTTCATGTGATTTTGCAGGACTGAAAAATCTATCTATACTATTAATCTAATATCATGCTCCACCAATCCACTTACATTTTAGGAATCCAGCAGCTAGAACAACAGTAAAATCCTATTATAGTCTGAGATTAATCAGACTATCCAGCCACGACGCCTGGAAGCGAACCTCTTTACACGATCCAAAGGTCACCTCTACTGTGCATTTTTTTTTCCAATGAGATATAACGAGCTCAAAAACACACACACACACACACACACACACACACACACACTCCTGATCAATCTCACCTCATTGGTCTTGAAACTCCGTCCCTGCATACCATGCCTCCAGAAGGCCAGTACGCTGTCTTGAAGACAAACTGCAAAGAAACAGGGATAACAATATATATATATATATATATATATATATATATATATATATATATATATATATATATATATATGTAATTATATGTCACACAGTATATTTGGGGGATTTTAAATATTTGTGTGGCTCTTTTCTTATCTTTACCTGTGGATTCAATTTGGAAGTTGAAAGTGAGCTCCGCTGACAACTTCCTGCTGGATTTCAACCTCCCCTGGAGGTTCACTATCTTTATACACCCTGCAGAGAGGGAGAGATTGAGTCAAATTCTGGTGAACCTGTTGCAACGACCTCTGCATTCTGACCTGAAGTAGTTGAAGTTGCACAGTGCAAATGCACAGACGGGTAAAAATGTGTTAGTGTTACTCACTGTCGAGGCAAACAAGTATAGTGTCTCTCTCTAGTTGAGTGACGTGGATCACACAAGTCTGTGGTGTGTCTGCAGACAGAAAGGTGAGGGCGGAGCATTACTTTGGCCTCCAGACTGGACATAACAACATCTCAGAACAATTCAAGTGTTGTTAGTTTGACGTAACAGAGCTGGTCATGCTGTTCTCACCTGCTTCTGTGAACCAGGAGGAGGTAGAGTTGGGGTTGACGGTGCCGAATCTGACCACCTGGTTGAGTTCAGTACCTTTACTGACCGCCACACAGATCAGAGGGTAGGTCTGCTCCGGGACCACCAACATCTCAAAGACCTCCAACGGACACGGCAACGGGAAGTCGATGTTCTGTTGAGCATATGAAGAGACAGTAGGTAAGAAAGGGAAGTCCGCTATCTCTGAGAATATGGGACTACCGACATCATCAGAAAGGAGGTCAGCAGTCTGTTCTGCTAGGAAATGAGATGAGTGCAGTAGGCAGAAATCAGTGTAATATATAAAAATTATTGCCGAAACTATAGCTGAGTACTATATTTAAAAAACATTTCAATAATTTTAGAGTTTATTTTAAACATTTTCAAACTTTTTAAACTAAGAAAACCTTGGGTATTACACCAACCTTAGAAATGTGCCTTTGTATTATTTATACTCTTCATAGCCAGTGTAATAAAATAGAGGACAGGAAACACAAATGAGAAGTTTTGAAGTACAAAAACTGACCTTGATGAGCATGAACTTCTGCATGGGCTCCACCCACTCCAACAGCATGACACTGGACTGAAAGGCTCCACACAGGTACTTATGGCCTGTGTACGGGTTACGAACTGCATGGAAACAACGTCAGTTATCAGTTTGTATCTTGGTAAGACTTTGTTTGAGTAGACCCACAATTACTTGTGAAACGTTTGGATCCAAGCACATTTTGTAGATTTACAGTGTTGTCACACACTGATACTAACACTAATATTTTATTCTGTTTTTTATGGGATAACATCAGTCCCAAAAAAGTGAACCTTCCTAGTCAGAAAAAAAATATAAAATCCTCATTCACCAAAACTCACCTACGCAGCACTTTTGGCACCCTTTAGTGTCTGGAATTTTATTGGACACCGCAAACTTCCTATAAACAGACAGACAAAGAAATCAGTGTCACTCAAAAAAGGCTTTCTGTGTCGAGGTCAACATCATGTTGCACAGATGGTTCAAACTGACATGAATGTCCTGTTCTCAGTGAAAGTTATTTAAATGTTCTATAACTAAAGGGCAGATAAATAAAGAGGAATGCAGGATCACAATTCCTAAGATTGACCTCCTGCTCGGAGAGTTACCTGGGAATCATCTTATCAGGCAGCTTGTGTGTGGGAATGGCTACTGGTAACTTCTGTAACTGTCGGGCCTGTTCGAACAGACCGCTCACACTATGGGAGTACAGCTGAGAGGCTTTTCCTGGAATAGAACAGAACAGAACAGAACAGAAAAGAGAACAGAGTAGAAAGGACCAAAAGCAAAGAATGAATGTTGAGTTTAGATATAAGATGTATTAACCTGTTATAAGAATAAAACAATTTATTTAGTCAACTTCCAAACAATTCCATCACACAGACATGTCGTAGCTCACCAGATATGGAAAGAAGACAATTGTTCATGACATATAGCCAGGTACACCGCCGAGGAAAGAGCTGCGGACAGATACAGGGTAGAGAGAGAATACACATGCAGCAAATGAGCACAACAACACTGGTAGCTTAAATCATTTGTTTCAAAGATCAAAGAATGTTTGGGATTTTTTAACTATGGTTTTCTATTTGACAATATATGACTACCTCTGGAAAGTAAAAAGTGAAGAAAGAAGAAGAAAATGAAAACCATATTTTCATGAACTACATTATTATCTGTCTAATAAATGCAGAAATCTGTGTGTGTGTGTTTGTATTACAATTATGTCGAGAACTGTTCATCCAATTAACCTCACACACAGGACCCAAGGTAGTACAGTGTCGCAATTGGTGCAATTTAGACACGCAACATGTTTGAAAAAGCTTTAACAGACTACACGACTTACTGCCACAATGCAGGTTTGATATACCTTAGAAACAAATGTGTTAAAATGGAGTTTTATAAAGTTCTAAGGAAGCGCTGAATATCTAACATCTCTGCCATTGTTGTGTTGTTTCAGTCTTATAAATGCTGTATTTGAAACCATTGTGATCATTTCCAGTCTCACCTGTTCCATTGAGGTCTCATGCAGCTCATTAAGGTTTAATGTGTAGATTCCCTCTTCAGCTCCGAATATCAAATACTGGTCTGAAACATAAAAAAAACAAACATTTGACCTCTTCTTAGAGCCAACCAACAGCTCACATTAGACAACACTGAAAGGTTCCTTCAGGAGTCAGGGTAGTTTGATTCAGGATGAAGCTAATGACACATTCATTAAACTGTAAGCTGACGTTCAACACTGTATCTGGTTTTCTATTGGTTACCTCTGGTGTCCGGATTGATCCAGGAAGTGGCACAGTGGATCTTCAAAGGACAGCCGTTGAACACCTTGGAGAAACATGCCCCCATCTGCGAATGGGAGGAGATGAATCAATGCAAACTATAAAAGGTTATTTGCTGACAATTCTGTGCTCAAACCAAAATATTGATTTTCCTTCCAGGTTGTTAAAAGTTTTATCATATAAAAATTCCCGTTATCCTTTCCAATGCCACTGACAATAACGGTTTTCTAAAGGAGAGCAGAAAGAGACTGTTACTTACATGGACTTTGGGTGTAGGGGGAAGGCCATTACTGATTGGCTTCTGGGACAGACAGATCAACACACACACACACACACTCCTAGTTTATGTCACAGCACCAACAATTCTCACAATTGCAAACTTTTCCTTCCAACTGAGGGTTTTCAAACTCCACAGTGGGTGGATATTTCAGGAAGCTTACCGGAACGTCCTTCCTGTCTTTCCGTATAGGGACACTAGGGGGCATCGTGGACTGTCTGTCTGATGGACCTTCCCTCTCGCCACTGTGTGGAGAGTTCAGCCCATTACCTACAACAACAGAGACACAACTCAATGTCGGACAGAGAAACTATGACAGAGAAGGAGAGAGAGGGTTTACGGAAATATGCAGCCGTGTGTTTGAGGAAGCAAGGTGAGCGAAGACACAGAAATAAGACTCTGCTGCAGAACACCGTGCAGGCGTAGTCCACTCATACTGACACTTTCTCATACATATAGGTTGATTTCAATGAGTGCAATCACATCTGCGGGACTGAAGACACAAGAGAGTAACAAACAAACTACTGGGAGCGGGAGGGAGGGAGGGAAGGAGGGAGCAGGGTAGCAGGAAGAATACAGAGGATCAAATATAGTCATGAGCGCAGGAACTACACCACACACATAACCTGCTAGATAATGATCAATATTGGTCAATTAGGACTGGTAGATTTATCTACTCTATCAGTCTAACACTGTGGCAAACAACGGATACGCATGCCCTAATCTGTTGAAACATTTTTGGGTTGGTTTATAAAATACGAAAATAATGAGACTTTTTTTTCAATAGCTAGCATTTGGGGCTATGGACAAAAACATTTTCTGTCATGACGGGGAGAACAACACTCACATAAACACACAGCCACCAACACGTGCCAGCTGAAGGCTTAAAAGGTAACAGTTATGCTATGATTGTTACAGCATAACTGTGTATTTCTAATCTTCTAACTACAATAACCCATGTTTTCCAATGTGTTTTCTGATCTCTGTGATTCAGCTCCAAACACCACAGTAAATGTCTCCAAATACAGCATCTAAATATTTGGTAACATTTCAAGAGTAAAAATAAATTAAGAAAATAAGAAATTAGAGTTTCTCCACAAATAAAGACCAGTCAACTAACAGCCAACTTGTTAAAGCAGGACCCACCTATTCTCAATCTAGCAAAACAGGTAACAAACTCCTGCTAAGAATTTAGTTTCAAGATGACAAGGAAATGAAATATAAATTACACAGAATTGTGGCTTTTATAAAAGTGTGAAAGTAATGAAAATATTAAAGTATCTTTTAGCATGATTAAAGCACTGGAAATGTTCTGCTGTTAACAGTATGAGAATGCAGGGAATATCTAAAATATTCCAATCATACTGAATATTGTTTTAATAAGTGTATCAGAGGTATCCTCAAGGTGGAATTAAAAATGATTTGTTTCTGCTTTGGTGTTTCTATTCCTGTTCATCTTCCGTCTCTCAGGTACGGGTCTGTTATCATCAGAGGCAAGAAGTTTGCCTCAATAATAAACAAGACATACATTTTTTGAACTAGTGCTGTAATGCAAAGTTTTAATTATGATTGATTGCTGTTCAGTGGGACAGTTAAGTTACATTTATAAAGCAGCCAACGGGAACAGGGAAGACCAAATCTAATCAAAGTGAAACAAATGAAAAAAACCGAATCGATGCCGTTACACCTCTTCAAGGAAGACATGGGGGCAGAACCTGAATGAGAATGGAACTTCATTCCTGACTTATATATCAGTCATTTGTCATATCACTATGATGTGCTGTTGCCTGAGCCAGGACAATGTTTTCTCCTCTTCCTTCTTCCTCCTAGGAAGTGAGGGAAAGTGGGCAGCAGACTACTAGCTTTTGATTGATTGGATTAAACAACCAATCAGACTACACAAAAAAATGACAAACACTTATATTGAGCAGGAGCTGAAGGAACTACAAACAATAAAATCAAAATAATTCTTATTATTAATGGATTCATGGAACAAAGAAATCAGACTACAAGGACTGACTAATGGGAGACCACACAACCAATCGAAGGGGACGACAGGGTCTGCGGAGACTACCAATCTATCAAGTGGCTGCTCTTACTCTCTTCCTTCTCCTCCTCTTTTTCCTGCTCCTCTTTCACCTCCTTCAGCACCTCCCACGCCTCCTCCAGCTCCTCGTCTGTGTGAGGCGTGTGGAGCCACTCCCAGAAATGCCTAAAGCTCCCATCATCCTCTGGGGCAGAGTTTTCGACGTCCGTGCGCTTTGGGCTCTCGTTACCTAGACTACTGCGGCGGTGGGGCGGCAGCTTCGGAGGTGGGGGCCGCGGGGGAACGTTGGAGGCGGGCTTGGCGGGGCTCGGCGTCTCTGGGACTGGACAGCGTTTGATGGTCCCTCCTCCTCCTCCGCCGTCGTCCTCGCTGTGTGATTGGCTATCGTCGTGTTTTAGTTGCTGCTGCTGCTGCTGCTGCTGTTGGGACGAGCAGATCGACTTGGGCTGAAGGGAAATGCAGATAAGAGTCATCTCATTTCTGTTATTCTGTCACATTTTCAATGACATCAAGATATCCATGTAACTGAAGTTTTAAAATGAATCCTCAAATGACAAATCAATGACTGTGGCTGACAGATGCATTCAGTTGATCATACCTTGGGAGGAAGCGGTGGCGGGACCTTTGGCCTCATGATAGTGCTTGATTTACTGGAGAATGACAAGCCGGAGGATTTGAGACATAAAATAGACTAACAACACAGTTACACTGAAATCAATATACACATCTGTCAACAACCACTGAGGCTATGGTTTAACTTGCCATTTTAAAGCAGTATTATTTCTCATAAAAGAACAGATTTCACAAGAACACATATTTTAGCACCCATACTACTCTAAAAATCCTACTTATACCCATATAGGTTTAACAATCATACTGGCAGTTTCTATAAACTGCTCTTTGGTGAACATGCTGGATCACATACAAACAAAGCCGTTCAGTTGTACTGTTAAAATCTAGTTTTGAAAACTTAAATAAAGATGTGGATACATTTTCTAGGCATCCAGATCAGACTGTATGTAGTATTTCATAGAGTGATCAGATGTAAAAAATGACAAGTATAACCATAGCCTGACACTATTTGGCACTGAGACAGGCACAAGATAATGGATTTAAAAAGGTTAACCACTACATTCAAAGTGAGACTGCCACACTAGAGGTTATTAAGAACAAACACAGATGGAGCATGTGTAAAGTCTCTGAGAATCGTAGCGCTGATATTGAAAAACTGATGATACTACTGCTGCTTAAAGTATTAAAAGAGTTTCAGTTGGAAATACTAAATTACAATACTTCAAATTCAACCACTTCTCTAAACTACACTCATTCATACTTGTCTTTGTTAAAAAGACAAAACTATTTTCACAGTTTGAGTTAAAGTTGATTCTCTTGTTTGGATTAAGAGCTGCCACATTTTTAGGATTCTAGTCACCTCTTAATGCTTTAAAAATCGATCCATCATAATTTTGACTGCACTCCAGCACTACATTCACAGAGACTTTATCCATTTAGCATGACAGGCTGCAGATTTGTTGAGCAGCTTGTTAATAACTGACAAAGAACCAATAAGAACACACAACTTAAAAACAGACCGGGACTGGGAGCCAATCACAGCGAACACAAATACTAAATAACAAATAATAAAAATGATTCACATTGATTCAGTTGATGGTGGTTAACAGGTGTGTGGGCGTACCTGAATAATATAAACCTTATCCGTAAAAGCTGATCAGTAGCTGACACATCTTAAACATTCAGGGCTTGGACAGCTGAAAAGTTACAGTCTGCCTTGACCTTGAGGTTAAAGTGCGTGTTGACACCTCCAATGGCTGAGTTTTATTCAACATGCTTATAACCAGGAACCATCACACTGATTCCACTTTACACGACTAATTGGTTGCAGTTAATTTTGCAATCATTGTCCTGTGCGCGCTAAGGTCTTTGCTACTGCACTGAAAAATACTGTATATGTCTAGAAAGAACGCTCCGGTCCGCTGCAGACATTTGGCTTTCACACAATGAGGGATGAGGATGGATGCCAGATATACAGTTTTATAGAGGCAGAAGACGACAGAAGGCAGCTTGAATGTATGCGCGCACACACACACACACACACACACACACACACACAGCAAGGAGGCACACAGATGGTGATGCAAGCGGAGAACAAAAACAAGACAACAGCAAACGAGATGTCAAGGTCATGAGGAACAGTTATCCAAGCACTGAAACTACACCAGACCTCATATTTCACGCATCAAAAAAGAGCTAAGAATCTAATGAAAATTAAAAAATATAACGTGCCAGAATTTAATATGTAGCTGGGTTTACATTTAGCTACAACATACTCTAATGCTGTGGTTTTTAGCCCTACCCATGGCTAAAGTTATCCCCGGTTCCATATTAATAGCTTCCAGGTGAGTATTTAGGGTTAGGGTTACTGTTAGCTATTAAATTAAGAACGTGACAGTAGTAATACACACAGGCTGTAAACACACAAACACAGGTGGCATATGTGGCGTGATGGTGGGGTGTGCTTCATAGAGATGCGTGGATGAAACTGTGGCAAAGACAGGAAGCCTTCCGCCCTTGTCTTAACCCCATCCTCATCCTTTCCTCTTTGAGACGAGGGAGGGATGAGTGGGGGAATAAAGAGAGATGGGGGAGCCAAGGAGGGAGAGGCTTCCAGCTCTAAGACTGGGAGAGAACTTACTGAGTGTGAGTTTCATCATCATCTGCACCATCATCATCATCATCCTCATCATCCCCTAAGTGTGCCATATGGCCCCTGGGAGAGGAGGTGAAGATAGGCGGGAGAAGGGAGGGATGGGAGAAGGGGAGGAAGAGGATAGAAATAGAGGGTTGAGGTAGGGAGAGTATAAGCGGGGGAGATTAAGGGAGAAAGGGTGCAAGCAAAGAAGGTAGGAGATGACAACAGGAGGAGGAGGAGGTGGAAGAGGATAGAGGAAGAAAGGAAAAGGGGAGGGTGAGCTAAGTGAAGCTTGGTCCACAAACTACGTCTAACCCTTAAACCCTGGGCAGATCTGAAAGGACTGAACAGATCCAAACAAAAAAGATCCCCCAACACGATCAATAAATCAATGGATTTCCCATCATTTCTACACACCCGAACATCCAGGCAACAGCCACGACGTGCCGCTGATTACTTCTACAACCAGACACTTCTAAACTCTACTGTACTGTTAAAACCTATACAGTCCTTACAGATCTACACACCCCACTACAGTAAACTTAACCTCTAATCAGCAAATTCACAGCAACTTTACCGTAATTTATATCCTGTAAATTCTCAAATATATATTTATCTCATTATTTGAAGACTTAAATTAGATTAGACTTAGATGTTTTCTAAGTTAGGAATAGTTTTCTAGTTTGCCACTGTAAACTCAGCACCTCCTCCATGTTCAATTTATTTCCACAGCCTTAATTCAATCAGTACAACAGAGTCATATGATACTCACCACCCTGCTGCAGTCGCTTTTAACTTGCCGTCAACAACCGTCTAGTTGACAGTGAATTGACAAACTCTAGTCTATGAAAACTCAACACCTACTGCAGATGTTTCACAATAAAAGTCTATCAGGAAAGGGGCAACTGGAAGGTTTTTAAGGTGAAATATCTGTGGAATAAGTGTGGAGTTTCATGACAGTAGCTTAACTGATTAGAACAACAGCTTTAATTAATTAAAAGCAGTACTTCTGTAAAGAGAAATGTGACAATGAGATATACATAACAGGTAATTTTGCTCCTTCTTGAAGGTTTGTAATTGGGCCTTTATTAGTGACCAGCCTTTTATTTGTTCGTGCCAGCCACAGCCCAGCTTTTTTTGGAAACTAAGCCGTTAACTATGGCAAACATTGGTGAACAATTTATTTGAGAATTTACAGTAATAGCAAAGCCTTTCTAAAATATTTGCCTAAAGGACAACTTTTCAAGGTAGTTACATTTCTAAAAACATCCATTCAAAATGAATATACTGTACATTTATGCAATCCAATTAAAATCTTCAATCCCATGCCACAAACAGTATTCAAATCTTTTTCTTGTACTTAGATACAGTAAGCCTAGAGCCGGTCTAAGGTCTAAAAACATCTGTAAATAAATTAGTAGTTTTATCCTCCTTGGGAATACTAGAGGGGTTGGGTTTACCTCATGAGATTAATTAACACCTGTCTGCTGCAGCTAAGTTAAAAAAAATAATTTAAAAATAGGCACTTTCCTCTACTTTTCAGGTGACTGTTGTGACAGTCTGCCATGTGTTCCTACTGCATATTAACATCAACCTCAGAGGCACTAAAAACTAAAGGTCTAAAACAGGAGATGATATAACCCCAAAGACTGAAACAAGGTTACCGTTATCTACTCCACTACTATTACTACCTCTGTCTACCAAAGAAGACCAAAGGGCATAAAAACTGGGAGCAACTCAAACTAAAGAAACTACATTTTAAGTGTGTAGCTATACAGTACTTTTAACTTTAACATTATCTAGATAATATATGTAAACCATGGAGCCACAGACCTGGCTTTTACACAATAAACATTTGCAGGGAAACAAAACACTCAAAGTTAACCTCTAACGCCTAAAAGGGAATTTTTAGAGGATAACTCTGTACCATAAGTTTGTAGATGTGAAAACTCTCTGTATCTTTGTTACTGTGCATACCAAACATTTCAGTGAAACACATTTGTCGCATCAGATTGTCTCATATAAAAGAGCAAAGCACAAGAATGGTGATCATCGTTTTTTTCCCCAGGTAAAGTAAAAATAATTTCTCCATGTACTTGCCAGTAAAACTGCTAAAGACACCCACTAAAGCTTTTGGCTAAAAAAAAACCAACAAAAAAAAAAAACTGCGTACACGTGCATGTGTGTTTGCGAATGCACACATGAGAGTGCAAAGTGTATGTGTATGTGTGTGTGTGTGTGTGTGTGTGTGTGTGTGTGTGTGTCTGTGTAAGCCATGCTCTGCAGGAAGCTCCTATGAAGCACAGCCTTTTCTCTGATCACATCAAAGCGTGAAGCAAGCAGCAGTGGGAAAATAAAACCCACAAGAATCCAAAGTGCTGAGAGCCGTGACAGCCTGGAGTCATTTACAACAGCGTTAGTTGCGTGTGATTGGCCAAGACTGGTCCTGCCATTCACAATGATTGGCTGATGGGTGGGTGCGGTTAGGACACCGGCAAACAAGACCCCGGGTGAATCAGGACGTGAGAAGGGTCTGACTTACCTCTGCTTTAGCTCCTCCTCCACAGATTTGAGAAGACTCCTGTTTGTCAGACAAGTGAAGAGAAAAGTATAAACGACAGAACATGATTAAGATAAATGAGAGAAAGGTTTTTTAGTCCTTGCCAGACTGTGGAGAACATTCTAGAGCCCTGATCTGAACCTGTGCTTTCCTGCTTATAAAACACACTTAAAAGCAGAAAGCTCATACAAACACACAGTTTACAGAACATCCTCAAGCTGCAATTATGAATAAATCATCAGAAGTACAGCTTGAAAACTCCATCTCTCACATTCTGGCACTCCCTTCCTCTCTTTTGTCACAGTCGATGAAAGAATGGGGTAACATTGAAGCACTGGAGAGATAAAGGGATGGAAGTGTAGAGAAAGAAATAAGCAAGACGAGAGAAAATAAGAAAGAGAGAGAGACACAAAAGGATAGTGAACGAGAGACTTACTTATTTCCTCCCAGTAGACTTGAATCATGCCCGTACTCCAACTGCAAGTCCTACAGGACAAACAAATTACATTACCTACTGCGATATATTCCTTTCATAACCAGCTCATTTAAAAAAGGTGCTTTGTATTTGATTTGTCCAGGAACGGAAACAGGCCTGAAGATCTTAGCCAAGTGCCACAATACACACAACAGTGAAAAAATGACAACAACTGAAACCCTGTTCAATTGCAAAATTACTGCAGGGGACTGCTACTGTAGCGGCAGTGGTGCCAGTTATGACAGCCTGCTATAAATATTAATGTCCCCAATAAAACAGCAATTTCACCATAAGTCTAATTCACAACCAGAGACGTACACAGATGCACATAGTGAGCCTGTGGCTAACTGTATGTATAGATTTGACTCTTGCTGAGTTCACATTGTGGCCAAAAAAAAAAGAATAAGATGTTAACCACGACAGCAATTCCCTCTTGTCTTCTCCATAGTTTTTACATTTTTAGTTTTAAGATAAGTAACAAAAGTGGCAGTGTCTGTTTTTTTCCCCCCTTCATGGTAAGATTTTTCTGCACTCCTGAGTCCTACTATCAGGAATTCCTGCTCAAGAAGTAACAAAAATATCAGCTTGATACGATACCTGCAGTCACCCTGCTTAGTTTCTGTTCCATATCTGCTTAGGTGTTATAACACAAAAGTTGGTATTAGTGGGGGGGTTGTGACGCCGGGGTGGGGAACCACTGTTTTAGACAGTTTAAACAATGAATCTTCAATATGAAGTCAGGAAGTGTTGTTTCTAAATCTGCACACATTCAATATAGCAACAGTGTGACAGATAAGCCAACTCAGTAAAGTTTCTTGAGTGTGTGCTGGATAATTATGATTCATTACTCATAGTTTTTACGTTCCTGCAGCACCTTTCAAAGCAGCTGCAAGTTGATTAAGGTGCAAGCTGACAAGGAGCAGCACTGGCTGAGTTTAGCACCATTCTCTGACGGAAGTGAATGAAAACTTGGTTTGGCATCTATTATGTAAAGCCACAATGTGAAAGCAGCATTGTGTCACAAAAACATTTGTGAAAGATAATGACTTAATGCAACAAGCGTGCAGAGGGAAACACACGTACTGCAAAGGAACAGATACACACAAACACGATGCGCGCACACACACACACACACACACACACACACACGAAAAGGCCTCACTGCTCTGGTCAACTACAGGACGTAAGAAGTTAGAGGACATTTAATTAGTAGTATATGGAAAAGAGCCATTCTATAGAGAGAGATACGTCAAACAAATATCAGGTACAATACAGCAAACATTAAAAGGCTGAGTGTGTATGTTTATAAATTTCGATCCAAAAGTATTAAGTCTGTGAGTAGGAATGTCTATTTTCAAACCCAAATGTCCTTGAGTCAAGGCATCACTACCAGCCTTCAGCAGTGCAGCTCCATAAGTCAATCTGACCTCTGACCTTCGCCTGTGTGCGTTTGTCACACACAAACTTCATATTTAACGCAAAAAAACCAAGATGTTCAATTTAATTGGACTGATTGCAATGTGTGCGTGAAAACATGTATTGTACGTATATCTGAAAACAAAAAAAAAAGAACAACATCACTACAGACTCTTTTCACTATGACAACTACAACACCAGTTAGTGAGGCAAAAGCCAAGCCTGGAAAATGAAAAAGAAAATGAACAGAAACAGATGGATGGAGCAGAAGAGATGGTGAAACTGTGAAAGTGAACAAAAATACATGTTGGACATGGAGCAGCCACAACAATCAGTACTCTAGAAATGGAAAAAAAAAAAAAATTAAACAGACAGCAATTGCTCAGGAAGCGAGAGAGCCAATGGAAGGACAAGGACTTGTCCTTCAGAAACAGGTGAAGAATGAAAGAGAAATATGGAGAGAGTGAGACGGAGGTATAAAAAGAGACGACATAAAAGTTAGAGAAATAAAGACAGATTGAAAATATAAAAAAAGCCAATGTATCTGGACAGAGGGAGAGGCCGAAAGAGAGAGAGACTGATAGAAAGAGTACTACCAGATTAGATCTCGCGGTATAGTAGTGCTCCTCAACACAGTCCAGATAGGGCTCAGAATCACACTGGTCAGCAAGACAGAGCGAGAGAGACCTCAGTTAATACATTAACCTGGACTGATGGAGGGAACGGGGAGGAATGGAGACATGGATGCAAGAGAGAGGATGATGGATAAAAAATGGATTAAGGGCAAAAAACGGGCTCTGAAGTCCGTGGATCAGCAAGACAGAGAAGGAGGGACATATTAATCAGAAGAGAAGAGGGAATGGATGGGGGTAGAGACTGAAGGAAGGAGGGATGGAGTAAACGGATATTGATGGGGGTTTAAAGTCGGCAAAACTAAGGAGGAGAGACATTAATTAATGACATTAATATATGATGGGTGCCATGTGAAGCTTTAAAAATATAGATACCTTTGTATCCTCCTTCAGTGAACAAATGAGACACTCAGTAGCCTCTGTCTTATTTCAGTCGTATACTTGGTATTATTTCTTTAAATTAAGACCACCTGTTACCTTAAGCCAGGTTCCAGTGTGTCGCTATGGTTGTGTTTGTTTTTTGTTTAGTATTACACAAGAGGTTAAACATGCTGCAGATTACTCCAGTCATTCAGCCATCTCTTTTGAGCAAAGATGCCATGAAATCCTCCTACTAATCAATTTGGGGATGGTAATTGTGTTACAATAATATATAACAATATTAATGCGGTAATGATTTATTGATTTTAAAATCCTACTATGAGAGATAAAACCACACTGGTCAGCAAAACAAAGACAGGCCCCATGTTATTATATTACTTTCAAGGAGAGGGTAGAAATTGAAGCATAACGGGATGAATGTAGACGAATGTCGCAAAGAACCCAAGGTCCATGGAGGCAGAGAGCAAAGGATTTTCTTAGCGGACTTGAAGGGAGGAGGATTATAAAAGGGAGTTCGTGGAAAAAGTGCAAGTGCAAATGAAAGACAGGAAAATCTGGGAGGGAGTGAGGGAGTGGAGGACTTTAGCAAGATGCTGTGGTTGTGCATGAACCCTGCACCATCCCATTTGTCCGCAAGTAAAACTGCTTTCAGCTTTTCTAAAAGTGATGAGCAACAACAGAACCAGCTTTAGTTTCTAGAAAATCAACTTGACAAGCAACTAAACTAACTTTTCACATTAACAAAAAGCAAGGACACGACATCTGCTCTTCGAATTCTAGCAAACCTGGCAGACACGTGTCTATCCATGCTTGTACATGAGACACTATAGCAAGAAGTCTAATACTTGCAGTGCTTCACAGTTCACAGGTCTTGTTGTTTCTGTATTGAAGCCTGCTGGCTGTCAGTCAGTGTCACTTTCTGATGTTTATCCAGGTCTGAGTCTTGGTGGCATCATGTTAAGCAAGATAGCTCAGATGTAGTTGTTCTCCCAAGCCACGCTCTAGGCCAGCTGGGTCAGATTATCTTTCCAGCATGTTCTGGGTCTATCTAGGGGTCTCCTTTGATTTGGACATGCTCAGAATGCACCCAGGAGGCATGATGATCAGATCCCTGTGCTACCTCAACTGGAACTTTTGAAGTGGTTCTACTCTGAGCTCTTAGTGGGCATCTAGGCTCCTCACCCTGTCCTTAAATTAGAGCCCAGACACACTGCAAAGGAAACTCATTTCAGCTGCTTGAATCCACAATCTCAAGCTTACATGCATGCAAGAAACCAGGTAACTGGAAAAATCAGGTTACGGTAGGAAATAAATCAAAGAAGAAATGAACTTGCTTGAATGCAGCTGGTCAGTAATCTGATTTCTTCTGAGAATCTGACATCTCCACTTGAAACGCCTCAATTTTGAAACTACCAAAGTGAACTATGTGGATGGGCTTCATGTTTGGTTCAACAACATGGGCTGGTCAGGGTGCTTCCTGTGATTAGGTGAAGATCAGCCATGCTTGTACTGGTGAAGTGACAATTACACAGCACACTCTACCTCACACACACACACACACACACACACACACACAGCTAATAACTCACTGGTTCATGATGAGGTTCAGTCTCTTTTCTCAATGGAGGATCAAACTTCACCTGACCAACTGAGAAAGACAAAAGTAAGAGACAGAGAAAGGGGTGAGTTTTCTGACTGAAAATGTAGCTGTTTATGTTGACCATGTGTGTGAACTCACAGTTAATCTCTGACAGCGTCTTTCCCTCCCTTGTGCTCCTGCTGGTGGAACGAATACGATGAGGAACAGAGACCGGAGACTATCAGGAAAAAGAAAGACACACACAAACACACTGTCAAATACACAGTGTAGTAGTTGACACAGTACTTGAGAAGATTACAATGGGTAAAAAAAAAACATAATTCCTCTGCCATTTCCTGTGGGAGGGATTTGATGACACAGCAAAACAGGCAGCCGCACTCTGCAACAAGACAACCAAAACATAGCAACACAGTGGACGGAAAACACAAACCTTCCCTGGCAACAATCTCAATGTTTCGCATAAGTGCTGAAACAGTCCTCATGGTAACATCTGCTCTATACATTGGGTAGTATAAGATACATCTATACTACTCCGTTTTCCCTTAAAATGAATACATTCTAAATACACCAGAGTTTTAGCTGCTTATCAGAGTTGATCTCCATCTACATTAAAACGCACATCTAGCGGCCGTTCACGTATAGTGGGCACGTGCATGCTGGTGTAAACATGAAGCAGATGGTCTCTCTCTTCCGTAAGTTAGTTACAGAAGATTTGGTGAAAGAATAAAGTAGGTCTACAACAGACAAAGAACCGCACCAGAATTTTTTTTTGTCGTGGACCAATAACGAGCTGGGACTCTTTCTGAATGTAACACGGGAGTTAAAAGTGGCTGTGGCGGTGGAAAACAAACTGGGAGCACTAAAACGCTACCCGGAGTTTTAAAACAAAAAACAGGGTCAGCAGCATTTTCAAACTGCTCCATTTTAGGTCTTCCTTTTTGCTGTTTTAGTCTGGAAGGGAGGTGCAAACGTAGCAAAATGTCTCAGTTATAAAACGAAAACGCAGTAGTGTGGATGGGGTCATACAGTTCCTTGAACATATATATTATAGTAGGTGGCAAATAGCTGACCCCAGCAGTCTTGGCCTCGCACATTATCCACTGGCCTGCAATCTAGCCTAGTTAATGCCTTGTCCATTAAAATACTATAAGTCAGCTATTGTATGTGATGCTATTTGCTAGTTTCCTTTGGAAATAACAGAAGTTGAATACTGACTCATGACCATTGTGCAGTACAACTGGTCATTCACAAATTAAACCACAGCAGGCTGCACAGAGATACTGTATTTCCAAACTGTACTTGACTTCATGCCGTCAGTATTTAATCTTAAGATGTAAACTCGTCCTTGTAGAAAAGCTAAAACCACAGCAACCTCAAACCATGCTTGTAAAGCACTGGAGAAAGACAAACCATACAAAAATGCATCTATCAAAGCCACAGATGTAGCACAGTCCCTCTAACAGATTTGTCAAATTTGAAAAACAACCTCTTAAAAAGGTAAAATAAAGTTCATTATCTTAACACACAACTTAAGGTTAGTAACTGTAATGGATGAAGATGGCTTCCATTAAATGACATATTTGATAACTCGCCAGCCTTTTCAAAATGCATCCTGTATCCTGTGTTTCCAAACTGCCAAATGGAAAGATTTTGATCTTTTAATCAGAGTTGGGTAAAACAATGCTTACTGTCTATTTTTAGTTGCTTGGAGTAACAGATGGGCAGCCTTTACTGTACCACTGATGTTCAAAGACAAAAGTTCCTTAATTAAAGCCAGGTTTTTATTTAAAGTGAGAAACCCTGCCTCTCTCTCTAGCTCTGCAGTGGATAAAAACAAACCAAAAATATTTGTTTGCAAATACCATTTCACCTGGACGTGGTTTAGATGCATTTTTCAAGGAGTGAGAGGATGTCACACTTTGTTAGCCATCTTCATGAATTGAGCCATTTCTTTATCAGCCAGCTGCCCACAGAACTAGAATGAAAAGAGCTGATCCTCATTGAAGACATGAAGACATTTAGTGATCTGCTGTTGTTTAGCCAAGATGGCAATAATGCTGTCATGGAAGTGAGCATTGAGTGGTCAGTGCATGTCCCTGTATAGTTGCAATTTTCATTACAGCTATGTTGAAATTAAAGGAATAGTTTGACATATTAGGAAATATGTTTATTTGTATTCTTGCCGAGTGTCAGACCAGCAGGCGGTTAGCATAGCATAGGATGAAGACTGGAAACAACTAGTCTGGTTTATACAAAGATAACAAAATCAGCACAAAACCCGCCCCCCTCCTAGAACCACAGTTAACTTAAAAAAAGAAAATAGATATAATGTGTTAATTAGTGACCTTTTTTCCCCCATTTCCAGTTGTTTTGCTAACCTAAGCCGCTGGCTGTGGCTTTATATTTACTGCACAGACATGAGAGTGATATCACGTCTGTGACTATTTCCCAAACTGAATACTACTAACAACAAAACAACAGCTACAACGATAGCTATACTAAAAATCGATGGCAGTGTGTTCTCCATCAGGCCAAAATGTCTAAATGTCTAGGTCAATGAAATGTTTGTATTTTTCTAACCTAAAAGTCAACTACAACTGTGATTTTATACTGTCTTATAATTGTAATCTTGTGATTATATAAAAATAACTACACCAGCTGATGTGCATATCAACAGGAAAGCGTTAATTTTACTTGCTTGCTCACCGGCATGTTTAGCTATCTCTAGAACTGCCACGTAATCCATCAACCGGCTGAAAATCACATGCCAATGCCAGTTTCCATGACAGCACCAGCAGACACTGAACTGAATGGAAATCCAGTTTCTATTCATTCAGTTCTGTGGTCGTCCCACAAGTGAAGAAACAACCGACAGTACAGTTTGTGTTAGAATTCTGTCACTGCAGACACCACAGCCCACACTGGTACCTTCCTACGAGCTGCAAAACGGGGTGCACGTCGAGCACCAGGACTTATGGGTAGGAAATGACCCCTGTACTTAAACTGAGGAGGAGGTAGAGGATGGGGGATGGAGACAAGAAGGAGAGGAAAAAAAAGGAAGGGAGGAGAAAGGAGATGAGAAAGGTAGAGAGAAAGGAGAAGTGCTACAAAGAGGAAGAGACGAAGAGGAAAGAGGAAGAAGATGAGCAGAAGGAAAGATAAAAGCCAAGGAGAGGGAAGTGACAGACAAAGAGTAGGAAAAGCAGTGAAAGAAGAAGAGCCCAGAGAAGCCAAGGAAAAGAAAGAGGGAGGAGGAGAAGAACAAAGAGCAGAAAGATGAGTCACATGTGTCGGGGGAAAAGAGGGACTGAGGGTTGAGGCGAAAGCGTGAATGGTGGCTGATTAAGAAGGAATTTAATGAGAGAGCAAGGAACGATTTGAAGGGAAGGAAAAGAAGCGAGACCCAGCAAAACATAATCACTACTCTTGTTGACCTGTCTACAAGCTTGATGACACTTCTTTTTAATTTTGGAAGCAAAACCTGAGAAGGTCAAAGGTTACCTCTGGTTCAGGGTCATCATCATCGAAGTCATTGTAGGTGCTGTGGTCGGGGTTGTTGGCTTTGTCCAGCAGCTCTATTGCCAGCGTCCTGCTGAGAGGCTGGGACACAAAAGGGTGCTGGAAGACAGACAAGAGAGGGAGCCAATAAGAGTGATGGGTTAAAATGACCAAAACTTAAATAACCCATAGGTATTCAAGTATTTAAGTGTGAGAAGCCTTGACAGATGTTAGCTGTTTTGCTTGACAAATAACTAAAATGACTTTATCAAAGCTGTCATACAAGAGATTAACATTTTATCTTTTGACAGGCTTATTAATCAGTGACTAATTGCTGTGGCACTAGTGACAATGAAAGTAACAGCCGACAACTTGTGAATCAATATGACTACAGAGCAGCAAGCGGATTTATGCCTGGCTTCTGCTATTTACATTGTGCACTGGTTGTTAGTCCAGTTTATGTGGAAGCATACACCTGGTATATATTCCAAGCCATCTGGGCTGAACCACTGTAGTTAATGTACTGTGCAAACATTTTAGGCAGGTGTGTAAAAATGCTTTCAAAATTAGAAACATTAATAGAGTACATTTTATTAATTGATAAATATAAATTAAATGAAGAGAGAAAAATAATTGAGATCAAATCAATATTTTGTGACCACCCTTTGCCTTCAAAATTAATTCCTCGGGGCACACATGCACATAGTTTTTGAAGGAACTCGGCAGGTAGTTTGGTCCAAACATCTTATCAACTATCCACAGTCCTCGTGTGGATTTAGGCAGCCTCAGTTGTTTCTCTCTCTTCATGTAATCCCAGAAAGACTCAATGATGTTGGGATCAGGGCTCTGTAGGGGCCACACCATCACTTCCAGGACTCCTTGTTCTTCTTAATGCTGAAGACAGTTCTTAATAACTTTCGCTTTATGTTTTAGGGTCGTTGTCGTGTGGCAGAATAAATTTGGGGGCAATAAGACCATAATAACCCTGATGGTATTGCATGATAAATGAGTATTTGCCTTTACTTCTCAGCATTGAGGAGACTGTTCATTCTGGCTAAATCCCCAAGCCAGCCCTTTGGTAAACAAACTGCTTCTTGCTAAAGCCAAAAATATCATATTTTGACCTGGTGCCATTTTTCTGCACCATCGTTTGAGGATATGTCTACAAACTCTGACTTTCTTTTGCAAGTGTACCTAGAAGAATTGATGCTGTTTTGAAGGCAAAGGGTTGTCACAGCGAATATTGATTTGATTTAGATTTTTCTTCTGTTCTCTCACTTTCTATTTTTATGAATTGATAACATCTATTTTTGAAAGTATCCTTACAACATTTTTTCCACACCTGCCTTTAACTCCAAGATAAGCTTTATTGTGGAAATGCACTGATCGACAGTGGGTATCCATAAATAACAGTATAGCTGGGATGTGTAACCCTACTTAGAGTAAGATCATCCAATCAGTTTGTTTTAAAGAACTGTAAATATGTTGTTTAAGTGCTCACCTGCAACAACTTCTCAGCTGTGGGCCTCTTCTTTGGGTTCTTGGTCAGGGCTAGTTTGACAAAATGGTGGAAGTTATTTGTCCTGTCGTCCAGCAGAGAGACAATGACAGAGAAAAAAAGGGAAAGTGTTAATCTTTTGTCCGTCGCCAGGCACAGAGTTGAAAAAACTGGGTGATCTTAAAAGTAGGGTGTTCCATCTAGAGTAAATGTATCTCAGTGGCTGATTATGGCAAAGAAAGACAAGTGAGAAAGACAAAGACATCATGGGCAGGGTCGTCTCTTACCACTTGACTTTATCTTTCAACTTTGGAGGCTGGAAATTACTCTTGGTCATTAAGAAGAGAGCCCTGTGGAAAAACAGAGACAAAAATTTAAACTCACGTCCTTCCAGCAGAGTGCAGTTATATAGTGATGAAAGAGCTTCATACCATGCAGTTATAATTACAAGATCAAAACAGATGTGCCGTCCACTCCAGGACAAACACTGATACTGGAATGTCTCTGCTCCAATCACAATGTGAGGTACGAATTTAATTCTCACATATAAACGTAGTCCTTTCTTTTTCTTTCTAACATTGTTCCACATCCACTGCAGGTCTGCTCTGCTGTCATGACACTATCACAGCCCGACCAAACACACACACACTCACACACACACACACACACACGCAATCCTCTACCTCATGGGGTGCAGATCAAACATGGGTGGCTGTAATTCTGCCAGCTCTATTGCAGTAATGCCCACAGCCCAGATATCACACAGCTGGTTGTAACCTCCTTTCCTCTCTACTGCTGCTACCTCTGGAGCCATCCTATGGAGATAGAGACAGAGAGAAAGAAACAGAGAAAGAGAGAGAGAGAGAGAGAGAGAGAGAGAAGGATGGCATAAAACAAGAAAAGAGGGAGAGAACAGGAGTAAAATTTTAATCATTTTTATCAAATTCTAAATCGGGACAATTAAGCAGCTACACACGAACAGAATTTGAATTGTCTACAGTATTTCTCTCTGGCTGCAGCACACAAGGGCCCCATTATGACCCTGATGTTAAACTCTGACTTTTCCATGACTCTCCTTCCTGGTTTGTTAAGCTTTTGTAAAGGGGTGAATAGTCTGATTCCACTACAGCGCTGAAACCATCAACTGATGCAAACATACACTAAACATGCAGACTGGTATATTCCTGTAGCATGACTTGGATTTTACATATTCGCACTACTTGCATATCCAAGAAGCGAACTGACAATAGAAAAACATGCACAACTTACCAGTATGGCGTTCCAATAAATGACTTTCTCTTGGCTAGAGTTGCTGTGATCTGGGCCGATACACCAAAGTCAGCTACAGAGAAAGGAGAGAAGAGAAAAAAAGAAGTACGGGAAAAAGGAAGTGTGAGAATAATAGAGGGGGAGGAGTTAAATAATTAAAAAGGGAGAGCAAATGAAGGGTGAAAGAGAAGGAACGTGATAATGGATAAATAAATAAATATGTTGGAAAGTCAGAACAGAAATTATTATATGAAGGGAGAACATGAGAAGACATGGAGGAGAGAGAGAAGGAAACAGAGTCAATAATTCAGTTTCAGTCTTTTGAAGGGGAAGGTAATTGCAGAAGTCTTGCGCGTTCCTCTCACCTAGTTTAACATAGCCGTTGTCTGTCAGGAGGATGTTGGCTCCCTGTAAGAGACAAACACGCCACGCATCAGGATCCAACACAAGTAATCACATTTCAGGCCAATTCTGATGATCTTGAGAAGTGGTTTGCAAAAAGGTTTGTCATTTGATCAATGTAGCCTGCAGGTATGAATCAATAATCCTTTCCCCTGTCAGAAACACCCTCAGCTGTGTCTCCACAATAATTTGGAGATCAATTTTCGACATCACTAAATGCATGTGCTGCTACTCTCTTACTGAGTTTGATGAATTATCATTTATTTATCATGAATTATAATGAATGATTACCAGAGTTACCTTTGCAACACAACAATATTTTGTCCACCCTTCCCACAGAAATTCACATACAGTGAATTTAATTTTACAATTGACGTGTGACATGGAAAGGCCTTTAGATTTGAAAGTGTAGCTGACATGTGTATTCCATACAGTTTTCTCCAAACTCACCTTAATGTCTCTGTGCATTTTGCCTTTATTGTGTAGATAGTATAAACCCTGTAAACAGAAGAACACAGCAGCTGGTGTTATTGGCTGTTGTTGAAGGGAAAAGGAAACTGTCATGTGATCAAAATACCAAAAGGGCACTGAAAAACAGAATAGAACATATATTTAAAATATTTCTAAATAGCAATATTTAGATATTTTTTCACCAGAACCGACTGTTGGTTGAATGAAAATCAAATGTTTGGGAGCAGCACAGACTTATCATCTGTGTCTCTGCTAGAAGACTGGCTAACTATACAATGCTAATGCTTTACAGGGTTTCCTCTTTAAGTGTGTGCAGCTGTTGTGGTTTGGGGAATAATTCCAGTTTTGTCTCAGTATTTACTTACTTCCAATTCATTTTTCAACTTGAATGGATACAATTTCAATTTTAAAATGCATATGTAGAACACAATTTGGATATGGTAGTTTTCTGATTTGATTGATGCACAGCTAGTAGTCAACTCTCGCGAACCACAGTAAAAGCTAAAGTGTTAGCATGAAGCCAATAAACAGTTCAGGTCCTGATGGTCATAATAATTTTGGTGTCTGTTTTCTCATCATTATACACAAAGGAAAATTCAAGCAGCTAAGCAGAGGACTAATCTCCCAAAATATGCCTCTCTGTTTACCCCCCCCCCCCCTCCTGTTTAAAAATACAACTACACTGTACACAATGAATATACTGTATACGCTACCTGCAGGGTCTCCCGTGACATGTAGGCTATCTGTGACTCTGATAGAGGCCCGGTTACTGGAGCAGTGAAACAAGGAAGAGAGAGAAAAAGAGAGAGATGGAAAGATATCACAGAGTGAGAAAAAAAAAAAAAACAGAACGGTTAAGATGAAAACAGATGTGTGTGTTTGAGCGCATGTTATTCTTACCGTGATAAATATCCTGCAGAGAACCTCCTCCACAGTACTCCATACTGATCCATAACTTATCTCTCCTGCACACACACACAGACAACACTGTGTCAATACACCTTCACACAACGTCTCACACAAGTACTTTCCCCCTCACACACCTCCATCTGTCTTTTACTTCCTCACAAACACACACACACACACACACTTACCGGAGATAACTGCCAAAATAGGCTACGATGTTGGAGTGTTTACAGTCCTTCATCATTATAATCTCCTGCTGTACGACAGCAAAGTCCTCACCTGGAACGAACACATATGTACACACACACACACACACATTATTTTGAAATTAGTCCAAAAGGATGGAAAGTTGCAGACCGGGTTTCAACATATTTCCCTTTTTTTTATTCCACACTTAATGAGTTTAATGATTTAGCAACAGTGTGATGATACATTTCCACACTTCCTGGAACTGGAACTGAAGTTTGTTGTTTTAATGTTTTCCTTTCTTTAGTTGAGGAGAAGATGGAAACCAGTGCAAGGGAGGGGAAATAATGCATGGGTAACGAAACAGGACCATGTTAGAAGGGAAAGGATATGCAATTGTAGTGAAAAGGGGATAGTGTGGGAAGGAGGTTTGTGAAAAAAGGAGACAAAGGACGACCATGTGATTGATGGAAAAACGGATATAGGGATAGAGAGGAAGAAACACCAGCGAGAAGGGAGATAGAGGAATAGAAAGAAAGCTGAGATTACTCACCGGGTTCCAGTTTGATGACTTTGATAGCCGCCAGCTCTCCTGTGTTTACGTTACGAGCCTAAGGAGGAAAGAGGAGAGAAAGTGAGTTACTGGAATCCACTCTTAAATCCACAGCAAAGATTTATTAGGGCACCGATTTGAGTTGCACTTGACTGAACTGGAAGACAGAAAGAGAGAGAAACTGTAGCTGTTTTCATCCAACTGCAGAAAACAATAAAATGAAAATCCGGCTGACAGCTACCAGCTGAGTGGAATGTCATTAATCAATTTGAACATACCCCTACACCCCCTGAACACATTTCAATCAATTCATTTACATGCACTTAAATAACGAGGTTTCTGTAAATCAGTGTACACGAGCAGGAGCTCAGTAACGAGATTACTCTTCTAAATCACATCAATAAATAACAAATAGTTGCTCAGCTGTTACTTTCCCCATGAGTAACAATATATATATATATATATATATATATATATATATATATATATATATATATATATATATATATATATATATATATATATATATTATATATATATATATATATATATATATATATATATATATATATATATATATAATAAATGTGTGTGTGTGTGTGAGTGACAGAGAAGACGGCGTTATCAGTTACCCCAGTTACAGAAGCCAGGTTTATCCTTTATGGGAAATCTAAATCCGGCTCTGCGCTGGTTAGTTAGATACATACGTGGGCATATTCCTGTTAAAATTACTTTGTCCACTAATTATTCAATATGTTGTTTGCAGCCGGATTTGAAAATTCAAATCATCAGAATTGCAATTCATTCAAAAATCAAACTGGTGACAGAGGAATGTATGGACTTCAACAGGAACTCAAGGCAGTTTTTCCTGTATTCCTGAAAAGCTGACATTTATTGAAAAGCCGCAGGTTTTACAGGAGACTGAGGCTGATTTTCTATAAATAGTGAGCGGTGTTTACATTTGGAAGCAGAGCTGGTGGGGCGTAAGAGGAATCCTATATGACATATACGGATAAAAGATGGTCTTTCAGAGCAGACATGAATTGCTTGCTTCTCTCAGGCCAAGAATGTGCTAGAATATGACTTTGTGACACTGCAGAAATATATAATATAAAAAGAAAGAGAGAAAGAAAGAGAGAGAGGACATTTTACAAGAACTGATAAAACCACGACTTTCAACATGAGAGGCAAAACAAGAGCTTCATCACCATAAACAGCACAGGAGTAGTGTGTCATATCTCAGCTCTTGCGATATTTTGTAATTCTGCGGTTTCACCATTTCTCGTTTCAACAGAAAGAGTGACAGAGACAACCCTATCTACCCTGATCCTGCATGCAGCCTCTCCAGCATATTTATAAAACATTAGACAGGAAAAACATGCTATTTTATATTCTGGCTCGTTCACTTTATTGGGAAGTTGTTATATATTGGAGGGTAAATTTTCTATTCTAAAAGAACATCTTTTAAGCTGCTGGCACTGGAGCTCCATTTCCATTTCGATATTATCACATCAAGACAGAGAGACTTTTTTCCAAATCAAAACATACTTTTCAGGTTTGTATATCCAATTTACAAATGATAATATATTAAAAATAATATTATAAATGAGGGCTCGGTCATCTTGATGGACAGTGTTCGCACTAGAGTTCCTTCGGGCAGGTATGAATGCAGCAATTGCACTCCGGCAGGCACCAAAAACAGACCAAACAAGCGTACCGAGACCTTGAAGAGGTGTTGTCGGTCTGGTTCCAAACTAACTCTGGTACAGTTTGTTTAAAGTGTGAACGTCGCCGACCTTGATCCAGCCCAGTTGCAGAAAGCAGTGCTTTGGAGTTAACGGGCTCTCGTATTCAGTGCAGACTGTGTCTTAGGTAACACTGATAACTACTTCATTTGACGGACAAATGTGGAGACAAATGCACTGTGTGCCTAGGCAGCAGGGCTGGATTGGTAATCTGGCATACCGGGCAAATGCCCGTTGGGCCGATGCACCTTTGGGGCCGGTCTAATGTAAATTATTTATTTATATAACTGTTTTTTAAAAAATGGGCCAGTGAAATGGCTTGTCAGCGACTACTAATTTGTCCCGAGCAAAATTGTAATCAAAACATTGAAATATGAATGTTGTCGGTCAGCGTCTAGTCAATGTAGGCCTACTTACACAAACGGTTAACAGTCTGCCGCAAAGTAGTGAGAGAATAACATGACACACCTGACCGCGACACAGACACCTGTCGCTCTCTCTGCTGTCTCTGTCCCCCTCGCTCAGAGACACTTTGCTCTGTTTGACTGTCTCTCTGCTCCAGGGTGCTTAATTCCCTCTGAAGCGGTTATGAGCTGCACTTTATCAGAGGTGCTGAAGTGAACATGTGTGTGGATATTTCTGTCTGATCACAAGTGTTTTCAGTTTCGGTTTTCTACCTCTGATGAAGAGCAGTGAGCTCGTCTCATCCATTACAGTCCCAGACGGCTCTGTGTCTGTCAGGCGGTCTAAAGGGTGTAGCAGCCTACTACCATATCAGCAGAGCAACAACGCAGGGTAGATTTTGTTAAAATATAATGCCTTTTCATTCTCATTATATCTCATAATATTATATCTCAAATTGTTATTCTGCAAATGTCAGTGAACACAGATATGCTATGTGGGAGAGATTTTTCATGTGCAGAAAGTTTTGAAGATGAGCAGAAAAGCTGCTGAGCTATTAAGGTGCAGGGGTTTATAACTGAATTAAAATGAATTCATTTATCATTGAGGAATTATATTATTAAATATATTACACTATATTTTTATTTTTTTGTGTTTCCTTTTATATAAATAAAGACATTTCCTAAATTAATTGGTGCAGAAAAATTCACCAGAATGCAGGAAATAAAAAAGCCCAAATTTTTCATGGGGAGGACACCCAGACCCATCTCATAAATCAATTTTTTTTATTATTATCAGTAGTAATTATAAAAATCATAATAACTGTATTTAATGGCCTATGATATTTAATAATTAAAATGTAGCTCAATGATTTATAGGGTTCAGTTTACAAATGGCATAACAAGATAGCCAGAATGTCTCCAGAATGCAGGAAATGAAGTGTTTAATGTTTAAAATCTTCAGGGGGAGTACCCCCAGACCCCCCTATCAACTATTTCATCAATACACTCCCCCCCCCCAAATACTAAGCTTATTAAAATATATTGTTGTCTTGTTGTCATGGCCCCACTATTTGTGCAGTGTCAAGTCTCATGAGCTAAGAGTTTTGTCAAACCCCTAATCTAAGCCCTTAAAAGCAACTATGCTTTATTGGTGAGAGATGTCCGACCCATTTTGGTGGGCCGCCTGGACCAAAAATGCCAGTGTCGATTTTTTGTCCCAGTCCAGCCCTGCTAGGCAGATTGTGAGTCTTGTCAGAGAGAGTCTTGTCACAGCAACCTGGGGGTTTACGATGCTCACTATGTACATACAAAGTCTCTGGTTCAAGTCCATCCACAGACCTTTGTTGCATGTTACCCCCAGCTCTCTCTTCCCTCATTTCCAGCAAGCTCTTTTCTGTATTCTACAATGTCTAAAAAGGCAAACATGCCATAAAAATATTCATAAATAGAGAGACGTAGTTAATCTAAAAGTAAAGTTAAGCTTGTACTGCTGGCTTAATCAATGCCCCTAACCTATTACAGAATCAACATGACAAGCTTTGACAAATGTCAAATTGCATTTCAGTTTTCTGTGACACAGTAATGTACAATGTGCAAAGTGAACTGCCTAGCATGCGCCGGGACAGCCACCAAAAAAAATCAAATTAGATCCAGTCTCTTTGGGGGCACCAAGCAGCACCAACAGAATCTTGGCCAACAGGGAGCTGGAGTACTGCCCACACATTGGTGGACTGCAGACACGCAACAGCGATGAGAAGACAAAATAAAAAAAACTCAAGGGTAACTACAAGAAAATAACTACACTATCAAAATGAATCTAGTATTAAAGACAAAAACAGGGTGGCAAAGATTGGTTCCTCTGTGCAAAAGGAAGATCAAGTGAAGAATTAAAGCTGCAAGCAGCGTTGGGCGGGCCCTCGCACTTATAAGCGCGTCCGCGTGTGAGCCGGCCGAGTTGCATATTCTGGAGCTCTGCCGGTGCGGCTGTGAATTTGCTACGCGGTTATGACGCCGCATGAAGGTGTTATATGTCACTTCCTGTGTCCCCTATGTGGAGCTACATAGCACTTGCCGCTATGAATATAAATCGGTGTTGGCGTGTAGATGTCTGCGGGGTGGGAGAGTTATCAAGCACGTAAAGTTTGTTTCAGATGTGAGCATGTACACTGAACAATAATGTACCCAAACAATAAAATAAATTCCTTTTATATTTCCCTGCCTTGTTGTTTATGTGTACATACAGAGGAAGAATGTGAGAACAGCACACATTTCATCGTTACTGTGTGCTGTACCGCAGTTCTGTGTCCATGCATGCAGCAAACTGAAAGCACCGTCTGTCGGAGCGTCTACGTGAAAAGAGAAGGAAGACATTGCTGGTAGTATTGTCTTCAGAGTTGTTAAACACCTCAGCGCACTGAAGGAAGCCATCTGACTGTGTGAGGGGCAAGATCGTTGATGTCTGCAGGCAGAGTAGGAGCTCTCCTGTCTGACTGGTCCACCAATAGCAGAGAAGATGACCCCTTGAGACACAGCCCCTCCTCATTTGCATAATGAGGCAGAAATGCATACAAAAATTTAAAAAAGACAGGCAGAAATAAATACCATGGGTGAAAATAAATAAGGTAAATAAATACAAAGGAAGAATAAAACAGACAAAAATATTAAAACACACACAAATAAATACATTAAAAAATTTGTAATAAATAAAGTTGAATAAACAAATAAGGTAATTATAACAAAGGTGAATAGTAAAGGCACTAATTAAAATATATACATTTATGTCTCCTTGTATAATTTAATTACTACCTACATTTATTTATTTACTTTATTTTTTTGTGTATTTAATTGGATGCTTATTTATTTATTGAGCATTTATTTATTTCTGTATTTATTTCTGACTGTGTCAGGAT